GAATAATTTTTGACCAATTCTTGGTTTCTTAGTCGCAAATTAAAGGGGGATTATTGCTCTTCAAAATGAGACAATTAAAAATATTTTTAATAAACTTTTGATAGCCAGCGTCCCCACCCGCCCGTATCAGAAAAACGAAAATTGGAAAAAAAATCGGAAAAAATTCATAACTCGAATAATTTTTGACCAATTCTTGGTTTCTTGGTCGCAAATTAAAGGGGGATTTATGCTTCTTTTCATTGGACCAATAAGAATTTTTTTAAAAAATTTTTGATAGCCAGCATCCCCACCCGCCCGTATCAGAAAAACCAAAATTGGAAAAAAATCGGAAAAAATTCATAACTCGAATAATTTTTGACCAATTCTTGGTTTCTTGGTCGCAAATTAAAAGGGGATTATTGCTCTTCAAAATGTGACAATTAAAAATATTTTTAATAAACTTTTGATAGCCAGCGTCCCCACCCGCCCGTATAAGAAAAACGAAAATTGGAAAAAAAATCGGAAAAAATTCATAACTCGAATAATTTTTGACCAATTCTTTGTTTCTTGGTCGCAAATTAAAGGGGGATTATTGCTCTTCAAAATGTGACAATTAAAAATATTTTTAATAAACTTTTGATAGCCAGCGTCCCCACCCGCCCGTATCAGAAAAACGAAAATTGGAAAAAAAATCGGAAAAAATTCATAACTCGAATAATTTTTGACCAATTCTTGGTTTCTTGGTCGCAAATTAAAGGGGGATTATTGCTCTTCAAAATGTGACAATTAAAAATATTTTTAATAAACTTTTGATAGCCAGCGTCCCCACCCGCCCGTATAAGAAAAACGAAAATTGGAAAAATAATCGGAAAAAATTCATAACTCGAATAATTTCTGACCAATTCTTGGTTTCTTGGTCGCAAATTAAAGAGCGATTAATGCTCCATAAAATGTGACAATTAAAAATATTTTTAATAAACTTTTGATAGCCAGCGTCCCCACCCGCCCGTATCAGAAAAACGAAAATTGGAAAAAAAATCGGAAAAAATTCATAACTCGAATAATTTTTGACCAATTCTTGGTTTCTTAGTCGCAAATTAAAGAGGGATTATTGCTCCATAAAATGTGACAATTAAAAATATTTTTAATAAACTTTTGATAGCCAGCGTCCCCACCCGCCCGTATCAGAAAAACGAAAATTGGAAAAAAATCGGAAAAAATTCATAACTCGAATAATTTCTGACCAATTCTTGGTTTCTTGGTCGCAAATTAAAGAGGGATTATTGCTCTTCAAAATGTGACAATTAAAAATATTTTTAATAAACTTTTGATAGCCAGCGTCCCCACCCGCCCGTATCAGAAAAACGAAAATTGGAAAAAAATCGGAAAAAATTCATAACTCGAATAATTTTTGACCAATTCTTTGTTTCTTGGTCGCAAAATAAAAAGGGATTATTGCTCCTTAAAACGTGATAATTAAAAGTTTTTTAAATAAATTTTTGATAGCCAGCGTCCCCACCCGCTTGTATCAGAAAAACGAAAATTGGAAAAAAATCGGAAAAAATTCATAACTCGAATAATTTCTGACCAATTCTTGGTTTCTTGGTCGCAAATTAAAGAGGGATTATTGCTCTTCAAAATGTGACAATTAAAAATATTTTTAATAAACTTTTGATAGCCAGCGTCCCCACCCGCCCGTATCAGAAAAACGAAAATTGGAAAAAAATCGGAAAAAATTCATAACTCGAATAATTTCTGACCAATTCTTGGTTTCTTGGTCGCAAATTAAAGAGGGATTATTGCTCTTCAAAATGTGACAATTAAAAATATTTTTAATAAACTTTTGATAGCCAGCGTCCCCACCCGCCCGTATCAGAAAAACGAAAATTGGAAAAAAATCGGAAAAAATTCATAACTTGAATAATTTCTGACCAATTCTTGGTTTCTTGGTCGCAAATTAAAGAGGGATTATTGCTCTTCAAAATGTGACAATTAAAAATATTTTTAATAAACTTTTGATAGCCAGCGTCCCCACCCGCCCGTATAAGAAAAACGAAAATTGGAAAAAAAATCGGAAAAAATTCATAACTCGAATAATTTTTGACCAATTCTTTGTTTCTTGGTCGCAAATTAAAGGGGGATTATTGCTCTTCAAAATGTGACAATTAAAAATATTTTTAATAAACTTTTGATAGCCAGCGTCCCCACCCGCCCGTATCAGAAAAACGAAAATTGGAAAAAAAATCGGAAAAAATTCATAACTCGAATAATTTTTGACCAATTCTTGGTTTCTTAGTCGCAAATTAAAGAGGGATTATTGCTCCATAAAATGTGACAATTAAAAATATTTTTAATAAACTTTTGATAGCCAGCGTCCCCACCCGCCCGTATCAGAAAAACGAAAATTGGAAAAAAATCGGAAAAAATTCATAACTCGAATAATTTCTGACCAATTCTTGGTTTCTTGGTCGCAAATTAAAGAGGGATTATTGCTCTTCAAAATGTGACAATTAAAAATATTTTTAATAAACTTTTGATAGCCAGCGTCCCCACCCGCCCGTATCAGAAAAACGAAAATTGGAAAAAAATCGGAAAAAATTCATAACTCGAATAATTTCTGACCAATTCTTGGTTTCTTGGTCGCAAATTAAAGAGGGATTATTGCTCTTCAAAATGTGACAATTAAAAATATTTTTAATAAACTTTTGATAGCCAGCGTCCCCACCCGCCCGTATAAGAAAAACGAAAATTGGAAAAAAAATCGGAAAAAATTCATAACTCGAATAATTTTTGACCAATTCTTTGTTTCTTGGTCGCAAATTAAAGGGGGATTATTGCTCTTCAAAATGTGACAATTAAAAATATTTTTAATAAACTTTTGATAGCCAGCGTCCCCACCCGCCCGTATCAGAAAAACGAAAATTGGAAAAAAATCGGAAAAAATTCATAACTCGAATAATTTTTGACCAATTCTTTTTTTTTGTCGCAAATTAAAGAAGGATTATTGCTCCTTAAAATGTGACTTTTGCAATTTTTTTCTATAAACTGTATTAGCTAGCGTACATTATTTTGCGTTGATTGAACCGTATAGGGCCACTGCGCTACTATGTGTGTCGGCGCCTATGGATTCTTCTGATGGCTGGCGGCCGGCGGGTCGCTAGTTTTACCGAACCCTTGAATTGAATTGTATTAAAAGTTTTTTAAATAATTGAATCTCCTTGGGAAAAAATCAATTATTTTTTAAATAATTGAATTTTCTTGGTGAATTTTTACAAGATATATAAAAAATAATTGAAATTTTCGAAGAAATAAATTAAAATTGTATTGAAAATAAGTGTAAAATATAATTTTTTCCAAAAATTATTTTAGAATAATAAAATTTCTATATAAATAATTAAAAAAAATTTACTTGGGATTTTTTTTTCAATTAATTTCTCACCTTTTTTTCGTTGTTTTCTATATATAATTGTAATTATATGCAGAGAGCATTCAGAAGATTTTGCGAGAAGAAGAAAATTCCCCAAAGTCCATCATTATCAATTTCTTCGAAATCCTTAGTCGTCGGTTCAATTTTAAATCACTTGAATCAAAGAGTTTTTGATAATATTTTAGAGCGAAGTGAATTGCCCGAGGATTTTGAGTCACTTGAGGAATTGTCGGAATCCTTGGAGAAAATACAAATTATCCATCAATCCTTGTGGCGTGGCTCACAGTATTCTGAAAATGGTGAATTAATGTTTTAATATTTGTCTATTCATTTCGACAAAAAATTATTTTTATAGATACTAGAAAGAAATTTTGAAAATTACTAAGTAATATAATTAGAAATTAAATGAAAATAAATATCAATTCGTTTTTCGTTTCCACTAAAACTGAAAGTAGAAAAATTAAAATATTAAACTATTATTATTATTATTACTTATTATTTTATAAATTCAATTTTATAAAAATTAAATTGTTAACATTTTTTTATTAAAAATAAATTATTTCTGTTTTTTTTTCTAAATTTTTCCAGATTCTCATGAAAGTGATGAAGAAAATTATTTCGTAAAATTCTCAGAAAGTAATGATGAAGAAAGTTTTTAATAAAGTAATTATAACAAAGAAAAAAAAATATTTCAGTTATTTTCCAAATTAATTAAAGTAAATATATTGAAAACTTGTAATTATAAATAAATAAATAAATAATTAATTACGAAACAATAAATATTGAACGAAATATTTTTTATTGTTACATTAATGTAAATAGTAAATAAAAAACAAAAAAATGAAAGCAGTAAATTGGCAGTAAATAAAAAAAAGTTAATGATAAACTAATGTGAATTACCTGATGTTTTTAATAATAACCTATATATTTATTAAATTAATATTAATTGATATTTATATTAATTTTTATCATTTTCATTAACAATAATAAATAATATTATTAAATTAATATTTTTTTTCTTACTCTCGTTTTGAACGTTTTGAACTGTCACAGAATTTTTAGGTTATGTTCACACTCTCCGATTTTTCTTTTTTTAACTTTAGGTTATAATTTCCAAGGTTTTTATAATTAAATCAGAGCTTTTGTCGAAAACTATATGTGAAACGTTAATGATTTGCATTGAAAATTGATAAACATTTGATATTTTTCCCCTGTCAAAAGATTAAAAATGTATAAACAAAAATAGTATTTCTTCAATGCGAGTCGCACTCGAATTTTTTCGACCTTTTATGTAATATTGAAACACTGATAATAATAGAAAGTATAATCGAAATAAATTTGTTGTTTTAAATTCACAATGTACCTTTACGGTTTTTGCAAATTCGTTTTATAAATAAAATAAATGTTATACAAAAAAACAGGAAATGATATTAAATTCTTACGTGACACCGGAAGTGAACTTTTCTTCTTCGGCATTCTTCGTAAACTTCGTAAACCTTCCGTAAATATTCGCAAATGTTCGTGTAAATTTTCGTAAATTTCCACACGTCACTTCCTGCCACCACTTTTTTATTTTCTATATATATTCCAAAAAAAAGAAACAAAACAAAATGCAAAAATGTAACGTAGTTTCTCCAGTAGTTTCCTTCGACCTTCGTTATTCCTGTCAATTCCTGTTGATTTTCTGTTTGCACAATATTGTGCTGATTATTTCCTCTTCGAAAATCAACTCGAAATTCTTCTGAAAGGTAAAAACAAAAAATTTACAATTAAAAAATAAAAATAAAAAATAAAAATTACTAATAAATATTTCTGATTTTACAATTATTTATCATTGCGATAGAATAAAATATATTCACATGTGATAATATTCTTAGTGTCTTAGTTTAAAAACATGCGAAAAATTTGTAAATTTGTAGGTTATTATTTTTACTTTTTTTTTATTGTAATTACTTATTATACTAAATTCTATAATATATTAATAATACCAAATTATAAATAATTAACAATTTAATTTTATTGAAAAAAATAATTCAAGACCGAAAGATTAAAAAACAATCGTTGATTGTTTTTCAATTTTTCTTTTTGCTGTAATTATTTATATAACTTACAATAATAATAATTGAATTTTATTCAGAACCAAAACAATTAGATCCTAAAAATTAAAAAAAACAATAGATTTTTACTGTTTTTGATTATTGTAATTATTTACTTCTTTAGAATATTAATTATAGTTAATAACTATTTATTAATTAATTATTAAAGTATTTATTTTTTATACCTTTTATATTACTTTTTTCTAATTATTTTTTTTTTTTTATTAATATTACTATTGATTTATAATTCTTTTCCAGAATAATGGATCTGGAAATTAATTTCGAGGAGAAATTAGATTTCATCATAAAATCAATATTAAGAAAATCGAGAAATGTTAATTTGAAATTACTTCAGGAATTATTTGAAAATGTCACTTGGGATAAGCGAAAGAAGGAGACAGAGATTTACGAAATTTCAATGAAAATGATCGAAAAATGGAGTATATATCTTACTAAACATTTCAGAAAGGTATGAGAAATTTATTGCAATTTTGTAAATTAATTGAATTCTTTTATAAGAAATTTTACAGAAAATAATTGAAATCCCGCGAGAAGAATTTTATTATTTTTAAAAAAATAATTGAATTTCTGCGAAGAATTTTACTATTTATAAAAGTAATTGAATTTCTGCTAAGAATTTTTAAAATTTTAGAAAATAATTTAATTGAATCCAAAGAATTTTTAAAATTTTAGAAAATAATTCAAATCTTCCGATAAATTAAAAAAAAAAATTATTGAATTTCTGAAAGGATTTTTACTATTATTATAAAAATAATTGAATTCTTGATAAGAAATTTTTGAAAATAATATTGAACTCTGTCGAAGAATTTAACTATTTTTAAAAATAATTGAATTATTTCCTAGAATTAAACAATTATTAAAAACTAATTGAATTGTTTTCAAGAATTTTTTAAAAATTTTTACAAAATAATTGAAATCTTGAGAAGAATTTGACAGAAATTTTTGAAATTAATTGAATTCTTCTCAGAATTTTATTACAATTTTTAAAAATTATTAACTTCTTTCTTGGAATTTTATTAAAATATTGGAAATAATTAAATTCTTCCGAAAAATGTTATAATTTATGAAAATAATTGAATTCTTCAGAAAAATATTAGAATTTATGAAAATAATTGAATTCTTGAGAAGAATTTTATAGAAATATTTGAAAATAATTGAATTCCTTCGAAAAATTTGATTATTTTTAAAAATAATTGAATTTTTATGAAGAATTTTACTATTTATAAAAATAATTGAATTGTTTTGAAGAATATTTATGAAAATTTTTGAAAAAATAATCGAATTCTTCTAAAGAATTTTTATTATAATTATTGAAAATAATTGAAAAGTCTCCAAAATTTTTTTATTAAAATTGGGTTAAAAATAATTGAAAATAATTGAATTCTTTGGTAAAATATCAAAATAATTGAAAACCTACGAAGAATTTTAATATTTTTAAAAGTAATTAAATTCTTTTGGAAAATTTTTATAAAAATAGAATTGAAAATAATTGAATTCTTGAGAAGAATTTTATAGAAATATTTGAAAATAATTGAATTCCTTCGAAAAATTTGATTATTTCTAAAAATAATTGAATTTTTGTGAAGAATTTTACTATTTATAAAAATAATTGAATTCTTTCAAAAAAAAATTTTTTTAAATAATTGAATTTCTGATTTTAAAAAAAAAGTTCTGAAATAATTGAATTTTTCCCAAAAGTTTTTAATGAACTAAATTCTTGTGATGAAAATTTTATGAAAATTTTTGTAATTAGTTGAATTGTCTTGAGAAATTTTACTGAATTTTTGTGAAGAATTGAAAAAAAATTTTTGTTAAAATCATTAAATTCTTTCGAGAGAAATTTTTTATTTTAAAATAATTGAATTCCTTGGAAGAATTTTTATTATTTTTTAAAATAATTGAATTTTTACCAAGAGTTTTACTATATTTATAAAAATAATTGAATTGTTTTCAATAATTTAAAACAATTTTAGAAAATAATTGAATTGTTTCCATGAATTTTTAAAAATTTAAGAAAATAATTGAAAATAATTGAATTTCTGCAAAGAATTTTATTTGAAATTTTTGAAATATAATCATTTTGCGAAATTTTACGGAAAATAATTCAAATCCTACAAAAAATTTTATTAATTTAATAAGAATTGAATTTTTGTAAAGCTTTTAAAAAAAAATTTTTTTTTTGAAATAATTTAATTTTTTTTCCAAGAATTTTTTTTGTAATTAAATTCTTGTGAAGAATATTATGAAAATGATTGAAATTGAATTATTTTGCGAAATTTTACTGAGTTTTTCTGAAGAATTTTAAAGAATTTTGAAAATAATTGAATTCGTTCGAGAGAAATTTTTATTGAAAAAGAAATTGAATTCTTTCGAGAGAAATTTTATTGGAAAAAAATTGAATTCTTTCGAGAGAAATTTTATTAAAAATAAATTGAATTCTTTTAGGAAATTTTATAGAAAATAATTGAAACACTGAGAGAAGAATTTTATTATTTATAAAAATAATTGAAATTTTAGAAACATTCCATTGAATGTTGCCATAAAATTTTCAAAATTTTAGAAAATAATTGAAATCTTTCCATAAATTTAAAAAAATAATTGAATTCTTCCGAAAAAAGTTAGAATTTATTAAAATAATTGAAATTTTGCCAAGAATTTTTTTAAATGTTTGAAAATAATTGAATTGTTTCCAAGAATTCTTTCAAATTTTGAGAAAATAATTGAATTCTTTCAAAGAATTTTATTAATTATAAAAATAATTGACTTTTTAAGACGAATTTTAATATTTATAAGAATAATTGAATTATTTCCAAGAATTTTAAAAAATGTTATAAAATAATTGAATTCTTGAGAAGACATTGACAGAAATTTTTTAAAATAATTGAATTTCTTCCAAAAATTTTATTGTTTATAAAAATAATTGAATTTTACTATTTGTAATAATTGAATTGTTTCCAATAATTTAAAAAAAATTTTAGAAAATAATTGAATTGTTGCCAAGAAAATTAAATAATTTTAGAACATAATTGAAAATAATTGAATTTCTAGAAAGAATTTTACTATTTAAAAAACTAATTGAATTTTTGCGAAAAATATTGTAATTTATAAAAATAATTCAATTCTCCTAAAGAATTTTATTTAAATTTTTGAATTATAATTGATTCGAGAAATTTTATTGAAAAAGAAATTAAATTCTTTAGAGAAAAATTTTATAAAAAAAAAATTGAATTCTTTCGAAAAAAATTTTATTGAAAGAAATTTAAATTTCCCGGAGAATATTTCTTTATTATTTATAAAAATGATATTCACTAATTTTCCAATTTTTTTTTCCCAGTTTATAGAATTATCAAAAGAAACGAATGACGATTTGTTAATTTGCGTCATTTTCGATGTCGCCTACGAATTACGTGATATTTATCCGGGAATTGTTGGCGTTACCGTTCTACACGATGCAATCGTTGAATTAAATTCCAAAAGTCCCGACATTCATTTGACAGTCATCAATTTTTTGGGTAAATTTCTCAGTAAGAATTTAGAGGAAATAATTGAGAAGAAGGAAAATTTTTTTCGAAAATTTCTCAAACAATTATGGAATGAAAATGAGAAGATACAATTGTTAACCACGTATTATGTGAAGAAAATATTTCTCAAATATCCAATGGCAAGGAAATTAATTACGAAATATTTACAAAGTTTAAAATACAGCTCAAAGGAGGAAAAATTGAAAATTGCCGCTATTTCACTGATAACGAGTATAATTTATCACAGAATTGAAATTTTACAGGAGAATAAATTTTTTCGGGAATTCGTTGTAAATCTCGTCACTGACAAGGAGGTAATTACTTCAATTTATTATTACTTTTAATTTTTTAATTATAATTATTTCATTAAATAACTGGAACAATTTTTTTTTTACTTTTTTTTTGACAAATAAAAATAGAAATAAAGAAAATCTTCGCTTGATTTAAATTATAATTTACCTAGAATTTTATTATTTCTCAAAAGAATTTAATTTTTGCGGGAAGAATTTTACTCCATTTTTTTTTTTAATAATAAAATTCTTCCAGGAAAATTTAATTATTTTTTAAAAATATTTTAATTGAATAATTGAATTAAAATTTTACTGGAAATAATTGAATTCTTGGGGAAGAATTTTATTCAACTTTTTCGTAAATGAATTCGAAGAAATTTTTTGTTAAATTATTTTCAATTTTCAATTTTTATTTTTCAGGCTTCAGTCAGAGAAAGAGAATTGACGTCACTGGCAATTATTTTTCATAAATATGTGAAAAAACTTGGAAATTTACCATTGGATTTGAGAAAAATTCTCATGACCATTGAATCGAAATTAATGTACGAATTTTCGATTAGAAAAAATCTCGACGATAGAATTTTAATCGAGGAATTATTTTCAAAATATCTCGTTTCCTGTCAATTGCCAATTGAGACGAGAATGAAGAGATTTTTACATTTTTACGTCTCACTTCATCCAATGATTATTGACAATTACAAGGAATTTCATTGGGAAAAAATCAAGTAAATTAAAATCAAACTAAATTTAAAATTAAAGGAGAAAGAAGCTATCAATTATCCGAATCAATTGATTTCTTCACGTTTAATAATAAAATTTAAAACGACAGAGTGATAAAATCATTATTTTACATTATAAGAATATTGCAACTATAAATTCAAATTTTCAAAGATTTTAATTTTTAAACCCTTTTCAAAATTCACTTATTTATCAAAATTCACGCTACGATGCTTTTAATATTCAATTATAATTTCAAATTTTAAGTGAAATTCATTTTTAATCAATTTTTATTAAAAAACTTTTCGAGAATTCAATTATTTAAATGCAAAGATAAATAATATATTAAATAATTGAATATTTCTTAAAATTGAATATTTTTAAAGAAATTTATAAAAAATTCTAAAAATAATTGAATTCTTTCGGCGAATTTTCAAAAAAATTATAAAGAATAAATGCAATTTTCTATCAGTTTATGTAAAATTGTACATAAAAAATAATTGAAACTCTGCTGTAAATATTGTTATTTATAAAAGTAATTTAATTCTTGCAACGAATTTTTTATTAAAAACATTTTTAAAGAATTGAATTCCAGTGAAGAATTTTATTTCTGAAAATAATTGAATTCCGGAGAAAAATATTATTATTTATGATATTAAATTAATTTCTTGTGAAGAATTTTATTCAAATTTTTTAAATAATTGAATTTCTCAGAATTTTTTATAACATTTTGATAATAATTAAATTCCATTGACAAAATTTCATTAAAAAAATTGAAAATAATTGAAATCTGACGAAGAATTTTATTAAATTTTTTTTTAAATAATTGAATTCTTGTGAAAAGTTTTATTTTTGAAAAAAAATTGAATTCTTGGGAAGAATTTACTTAAAATTTCTTAAATAATTTAATTGCTTCGAAGAATTTTATTTTTTATGAAAATAATTGAATTGTTTCGAACATTTTTACAAATATTTTTGACAGTAAAATTGTTATTGCTTTAAGAAATGTTATATTTTACGAAAATAATTGAATTCTTGAGAAGAATTTTACAGAAATTTTTGAAAATAATTGAATTCCATAGAAGAATTTTATTATTTATAAAAATAATTAAAATCTTGCGAAGAATTTTATTATTTATAACAATAATTGAATTCTTGCGAAGAATTTTACTATTTTTAAAAATAATTGAATTGTTTCGATGAATTTTTATAAATCTTAGAAAATAATTGAATTCTTACAAAAAATTTTTAAAAATAATTGAATTCTTCCGAAAAATTTTATAATTTATGAAAATAATTGAATTCTTGAGAAGAATTTTATAATTTATGAAAATAATTGAATTCTTGAGAAGAATTTTACAGAAATTTTTGAAAATAATTTAATTGTTTCCAAGAATTTTTTAAAAGTTTAGAAAAAAATTTTCTAAAAAATTGAATTTCTCAGAATTTTTTATAACATTTTGAAAATAATTAAATTCCATAGACAAAATTTTCTTAAAAAAATTGAAAATAATTGAAATCTGACGAAGAATTTTATTAATTTTTTTTTTAAATAATTGAATTCTTGTGAAAAGTTTTATTTTTGAAAAAAATTGATTTCTTGAAAGGAATTTAATTAAAATTTCTTAAATAATTGAAATTGCTTCGAAGAATTTTATTTTTTAAGAAAATAATTGAATTGTTTCGAAGATTTTTACAAACATTTTTGACAGTAAAATTGTAATTCCTATGAGGAATGTTATAGTTTACGAAAATAATTGTATTCTATAGTCAATTTTATTATAATTTTTCAAATTTATAAAGCATTTTATCAGAATTTTTGAAATAATTGAATTCTCGAGAAAAATTTTATTATTTATGAAAATAATTGATTTCTTACGAAGAATTTTATTCAAATTTTCTTCAAATAATTGAATTCCCATAAAAAAATGTATTATTTGTGAAAATAATTGAATTGAATAGGAAAATTTTATTAAAATTGCAATTTTATTAACTAAATCTTGTAAAAAATTTTGTCAAAATTTTTTCAAATAATAGAATTTTCAAAAGAATTTTATTTAAATTTTGCGAAATAATTAAATTTCTCAGAACTATTTTTTTTTTCAATTCTTTGAATATATTTGAATTCTTCCGATAAACTTCATTATTAAAAATTAAAAATAATTGAATTGGTGCGAAGAAATTTATAAAAAAAATTGGAAAGTAATTGTATTTAATCAAATTTATGAAAATAATTGAATTCTTAAGAAAAATTCAATTTTTTATAAAAAATTGAAATTCATTGGAAGAGTTTTATCAAAATTTTTAAAATAATTGAATTCTTTAGAAGAATTTTATCCAAATTTTTGAAAATAATTGAATTCTTCAGAAGAATTTTATTAAAATCTTTAAAATTATTAAAAATTTTATTGAAAAAACAAAAGAATTTTAATAAAATTTTTGAAAAATATTGAATTCTTAAGAACAATTCAATGCTTTATGAAAATAAATTAATTCTTAAGAACAATTCAATTTTTTATGAAAATAATTGAATTTTTGAGAAGAACAATTCAATTTCTTATGAAAAAAAATTGAATTCTTTAGAAAAATTTTATCAAAATTGTTGAAAATAATTAAATTCTTAAGAAGAATATTCAATTCTTTATGAAAATAATTGAATTCTTCAGAAGAAATTTATTAAAATTTTTTGGAAAATAATTGAATATTTATTAAAATAAATTGAAATCTTTTAGGGAATAATAATTGAATTCTTAAGAAGAATTGTATTGAAAATAATTGAATTGAATAGGAAAATTTTATTAAAATTGCAATATTATTAACTAAATCTTGTAAAGAATTTTGTCAAAATTTTTTCAAATAATAGAATTTTTAAAAGAATTTTATTTAAATTTTGCGAAATAATTGAATTTCTCAGAACTATTTTTTTCTATTCTTTGAATATATTTGAATTCTTTCGATGAACTTCATTATTAAGAATTAAAAATAATTGAATTGGTGCGAAGAAATTTATAAAAAATTGGAAAATAATTGAATTCCTGTGAAATTTTTATTAAAATTTCGTTTAAATAATTGAATTCTTTTGGAAAATTTTATTAAAATAGATATTAAAAATAATTGAATTGAGGAAAATTTTTGTAAAATAATTGAAATTTCGCCAAGAATTTTATTAAATTTTTTTGAAAATAATTAAATTTCGGAGAATTGTATTATTTATAAAAATAATTGAAATTTTGACGATAATGTTTATAAATTTTTGAAAATAATTGAATTTCCGTAATCAGTTGTTCTTAACATTTTTTTTTTAAAAACTTCACTAAACTTGAATAATTTTTCAAGTTTTTGAATTCCTTTTATTTTTCTAAGAATAAGAAAATGTTTTTCATTATTAGTAAAAAAATAATAATTTTTTCCCTTTTATTTTCAAGGAGTAGAAAATTATTACAATTGTGGACGAAATTCATAAAGGAACCAAATAATCATGAGGAAATAATGATTGAATTTCAAGGCTATTTATGCGAGAAAAATCCTCTAGTGAATTCAATTGAGTTTATTGAATATTATGAGGACTTTTTAAATGAAAATCAAGCAGTCGTTGATGAAATGGAAAAAATTTGTCTCAAAGATATTTTAAATAATGAGGCAATTGAGGCTCTCAAGAAAGTGAAAATTATTTTCAGTCGCTCCGATTTGCAAGATGGGGAAGTATTTTTGCAAATAATCAAAAGAGGAACGCCATTTGTCTTCGACAGCGAAAGTATTCGAGTAAAATAGATTTTTTCCATATTTTTATCCATTTTAACTTCAATTTTAATTTCATTTTAACTTTTATTTCTTTTTATTTTATTTTTATTTTGTTTATTTCGTTTATTTCTTTTTATTTTATTTTTATTTCGTTTATTTATTTTTACTTTATTTTTATTTTATTTCCTTTTATTTTTCCGTTCAACTTTATTTTATTCAGTATTATTTTATCTGCACTTTTAATTTTCTTTTCTTGCCTTTTTATTTTATTCATTTTTATTTTATCGACTTTGATTTTTTCTTCTTTCGCCTTTTTATTTTATTTTAATCACGTTTTTAGGTTCTGATCGATTACATTCTTCAAGTTTTGAATAGTAATTCAATTGCCGAAGAATTGGATTTGGATCCAAATATTTCCCGCGAACGTGGAATAAAATTGTTAAACGTGAGTAAAAATTAAACAAAAAATAAATAAAAAAAGTAATTTTAAAAAATTAGTAAATACAGAACAAAAATGTGTAGAAAATAAAATTTCTGTTAAAAATTAACTAAGTTATTAATTAATTAATTAATTATTTAATTGATTGATTAATTAATTAATTGAATGATTGATTAATTAATTGATGGATTAATTAATGGATTAACTAATTAATTAATTCTCCTGATGCGATATTTTTTTTTTTTTTGCTTTCCAGCTTCTCGCAGATTGTCATCCGGAATTAATGGAAACCGAAGATTTTCTAACACTAATGATAAAGTATTTAAACAAAGAAAATAATTCCACTAACTGCATGATTCTGAAATTATTAAAAAATATTGGCAAAAAAATGTCGATTTCCAATATAATTGAATCAGAATCAACAATGAAATTGCTGTTTACCTCCTGTGAATATTATGCACTTGAGGGTACAAAAGAAGAAGCGAAAATTTCCATTGAGTGCATAAAATATTCAACGAATAATTATGATAATTTATTTGATGGAATTCTTCAGAAAATGATGAGAAATTCAACATTAATGACGTCGTCGGATTTCTTTCTTCAATCAATCGTCTCATTGGGACAAATCGCAATTTTTCGAACAAACGATGAAAATTGTCCCCGCGTGGAAAATTTAATAGGACAGGTGAGAAAATTTTTATTTACAACTAAATTCTTTAAAACGATTCAATTTATTATTATCAAAAAATATTTGAAATTCAATTATTTTCAAAAAATATTCCGAATTCAATTATTTTCAAAAAATATTCGAAATTCAATTATTTTCAAAAAATATTCCGAATTCAATTATTTTCAAAAAATATTCCAAATTCAATTATTTTTAAAAAATATTCGAAATTCAATTATTTTTAAAAAATATTCGAAATTCAATTATTTTCAAAAAATATTCCGAATTCAATTATTTCCAAAAAATATTCCAAATTCAATTATTTTCGATATCTAGTATTTTCATCAAATTAAGAAAAAAAAATTTAATTATTTAACAAAATTTTTATACAATTCTTCACAATAATTCAATTACTTTCACTAATAATAACATTTTTCATGGAAATTCAATTATTTAAAAAAAGTTAAAATTCTAAGCAAGAATTCAATTATTTTCAAAAAATAATAAAACTCATCGAAGAATTTCAATTATTTTTAAAACAATTTTAAATTAATTAATTAATCGAAAAATTCAATTATTTTCACAAATGAAGTTTCCCACAAAAATTCAATTATTAAAAATAAAATTTTCATAATATTCATTATATTTCGAAAAAATTAATTATTTAAAACAATGTTTATAAAATTTTTATGAAGAATTCAATTATATTTTTAAAACTAACAAAATTTTTCACTGAAATCCAATTCTTTTTAAACATTTTAATAAAATTTTTCGCAATAATTCAATTATTCTCATAAATAATAAAATTCGTCTAAGGAATTAAATTATTATTTGTAAATTTTAATAAAATTCTTAGCAACTATTTAATAATTTTCATAAATAATAATAAAATTCATCGCAGGATTTCATTTATTTTTAATAAAATTTTACAGAAATACCTCGAAAAAATCAATTATTTAAAAAATTAGTTTTTTTTAATTCTTTGGAAGAATTTAATTATTTACAAAAATATTAGAATTTTTCACAGGATTTCAATTATTTTTAAATATTTTAATGAAATTGAACGTAAGAATAATCAATTATTTTAAATACAATTTTAATTCAGTTTTTTTAAATAATTCAATTATTCTTTTAGATTTTAATAAAATTTCTTTCCCTAAGAATTCAATTATTTTCATAAAAAATAAAATTCTTCTTAGAAATTCAATTATTTTTAAAAACGTTAATAAAAATTTTCGCAATAATTCAATTATTTTCATAAATTCAATTATTTTTGAAAATTCTAATTAAATTCTTTGCAAAAATTCAATTATTTTCATAAAAATTCAATAAAATGTCACGAAGATATTCAATTATTGTCAAAAATTTTAATAGAATTCTTTGTAAAATTTAATTAATTTTAAAAACTTTTCGAAATTCAACGATTTTTAATATTTACTATTTTCATGTCTTTTAAACTGAATTTAATTATTTAAACATTTTTTTTTTTTTTGTAAAAGTTTTCGTAGGAATTGAATTTTTTTTCGCATTAATAATAAAAATTTCTTAGAAATTCAATTATTTAAATTAGAATTTGCATCAAAATAAGTCGAAAGAAATGAATTATGTAAAAATTTTTAAAAACTTCTTCACAGGAATTGAATTATTTTTCTAAATTTATTTTTGTATTAAAATTAATTTGAATTTATTTTTCTCTTTAAATTTATTTCGATTTATTTTTATTTTGAAATTCATTTGAATTTATTTGAATTTTTTTGTATTATTAAATTCATTTGAATTTATTTTTCTATTTAAATTCATTTGAATTTATTTGAATTTATTTTTGTATTTAAATTAATTTGAATTTATTTTTGTATTTAAATTCATTTGAATTTATTTTTCTCTTTAAATTTATTTCGATTTACTTTTATTTTGAAATTCATTTGAATTTATTTCAATTTATTTGAATTTTTATGTATTTAAATTCATTTGAATTTATTTTTTTCTTTAAATTCATTTAAATTTATTTTTCTATTTAAATTTATTTGAATTTATTTTTGTATTTAAATTCGTTTGAATTTTTTTTTGTATTTAAATTCATTTGAATTTTTTTTCATCTTTAAAATGATTTGAGTTTATTAATTTGAATTTATTTTTGTATTTAAATTCATTTGAATTTATTTTTCTATTTGAATTTATTTGCATTAATTTTTATATTTAAATTGATTTGAATTTATTTTTGTATTTAAATTCACTTGAATTTTTTTTCTCTTTAAATTTATTTCGATTTATTTCTATTTTGAAATTCATTTGAATTTATTTGAATTTCTTTTTGTATTTAAATTTATTTGAATTTATTTTTGTATTTGAATTCATTTGAATTTATTTGAATTTATTTTTGTATTTAAATTAATTTGAATTTATTTTTCTCTTTAAATTTATTTCGATTTATTTCTATTTTGAAATTCATTTGAATTTCTTTGAATTTATTTCAATTTTATTGTCCGAAATTATTCGAATTAATTTCCATTTCTTTTTTGAATTGAATTCGAAATTTAATTTGAATTTCACTCTTGAAACTGAAATTAGAAAACTAAGAAAAATTGTAATAAATTTTTCTCCGCAGATATTTGACTTCATTGGAGCGCGTGGCACACTCGGAGTAATTGGAATTGAGGATAAATTTTGGTGCACTGAAAATGAATTGCCAATGAATGATAGATGTTACGAGGAGTCGATAAAGTGCATTTGTCGTTGGATCACCAGTTTGAATATTGATTCGGATTATTTTCAATTTTATGGTGAACAATTTTTGGCAATTGTCAAACGACATTTATTTGAGGAATTCTCAAAAACTGAACCACGAAGAAATCGTCTTCGTGCAATTTCGGCGTGCGCCATTTTGAAACTTTGTAAATTTCACCAATTTCGACTCAATTTACCTCTCAATTTTTTCTATCAACTTTCACAATTAATCAATGTGAGTAAAAATAATTATTCATTTATTAAATTTATTTATATTATTTTCCAAAAAGAAAAAATAATTCGCGCAAAAATTCAATTTTTGTTTTGTTTTTGTTTTTATGAAGAATTTTACTTTCGTTTAGAAAATAAATTCGATTTTTTAAATTCGTTTCAGCAAAATTAATGAAATTCCGTTCGTTTGAATTTATTTTTCAGAAAAAAAATTAAATTCGTTTGTTCGTTCGTTTGAATTTATTTCGTAAAAAAATTAAATTCGTTCGTTTGAATTTATTTCGGAAAAAAATTAAATTCATTCGTTTGAATTTATTTCGGAAAAAATTAAATTTGTTTTCAGAAATTAATTAAATTCGTTCGTTTGACTTTATTTCGGAAAAATAATTAAATATTCGTTCGTTCGAATTTATTTTGGAGAAATTATTAAATTTTTTCATTAGTTTGAATTTATTTTCAGAAAATAATTTAACTCGTTAGTTTGAATTGATTTTCAGAAAAAAATAAAATTCGTTTGTTTGATTTTGAATTTTTATTTTTAAGTTTTGAATTTCTTTTTTTAAATAAAAATATAAATTTTATTTTTATTTCAGGACAAATGCTTCGAAGTGTCCAAATATTTCATCGAGAAATTATTAAAATTGTTGAAAGAAAATGTATATTCTCAATTTTTGACAAATGAATTTTTCGCATTTTTTATTCTACTCAGAGGTGAATCGCAATTTATTGATAATGTACGCAATCAATATGAATCAATAATCGAGCAACGAAGTATTTTCGTTAATTATATTCTTCAACGGACAGAAAGCAATCCTTTTAGTAAGTGAATCTTTCCAATATTATTAATAATATAATTATAATCATAACAATAGTACCTAATAACAATAATAATAACAACAGTAATTTATAAATTCAATTAATTTTTTAAACTTTTGGAAAGAATTCAATTATTCTAAATATTTTAATAAAATTCTTCAATTAAAATAAAATTAATTACCTAAAATTAAAAAAAAAAATTAAAATTCAATTATTACCAAAAATTTTGATAAAATTCTTTCAAAACATTCAATTATTTTCAACAATTCTGATAAAAAATTCTTCGAAATAATTCAATTATTTTTGTATAAATAATAAAATTCTTATCAAGATTTCACATATTTTCAATACAATTTTAAATGATTTCTTAAAAAATTTCAATTATTTTTAAAAATCTTGTAAAAATTCTCCGAGAAAATTCAATTATTTCAAAAAAATAATTGAATTTTTCACAGGAGTTCAATTATTTTAAAAACAATTTTAATTGAATTCAATTCAAGAATTCAAGTATTTTCATAAATAATGAAATTTTCGCTGAAATTCAATTATTTTAAATACATTTTTAATTAAATTCCAGAGAAAATTAAATTATTTTTGAACATTTTTTAAAAATTGTAATTAAAGATTTATACATTAAATTATATTTAAATTATTCATAGAAAATTAAATTGTTTTAAACAATTTTATTAGACATTTTGTAAAAAAATTACATTTTTTTTAAAGAATTTAATTAAATTTCGTAAAAATAATGTAATTTTTTAAAGTATTGTAATTTTAATTGAAAATTTTTATCAATTCAATGATTTTCAATACTTATTATTAAAAATAAAATTTTTTCAAAAGAATTCAATTATTTTAAAATTGTTTTAAAAAGTTTCAGAAAAAATCAATTATTATTTAAATAATAAAATTCATCATAGAAATTCGATTTTAAAAAAAACATCTCGAAAGAATTCAATTATTATTTTCAAAATTCCTCAACAAATTCAATTATTCTATCATTAGAATTCAATTATTTTCAAAAGTAATAAAATTATTTTCATAATTAATAAAACTCGTCGCAAAATTTTTATTACAATTTTAATATTTCTCGAACAAAACATAACTAGTAAAGTAAATTAAAGTATTTTTCAAGACCCCAAAAATATTGAAGCCAAAAGTCATAAAAAAGAAGAAAAAATGTTGGATTTTAAGAAATTCGGTTTTTCGAATTTTTGAATATTTTTCATAATTTTTGATTTTTTACCAAAAGTTGGAGATTTTTAAATAAGTAAAGTATTTTTTTAAAGCACAAAAATATTGAAGCTAAATGCCATGAAAGAGAAGAAAAAATGTTGAATTTTAAGAAATTCGGTTTTTCGAATTTTTGAATATTTTTCATAATTTTTGATTTTTTACCAAAAGTTGGAGATTTTTAAATAAGTAAAGTATTTTTCAAGAGCACAAAAATATTGAAGCTAAATGCCATGAAAGAGAAGAAAAAATGTTGAATTTTAAGAAATTATGTTTTTCGAATTTTTGAATATTTTTCATAATTTTTGATTTTTTACCAAAAGTTTTAGATTTTTAAATAAGTCAAATATTTTTCAAGAGCACAAAAATATTGAAGCTAAATGGCACTAATAAGAAGAAAAAATGTTGAATTTAATGAAATTCGGTTTTTCGAATTTTTGAATATTTTTCATAATTTTTGATTTTTTACCAAAAGTTGGAGATTTTTAAATAAGTAAAATATTTTTCAAGAGCACAAAAATATTGAAGCTAAATAGCACTAATAAGAAGAAAAAATGTTGAATTTTAAGAAATTATGTTTTTCGAATTTTTGAATATTTTTCATAATTTTTGATTTTTTACCAAAAGTTGGAGATTTTTAAATAAGTAAAATATTTTTCAAGAGCACAAAAATATTGAAGCTAAATGGCACTAATAAGAAGAAAAAATGTTGAATTTTAAGAAATTATGTTTTTCGAATTTTTGAATATTTTTCATAATTTTTGATTTTTTACCAAAAGTTGGAGATTTTTAAATAAAGTAAAATATTTTTTAAGAGCACAAAAATATTGAAGCTAAATGGCACTAATAAGAAGAAAAAATGTTAAATTTTAAGAAATTCGGTTTTTCGAATTTTTGAATATTTTTCATAATTTTTGATTTTTTACCAAAAGTTGGAGATTTTTGAATAAGTAAAGTATTTTTCAAAAGCACAAAAATATTGAAGCTAAATGCCATGAAAGAGATGAAAAAATGTTGAATTTAAAGAAATTCGGTTTTTCGAATTTTTGAATATTTTTAATAATTTTTGATTTTTTACCAAAAGTTGGAGATTTTTAAATAAGTAAAGTATTTTTCAAGAGCCCAAAAATATTGAAGCTAAATGCCAAAAAAAAGAAGAAAAAATGTTGAATTTAAAAAAATTCAGTTTTGTTTCATAACTGAATTCTTGTAAAGAATTTTATTAAAATTTTTAAAAATAATTGAATTTTGTAGAATGATTTAATTATTTATTTATTAAAGATAATTGATATGTTGACGAGAAATTTTCTTTTATTTTTGAAAAATAATTGAATTTCTCCGAAGAATTTTATTACTATTGATAATAATAGAATTCTTCAGAAATTTTCAGTTTCAAAAAAATTTTTACGCAATGTACTAAATTTTAGAAATTATTTGTATTGAATTTTCCATTAATTTTTTCTTTTGGTTTTTTCTATTTAGGGCAAGAGAAATTTCGCGACTATTTCTACGAATTGATACCGGAATTTTCCCTAATTCCAGCACTATTGATTTACGCTCACGAGTCAACATTTGACGATTGTCGAAATTTGAGTGAAAGAGATTTAAATAAATTTCATCAAGTATTGAGAATATATTTGGAGCCAATAATTGAGAAAAGCTGCTTCGATTGCGCCGATCTTTTCGAGAGGATTGTCAGAAAAGTTGAGAATTCATTCGAACCGGAATTTCCCCACTTGAAGGAGGTAAATATAAATAATAGTAATAATAACTTATTTTTCAGAATTTTCAAAAAAAAAATTTGCGAAAATTCAATTTTATTAAAATTTCAGTATCTTTTTTCAAATTAATTAAATTCGTTTGTTTGAATATTTATTTTGGAAAATTAATTAAATTCATCGTTCTTTTCAAATTTATTTTTTGTAAATATTTAAATTCGTTCCTTCGAATTTATTTCTTCTAATTATATTTAAATTCTTTACTTTGAATTTAATTTTTAATTTTTAATGTTTAAATTTTCGAATTATGGAAAAAAGAACAAAATTATTAATGTAGATTAATATTTAAAAAAAAGATAATAGTAATTCATTTGCAAAAAGGAATAATATTGAAGTAACGGAAAAAGGGAAAAATTGGAATAAAACGAAAATGGAAAAATTAGAAAAACTAATTTTTATATATAGAAAATTTTAATAATATAAATTCATTTATCACAAATTTTCGAATGGATCGATTTCCTCCTTCACTTTAAAATCAATTTCCAATTTCGGTCGTTTCATTGCAATCTCCTCGTAATCTTCATTTTGGCAGGGAATTATAAATTCCTCTTTAATTTCTTCATTAAAGAGCTTGACGACAATTTCATTATCATGACTACTGTCATTTTTATTTTCGTTCTCATTTTCATTTTCGTTTTCATTTTCGTTTTCGTTTTCGTTCTCATTTTCGTTCTCATTTTCATTTTCATTTTCATTTTCATTTTCATTTTCGTTTTCATTTTCGTTCTCATTTTCATTTTCATTTTCGTTTTCATTTTCATTCTCTTTTTCAGTGCCATCATCATTGTAATTGTCATGATAAATATAATTGTAATTGTCGTTACCATTGTCCCTGCTCGTTGGGACATTAAAAATATTTCCTCTAGTTTCATACTCGAGTATCATGGCAGTTCGTCGAAATGCATTTGCCGTGTACAAATTTGGTGACTCCAATTTCAAGTAGATTGCAATTTGCCTTGGAATAACGGAGAATTTATTTTTCCCAATCACTTGAACGGTGCATTTTCCCTTTTGATATCTGAGAAAAAATCTGTCTGTCTCTGTTTTACTTGGACGTAAATGACGATATTTCTTCACAATCGTTGAATATTTTTTAACTATTGTAAATTTACGTTCTCTCTTCATTTTTTTGTCGTAAATACTTATCACTAAACTCTCTCCACTCCAGTCAATATTTGTCGTCTTTAAATTCACCAATTCCTCGGGTCTACATCGCCCTGCGACTCCAATTATCAAAGCGACCTAAGAAAAAAAGGATTACTATTATAAATAAAACAAAAATAATTTAATCCCTGCTAAGAATTTTATAGAAATTTTTAAATAATTCATTTCTTTCGACTAATTTTATACAAATTCTAATTTAAATAATTCAATTCCTGAGGAATTTTACAAAAAATTTTTAATTTATAGAAATAATTGAATTCCTTTGAAGAATTTTATTCAAATATTTAGAAATAATTGATTTCTTTCGAAAAGTTTAAAAAAATAATTGAATTTCTGCAAAGAATTTTACAATTTACAAAAATAATTGAATTCTTTTGCAAGAATTTTATAATTTATAAAAAAGAAAATTGAATTCTTGAGAAGAATTTTACAAAAATTTTTGAAAATAATTGAATTCCTTCGAAGAATATTTTTAGTTATTAAAACAATTGAATTCTTGAGAAAAATTTTACTATTTATAAAAATAATTGAATTTTGCAAAGAATATTTATGAAAGTTTCGAAAAACTAATCCAATTCTTCTAAAGAATTTTTATTATAATTATTAAAAATAGTTGAAAAGTCTCCAAAAATTCTATTAAAACTGCATTAAAAATAATAAAGTAATTTCGAAAAAATTAATTAAAATTATATTTTAATAAAATTGAATTTTTTATAATGAATTTTATCAAAAAATTTTTTTTTAATTTAATTGAATATAATTGCATTTTTCAGTGAAATATTAAAAATAATTGAAATCCTACGAAGCATTTTAATTGTTTTGAAAGTAATTAAATTTTTGGAGAAATAAAGAAAAAAATTTTAATATGTTTCAAAGAAATTTTAAAATAGCATTAGAAATTATAAAATTATTTATAGAAAAATAATTATAATTCCATTGAAATAATTGAATTTTTATTATGAATTTTATCAACATTTTTAAACAAAAATCGGAAAATAATTATTTTTTCGAAAAATTTTCTTAAATTATGTTAGAAAATAATTAAATTCTTTTTCAAAATTTAATTGAAATTTGTAAATAATTTAATTCTTCGAAAATAATTTTATTGTTTATAAAAAAATATTTAAATTGTTTACAAACAATAAATTTTTTAAAATATTTGTTTTTTTTTGGGAAATTTGATTAAAATTGAATTGAAAATAATTGAATTCTTTGGTGAAATGTTTTTTTAAAAATTTTATTAAAAATAATTGAATTTCTATGAAGAAATTTATTATTTAAATAATAATTGAATTTTCGTAAAGCTTTTCAAAATAATTAAATTCTTTCAAGAAGTTTTTTTTTGTAACTGAATGTTTGTCAAGAATTTTATTAAAAATTTTGAAATTAATTGAAATTTTGCCAATTATTTTATTAAAATTTTCGTAAATAATTGAATTTCGGAGAATTTTTTTACATTTTTTGAAGATAATTGAATTTTTGCGAAGAATTTTATTATTTTTTAAAATAATTGAATTCTAGTGATAAATATTTGTTATTTTTTTTGAAAATAATTGAATTTTTTCGAAATGTTTTTTTAAAAATTGTATTAAAAATAATTGAATTTCTATGAAGAATTTTATTATTTAAATAATAATTGAATTTCTCTGGAGTTCTTTTAAAACCATTTTTAAAATAATTGAATTCTTCTGGAAATATTTGTTCAAATAATAGATATTAAAAATATTGAATTTAAAATTTTTTTTTAAAAATATTTGAAATTTTGCAAAGAATTTTATTAAAATTTTTGTGAAAATAATTGAATTTCGGAGAAAATTTTTTATAATTTTTGAAAATAATTGAATTTTTATAAAGAATATTATGTACCTATTACATGTGAAAATAATTGAATTCTTGTGATAAATATTTGTTATTTATAAAAATAATTGAATTTTTTGATGAATTTTGAAAATAATTGAATTCTTTCGAGATTTTTTTTCAAAAATTGCATTAAAAATAATTGAATTTCTAAAAAAAGAATTTTATTATTTAGATAATAATTGAATTTTTGTGAAGCTTTTTAAAATAATTGAATTATTTCAAGAAGTTTTTTTTTGTAAAGAATTTAAAAAAAAAATTTTTAAATTAATTGAATTCTTTTGAGAAAATATTTGAATTTTTTTGAACAATTTTGATAATAATTGAATTTTTTTGAAAATTTTTTTTTTAAATTGTAAATATTGAAAATCATTGAATTGATAAAAATTTTTGAAAATAATTGAAATTTTGTCAAGAATTTTATCAAAATTTTTGAAAATAATTGAATGTCTGCCAAGAATTTTATTAAAATTTTTGTAAATAATTGAATTTCGGAGAATTTTTTTAACATATTTTTTTGGAAGATAATTAAATTTCTGAGAAGAATTTTATTACTTTTGAAAATAATTAAATTTTAGTGATAAATATTTGTTATTTTTTGAAAATAATTGAATTCTTTCGAGATGGTTTTTTTAAAATTCTTTAAAAAATAATTGAATTTCTATGAAGAATTTTATTATTTAAATAATAATTGAATTTTTCTGAAGTTTTTTAAAACCATTTTTAAAATAATTGAAATCTTTTGGAAAATTTTGTTAAAATAATTGATATTAAAAATCATTGAATTCAAAAGTTTTTCTTAAAAATATTTGAAATTTTGCAAAGAATTTTATTAAAATTTTTGTAAATAATTGAATTTCGGTGAATTTTTTTCTTTTTTTTTTTAAATAATTGAATTTTTATGATGAATTTTATTACTTTTAAAAATAATCGAATTCTAGTGATAAATATTTGTTATTTATGAAAATAATTGAATTTTTTAATGAATTTTGAAAATAATAGAATTCTTTCAAAATGTTTTTTTTTTAAATTGCATTAAAAATAATTGAATTTCTATGAAGAATTTTAGTATTGAAATAACAATTGAATTTTTGTAAAGCTTTTTAAAATAATTGAATTCTTTCAAGAAGTTTTTTTTTGTAACTAAATTTTTGTAAAGAATTTTATTAATTTTATTAATTTGAAATTAATTGAATTCTTTTGAGAAAATATTTGAATATTTTAAACAATTTTGATAATTTTTTGAATTCTTTTAGAAAATTTTATGAAAATAATAAATATTGAAAATCATTGAATTGGTAAAAGATTTGGAAAATAATTGAAATTTTGTCAAGAATTTTATTAAATTTTTTGAAAATAATTCGAATTACGACTAAGAAATTTGCTATTATCTATAAATTTTTTGAAAAAGAAATTAATTATTTTAATAGTGAAAAAAAATATAATTATTATTTCTTTGCTTAATTTTTAATAAAAAAAAATGAAATTCTCTCTCACCTTCGATGCCAAATACAATTCATCCGGAGCGTTTGCGATAAATTTTTCAATTTCACCAACTTTAAATGCAGTCGATGTTTTACATTGATAACCTTGTGATTTTCCCTTTAAAAATTTCAATATTGAATTATAACCGGTAATGTCAATGTTTTCGTAAATATTTATTGTTCTCTTCAACATTGAATACTGTGACCACAATGATGTTGGCTTATATTTCTCGCCCAACACTTCAAAATACATTAATAATGTTTTTTCATTTGTTAAAAGGACATTTGTTTCACGCCAATTTTTAAATAGCTGATAAATTGCTTCGTAATGCTCCTTTGATTTCAATCCCTTTAGCGTTGTATTATCGCCTTTAATTTGTCCTATGCGATAGGTTTTTGAATTTTCCAATTCCGATTCTGGTTGAAATTTTTCCTCGTCTTCTGAACTTGACATTTTTTCTTTTTCTTTTTCTTCCTTTACACTTGACTTTTCTTTATTTTCTTTACACTTGACTTTTCTTTCTTTCACTTTTTCACTTTGTAATGTTTTTTCTTCTTCTTTTCTTTAAAACGAAGAATTGAAAAAAAACAATCGCGTTTAGTTCTGAAGTTTATGATTTTCAAAAAAAAAAACAATGTTTATGTTTATTGCAGGCACAATAGCCATAGACAATGAGAAAATTATAGATTGTTATTCCCGAGGGAGAGAAAGGCGTTGTTTGCTTGTTAAGTACGTTTCACAGTGCGCGAAAATTGCACAGGGTTGGGTAGTTATATTTAAATTTATTTCCATTATTTTTCTTTTAAAAAAGAAAAATTCTTTTGGAAATATTGTTATTTATTTTACACCCTTTAATTTTTTATTATTAATAATATAATAACTATTTTTATTAATTCGAAAAATTCAATTTTATATTTTATTCTCCTCACTTTTTCCTAATTTTCATAAAAAATATTTACTTCTTTATTCTCATCCTGCAAATAAATATTCAATTCCTGCACCGAATTTTATTATTCATCAAAAAATTAAAATATTTAGAAAAATAATTCAATTCTTACGAAGAATTTAAAAAAATTTTAAAAATTAAATTAAATTTAAAAAAAAAATTATTTCTTTCCACTAATTTTATGCAAATTCTAATTTAAATAATTGAATTCCAGAGAAGAATTTTTATTATTCATGAAAATAATTGAATTCTTACGAAGATTTTTATTAAAATATTTGAAAATAATTGAATCCCTGTAAAAAATTCTAATATTTTTCTAAATAATTGAATTCTTCTAAAGAATTGAAAAAAATTAACTTTAAAAAAAATTTTTTTAATTTTTTGAAAATAATTGATTTTTTTGAGGAATTGAAATTTAATTATTGTATTAAAAATAATTGAAATCCTACGACGAATTTTATTATTTATGAAAATAATTGAATTCTTAGGAGGATTTTTATTAAAATTTTCAAAAATAATTGAATTTTTGAGAAGAATTTTTTTTTATTTATGAAAATAATTGAATTTTTGGAAATAATTTTTTTAAAATCAAAAAAAATAATTCAATTCTTTCAAAACAATTAAATTTAAATTGTATTTAAAATAATTGAAATCGTGTGATCAATTTTTTTATTTATGAAAATAATTGAATTTTATTCGGTAAATAATTGAATTCTGATCAGAATTTTATTACAATTTGTTAAATTAATTGAATTCTTATGAAGATTTTTATTAAAATATTTGAAAAAAATTGAATTCCTGTGAAAAATTCTAATATTTTTCTAAATAATTGAATTCTTCCAAAGAATTTTAAAAAAACATTTTTTTAAATAATTGATTTTTTCGTGGAATTGAAATTAAATTATTGTATTAAATATAATTGAAATCCTGCGACGAATTTTATTATTTATGAAAATAATTGAATAGTTGCAAAGAATTTTATTAAAATTTTCAAAAATAATTGAATTTCTGAGAAGAATTTTATTATTTATGAAAATAGTTGAATTCTTGGGAAAAATTTTATTAAAATCTAAAAAAATAATTGAATTCTTTCAAAAAAATGTTATTAAAATTGTATTTAAAATAATTAAAATCGTGTGATCAATTTTTTTATTTATGAAAATAATTGAATTTTTTTTTCGGTAAATAATTGAATTCTGATCAGAATTTTATTACAATTTGTTAAATTAATTTAATTCTTTCTAGGAATTTTATTAAAATATTCTTTTCAAATAATTGAATTCTCTTCAAAATTTTATTAAAATATTAAGAATAATTGAATTCGTTTAAAAACATTAAGAAAATAATTGAATTTCTGCATTGAATTTTACTATTTATAAAAATAATTGAATTCTTCCCAAAAAAATTTATTGTTCATGAAAATATTTAAAACGTTTAGAAACAATTTTTGGAAATATTTGATTTTTTTGGGGGAAATTTTATTGAAATTGAATTGAAAATAATTGAATTCTCTGATGAAATATTAAAATTAATTGAATTTTGTTCGAGAAATATTAAAATTATTGTATTAAAAATAATTGAAATTTTGCCAAGAATTTTACTAATTTATAAAAATAATTCAATTATTTCCACGAATTTTTATAAATTTTAAAAATTAATTGAATTGTTTCCATAAGTTTTTATAAATTTTAGAAAATAATTGAATTCTTTCAAAAAAAAAAAAAAATAATAATTGAATTCTTCCAAAGAATTTAAAAAAACATTTTTTTTAATAATAATTGATTTTTTCTAGAAATTGAAATTAAATTTTTAAAAATAATTACATTTTTCGAGCAAGTCCTGTAAAATTGTTTTAAAAATAATTGAAATCCTGCGATAAATTTTATTAAAATTTTCAAAAATAATTGAATTTTTTAGAAAAATTTTATTATTTATGAGAATAATTAAATTATTGAGAAAATTTTTTATTAAAATGTTTAAAAAAAATTGAATTTCTGTGAAAAATTGTATTATTTTTGAAAATAATTGAATTTCTGTAAAACATTTTGTTATTTTCAAAAATAATTGAATTTTTTAGAAAAATTTTATTATTTATGAGAATAATTAAATTATTGAGAACATTTTTTATTAAAATGTTTAAAAAGAATTGAATTTCTGTGAAAAATTGTATTATTTTTGAAAATAATTGAATTTCTGTGAAAAATTTTGTTATTTTCGAAAATAATTGAATTATTTTGAAGAACTGAATAAAAATTTTGTTAAATAATTTATTTTTTTGTATTATTAATATTATTATTATTATTATTATTATTATTATTATTATTATTATTATTATTATTTTAATAAAAAATTTGTTTTTTAATTACTTAAATTGTATACAATTTTTTTCAAAAATATATTAAAATTAAAAAAAATTTTTTTGCCTGTAAATAATTTATTAATAAGTAATTTTCTTTTATTTTTTCAGAAATTCTGGACATTGAATCAACTAATTCTATCGATGATTGAAAGAAAACAAATTACAAGTAATAGGAAGAAAATATTTCAGGGTGAAATAAAAATACCCAGAATTTTTCATTTAAGAGAGATGAATTTTGAAGAGACCGTTTAAAGAAAAGAAGTGTGAAGAAAAAAAAAAAATTTTTTTTCTCTAATAGTCGAAAAAAAGCGTCGAAGAAGAAAATGAAAAATATCGAAAAAATTGTGTTTAGTTTTGTGATAAAAAAAAGTATTAATTATGTTCAAGAGAATCTTTATTTTGTTAATATTATTATAAAATAATAGTAATAAAAAAAAATTTACAATAATATTTATTGCCTTTTGTTTTTAAACGTATTTCGATAAATAATTTAAAGTCTTAAAAAGTGAAATAAAATTGAAAAATTTTCGAATTTAAGAATTGAAAAATTATGTTAATTCAATTATTATAGAAAATAATTGAAAAATTCTTCAATTAAAGAATTGAAAAACTATTTTAATTAAATAATTAGAGAATTAAAAATGTATTCAGCTACGTAATTGAAAAAATTATTAAACTAAATAATTGAAATACTATTTAATTGAATAATAGAAAACTTATTAAAGAATTGAAAAATTATTAAATTAAAGAATTAAAAAATTATTAAATTAAATAATTGAGAAAAATATTTAAATTATCGAATAAAAATTTAATTTAGTAAAATTATATTATTAAAAAAATTTAAACTTACTTTAGGTTAAATTATACTAGAAAAGTTATTAACTTGAAGACTTTTGAAATTATTTAACTAAAGAATTGAAAAACTAATAAATTAAATAATTGAATAATTGAGAAATTATAAAATTAAGGAATTGAAAATCTATTAAATTAAGTAATTAAAAAGTTATTATTTTTTTACTCAATAATAATAATAATTTTAATAATGTTTATATTTTAGTTTTTTTTTTTTAAATATTTCGAGGGAAATAGAAAAAAATGAAAATAATTAAATAAAAAAATAGTGAATTAAAAATAATTAGTCAGTGAAATAAAAATTCTTTGTAATAAATAGTTTAATATTTAATACACATTATAGTAACTTAGACAGTTTTTAAAGTTAGATATAATTAAATAATTTGTAAATTAAAATTAGACAATTAACTAATTAGTAATTAGAAAATAATTAAAATTAGATAATTAATAATTAGAAATTTCAAATTAGATAATTAGAATTATATAATTAATTTTCTCTTTTATTATATATAATAATTATTAACTAGTGTCATCGTGGGTAAAATTTGACGAAAAAGAAAATTCTTAAATTTTAATTTCTTTCCGTAAAAATACGCAGTTGACAAAAAAATATCGTTAAATTAATAAATTTCCGTCATTAATGATACAAATAAATTTAAATCAATACAAATCAATAATCATTGATTTAATTTCTTTTCGTATTAAAAAACATTTTCCCAAATGGATCGTTTCTTTGATTTATTAGAATTCAAAAATTAAATTATTGAAAGAAATAGAAATAATTGAACTTTTAATTGAATAATTGAATAAAAATAAAAATACTTCCTCTATGAGGAAGTAATAATTGAAAAACTCAAAATTAAATTGAAAAATCTTTTAATTCAATTTTCAGTTCAATTATTTATATTTTTTCGAAATTGCGAAATTCGAAAATTGATTTGTAAAATTAGATAATTGAATTTAAAATTAGATATACTTGACTTTTCCAAATAAATAATTGAATTTTTAACCTAGAATAATATTGAATCAAACATTTTTCTGAGAAACAATTTTTTGAAATTCGAAAATCAATTTTTAAATTCAATTATTCAATTTTAATTTCTATTAATTCATTTCAAATTCAATTATTTACTTTAAAAATTCAATTTTTGAGTCTTTAAATTCAATTTTCGAATTTCGGAATTTCAAACGTTAATTTTTCAATTCAATTTTGAGTTAAATAATTGAATAAAAATAATTTAACTCAAAATTGAATTTAAAAATTAACTTTTGAAAGAAACATATTTCTTTGTTTTATTAGATTTTAAAATAAATAATTGAATAAAAATAATTCAACTCAACATTGCATTGAAAAATTAACTTTCGAAATTCCAAAATTCGAAAATTGAATCAAAAACTAAAGAATTTAACTTTTAAAGTAAATAATTGAATTTGGAAATGATTTGATAGAAATTAAAATTGAATAATTGAATTTAAAAATTGATTTTTCAAATTCCAATATTTGAAAATTGAGTCAAGTTCAAGAATTAAATTTGCAAATAAAATTTAAATATTACAGAATTTAAAAAAATGAATTAAAAGAAAATTGAATCTGAAAACTCAAGAATTGAATTTTTAAAGTAAATAATTGAATTCAAAATTAATTATTAAAAATTAAATTGAATAATTGAATTTAAAAATTGATTTTTGAAATTCCAAAATTCGAAAATTGAGTCAAATTTAAGAATTGAATTTGAAAATAAATTTTAAATATTACAGAATTGAAAATTGAATTTGAAAATAAATTTTAAATATTACAGACTTGAAAATTGAATTTAGAAAAAAAAATTGAATCTAAAAACTCAAGAATTGAATTTTTAAAGTAAATTTGAAATTAATTAATAGAAATTAAAATTGAATAATTCACTTTAAAAATTGATATTTGAAATTATAAAATTCGAAAATTGAGTCAAGTTGAAGAATTGAAAATTGAATTTACAAAAAAAAATTGAATCTAAAAACTCAAGAATTGAATTTTTAAAGTAAATTTGAAATTAATTAATAAAAAATTAAAATTCAATAATTGAATTGAAAAATTGAAATTTGAAATTATAAAATTCGAAAATTGATTCAAGTTCAAGAATTGAAAATTGAATTTAGAAAAAAAATTGAATCTAAAAACTCAAGAATTGAATTTTTAAAGTAAATTTGAAATTAATTAATAGAAATTATAATTGAATAATTTAATTTAAAAATTGATAATTTAAATTCCAAAATTCGAGAATTGAGTCTAAAAGTTCAATAATTGAAAATTTAATTTAGAAAAAAAATTGAATCTAGAAACTCAAAAATTGAATTTTCAAATTAAATAATTGAACTTGAAATTAATTAATAGAAATTAAAATTAAATAATTGAATTTAAAAATTGATTTTTGAAATTCCAAAATTCGAAAATTGAGTCAAGTTCAAGAATTAAATTTGCAAATAAAATTTAAATATTACAGAATTGAAAAATGAATTAAAAGAAAATTGAATCTGAAAACTCAAGAATTGAATTTTTAAAGTAAATAATTGAATTCAAAATTAATTAATAAAAATTAAAATTGAATAATTGAATTTAAAAATTGATTTTTGAAATTCCAAAATTCGAAAATTGAGTCAAATTCAAGAATTGAATTTTAAAATTGAATTTAGAAAAAAAAATTGAATCTAAAAACTCAAGAATTAAATTTTTAAAGTAAATTTGAAATTTATTAATAAAAATTAAAATTGAATAATTCAATTGAAATATTGACATTTGAAATTATAAAATTCGAAAATTTAGTCTAAAAGTTCAATAATTGAAAATTGAATTTAGAAAAAAAATTGAATTTAAAAACTGAAGAATTGAATTTTTTAATTAAATAATTGAACTTGAAATTAATTAATAGAAATTGAAATTAAATAATTGAATTTAAAAATTGATTTTTCAAATTCCAATATTCGAAAATTGAGTCAAGTTCAAGAATTGAATTCGAAAATAAATTTAAGACATTACAGAATTGAAAAATGAATTGAGAATAAAAAAGTTGAATCTAAAAGTCAAAGAATTGGATTTTTGAAGTAAATAATTGAATTTGAAATTAATTAATAGAAATTAAAATTAAAAAATTGAATTTAAAAATTGATAATTGAAATTCCAATATTCGAAAATTGAGTCAAGTTCAAGAATTGAATTCGAAAATAAATTTTAGATATTAAAGAATTGAAAATTGAATTTAGACTAAAAAAAATAATCTAAAAATCAAAGAATTGGATTTAAATTGAAACAATTGAATAGAAATCAATTAGGATTACTTTTCCTTAGACGAAAATTGAAAAAGAAAAATACCGAAAATATAAAATCTCTCTCTGTCCCTCTCTCTCTCTTCACATTAAACCATTTTCTCAAGAGGATCATTTCCTTGTTTCAATTCATAATCAATTTCCAATTTCGGCTGCTTCAATGGCACAACATTACTATCGTCATCCTCATCGACATCATCATTGTAATCATTGTCCGAGTCCTCATAAGGAATTAAAACCTCTTGAAATTTAATTGAAGGAAATTTATCATCCATTTGATTTGTTCTCTGCGATTGTCTACCTTCACTATTTGCTGCTGTTGTTGTCGTCGTCGTCGTCGTTGTTGTTGCTGTCGATGTTGTCAATAAATCGAGAATATTACTTCCAACTTCCTTTTGTAATGTAGCGGCAGTACGTCGAAATGCATGTCCCGTGTATAAATCGGGATTCTTTAATTTTAAAAACGCCGCAATTTGCTTTGGCATACTGGAGAATTTATTTTTTCCAATCACTTGAACGGTGCATTTTCCCCTTTGATAATTGAGGAAAAATCTGTCGGTCTCCGTTCGTTTTGGACGTAATCTTTGATATTGTTTAACAACATCGGAATATTCGGGAGTTATTGTGAATGAACGGGATTTTTTAAATTTTGTACCAGCTACTTTTACGAGTAGTAATTTTCCGTGTTCTTCGACTTCTGTTGTTTTTAATTTCACCAATTCGTCTGATCTGCATGCGCCGGCAATTCCGAGTATTAGACAGACCTAAAATTAATAGAAATAAAATTATTATTCACAATTATTATTATTACTAGCAAATTATTCCATTTATTATTATTTTTCAAAATATTAATTAAATTCCATTATTTTCACGAAATTCGATTATTTTCAACAGTTTTCATGAAATTCTTTTTAAAAAAATCATTTATTTTCAAACTTTTTAATAAAATTGGTCGAAACAATTCAATTATTTTTATGAATTGAAAAAACCTCAGCAAGACTTTAATTATTTTCATAAATAAGAAAATTCTTCGCAAGAATTAAAATATTTTCATAAAAATAAGAAAATTCTACAAAGGAATTCAATTATTTTCATAAATAATAAAATGTTTCGGAGAAATTCAATTATTTTCAATTCAATTTTAATTAAATTTCTCGAAAGAATAGAATTATTTTTAAAAATATTAATTAAATTCAATTATTTTCAACAATTTTCATAAAATTCTTTTTAAAAAATCATTATTATCAAAATTTTTAATAAAATTCCCTCAAAAAATTCAATTATTTTCAAAAAAGCAGATAAAATTCTTCGAAACAATTCAATTATTTTTATGAATTTGTAAAATCCTTAGCAAGAATTCAATTATTTTCATAAATAAGAAAATTCTTTGTAAGAATTAAAATATTTTCATAAATAATAAAATGTTTCGAAGGAATTCAATTATTTTTATAAATATTATTTAAATTCAATTATTTTCAAGAGTTTTAATAAAAATTCAATTATTTTCAACAATTCTTCTGAGAAATTCAATTATTTTCAAAATTTTCAGTAAAAATTATATAAAAAAAATTATTTTTAAGAATATTGAATAATAAATTCTTCAAAACAAATAAATTATTTTAATGAATTTTAATAAAAATCTTTCCAAGAATTAAATTATTTTTAATACAATTTTAATTTAATTTTCTCGAAAGAATTAAATTATTTTTATAAATATTATTGAAATTCAATTATTTTCAAGAGTTTTAATAAAAAGTTAATTATTTTCAACAATTCTTCAAAACAATTCAATTATTTCTATAAATTGTAAAATTCTTCGGAAAAATTCAATTATATTTGTAAATAATAAAATTATTCTTCTGAGTAATTCAATTATTCTCAAAATTTTCAGTAAAAATTATATAAAAAAAAAAAAATTATTTTAAAGAATATTGAATAATAAATTCTTCAAAACAATTTAATTATTTTAAAAGAAATTTAATAAAAAACTTTCCAAGAGAATTAAATTATTTTCAATAAAATTTTAATTACATTTTTTCGAAAGAATTCAATTATTAAAAAAAATAGTTGATAAAATTCTTGAAATAAATTCAATTATTTTGAAATTTTTTTATAAACACTTTACAACAATTCAATGATTTTTTTATAAAATCGAAAATTTAATTATTTTAAAAAATAATTGAATTCTTCAATAAAATTTTATTAAAACTTTTTTAGAAAGTTAAATCTCTGCGAAAAAATTTATTATTTCTATGCAAATAATTGAGTTTTTGCAAAATTAAAAAAAATAAGTGAATTTTTGAGAAAAATTCCATTAAAATTTATTGTATTTAAATTGAGAAAATTTAATAATAATTTAATATTCCCTCAAATTCAATTAAAATTGTTTTTAAAATAATTGAATTCCAGCGAAAATTTCATTATTTTTTAAAATAATTGAATTCTTGAATTGAATTTTAGTACTTGAAGGAAATATGAATTGAAAAAATAATCGAATTCTCCTAAAGAATTTTTATTACAATTATTAAAAATAATTGAAAAGTCGGCACAAATTTTATTAAAATTGCATTAAAACCAATCAAACAAATTCGAAAAAATTAATTAAAATTATATTTTTAAAATATTGAATTTTTATATAATGAATATTATCAAAAAATTTTTTTAAATTAAATTTGACAATAATTGATTTTTCTTGAGAAATATTAAAAAAAAATTGAAATTCTACGAAGAATTTTAATATTTTTGAAAGTAATTGATGAAGCTGAAGCTGAAATTTTGAAGCTTGAAATTTTCTTGAAATTATATTGAAAATAATTGAATTTTAGTTGACATATTAAAAATAAATGATTTTAAAAATAAATAATAGACTCGAAAATTAAATAATTGAATTTAAATTAAAATAATTGAATTTACATAGACATAATTGAATTTAAAATTGAATAATTGAATTTAAAACATAATTTTCAAAAATTCTAATTCAAATTTCAAATTAAAAATAAAATTTTCAAATGTTGAATTCAAAATTAATTTTTGCAAATTTAAAAGTACTTACGTAAAATTAACACAAAGTTTCAATTTTAAATTCATTTTAAAAATTGAAAAATTTACCATAAAAATTAAATAATTGAATTAAAAATGGAAGAATTGAATTTTACAGTTCAAAATTAATTTCTCAAATTAAATAGTTTGTATAAAATTAATATAAATTTTGAAAATTGAATTTAACAATTGATTAATTTACCTTAAAAATAAAAATATTGAATTCCATATTAAAGAATTGAATTTTCAATTAAATAATTGAATTCCAAATCAAAGATTTGAATTTGAAATTAAATAATTGAATTCCAAATTAAAGGATTGAATTTGAAATTAAAATTTGAATTAAATTATACAATTTACAAAAAAATTTTACAAATTTTAAAATTCGAAAATTGAATGAATAATTTTTTTAATTGATTCTAAAAATTGACTTTAATATAAAAGAATTGAATTTAAAAAGTAAAATAATTGAATTAAAAACGAATCAATTACATTTAAAAATTGAAAATTAATTTTAAAAATTCAAAAAATCGCGAATTCCATTGGAAATTTGAATCTAAAAGTTAAAAAAACATAAAATAATCACTAATTTTTAAAAATAAATAAAAAAATAATTACCTTTGTTGCTAAATAAAATTCATCGGGTGCTCTTGCAATAAATTCACAAATTTCCTCCGCCTTGAATATATTCGAACGTTTACTTTGAAAACCTTGCGATTTAAATTTCAAAAATGCCGACACTGTTTTAAAATTACTGATATCGATTTTCTCATTAATTCCAATTGTACTCTTTAACATTGAATATTGCGCCCACAATGTCGTTGGCTTATATTTTTCGCTCAACAATTGAAAATATTCCATTATTGAATTTTCATTTGTCAAATATAATTTTGTTTCACGCCAATTTTTAAAATTCTGATAAGCCGCGTCATAATTTTCCTTCGATTTCAATTGTAATAATGGCGATTCCAAATTTACCGATGTTTCCATTTCCAAATTTTCCGGTGGCATATATTTAACATCGTCCTCTGAACTTGACATTATGAATTATCTTCTTTTGTTTCTTTGTTAATTCTTCTTTTTCTTCCTCTTCTTCTTCTTCTTTTTCTTCTTCTTCTTGTTTTTTCTCTTCTTCTTTTCTTTGTTAATTCCTTTTCACTAACACAATAAAAAATAAACCTTTTTTTGCGGTGTTTTTTTTTAGCGGATATGACACTTTTCTTTCAGATAGAAATTAGAAAATTGCAAATAACGAGAGTGCAACAGAAAATTTCTTGACACACTAATGCGGTGGAACCGGTGGAAGGAAAAAAATTTATGTTTACGGGCGTCGAATTTTCTGTCAAATTATTATTGTATTGCATAAACAATGACAGAAAGATAGATTGTGCTCCCGAGGGAGGAAAAGAGACACTTTTTAATGGGCCCCGTGACCTTAAGTCTCGTTCACAGTGGGAATATTGCCCCCCCCCCTCCCCCTAACCCTTGCCACCTTGTTGCCAACAGTTGAAAATTGAAACTCGAAACTTGAAAATTAAATATAATTACCACTATAAATAATAAATCGAAATAATTTTAAATTTCTTTTTGTTTATATTGTTCTATTTGTTTATATTTACAAAAACAAAACTTCAATTTTCGTTTATAATTTTCACTTTTAAATTTTCCCGCGCGTAGCAGACGAAACCGAAAATCGATCGATAAACAAAACTCACGTGTATTTGTCTTTTAATTTTTCCAGAAGAAAATGGGACGATATTTATTACTTTTTTCGTATATGGGTCATCGGTACAGGTAATAATTTTATCGAAACTAAATAAATACAACAGAATATACTTAATATTAGTGGAAAAAATATTGTTTAATAATTCGTATAATTCTTCGTATACTCGTGCGTGTATTTTGAGGTTATGTACGTCGCACTGTTATTGAAAAAGATAACCTCTCTTTTTTGCGAAAAATGCGGCGAAAAAAATAGTTTTTTCTCTTTGAATTTTTTTTTAGAGGACTTCAGAGACAAACGGGAAATCGTGATGTATTAAATGTTGATTGTATTCAAGGTGCAATTGAAGCGGCTTATTCTTCAGTGAGACCGAAAATAATCAAAGACAGATTTGTCGCATCAAGCAGGTAAAAGTGATCGTAATTTTTCTTTACTTTCCTCGTATTATTGGGAAAAATTTTCATAAAATGTTTAAAAAAAAAATTGAATTTCAGTGAAAAATTTTGTTATTTTTTTGAAAATAATTGAATTCTTCATAAAAATATTATATTTAAACGGTATAATAAATTTTCTTTATATTTTATTTTTAAAAATAAAATATACGAAAAATAGCTTTTATTTTCAAAAAAAAAGAAAATTTTTCTCCACTATTTTATAAATTTTAATTTTCCCCGAAAATTAAGAGTTTGACAATTTTCAGAACAGATGCAGGAGTTCATGCACTTTTCAATTCGGCTCACATTGAATTAGAAAATAAATTTGGACTCTATTATGATCCGGAATCGTTAAAGCGTTTTATAAATAGACATTTACTGCGATGTCGTCACGAAATACGGTAAGAAAAAATTCTCTCAAAAATAAAGAAAAGAAAAGATACATTTTTTAATTTTCATAAATAATTTTTCTACTTTTTAGAATATTACAATGTATTCCCATCACGGATAAATTTCACGCGAGACATAATGCATTGTCGCGAACATATTATTTTCGATTTGCAGTTCCAAAAAATGGCGTCACTGACAGAATGGCTCCAATTTCGGAAATGAACAGAAGTACAACTTATAGGTAAAAAAAAAATAATATTATAAAAATCTATATTAATATTATAGTAAAATTGTATTTTGGTAATATGTTAATTAAAACGTTTAAAATAATTAATGTTTCTTTTCAAGAATTTTATTAAAAAATTGACATAATTAAATTTTTTTAATCAAATTGTATATTTAAATTCAATCATTCAATTTTAAATAAAAATAATTAATAAATAAATTCAATTTTAATAAAGAAGTTTTAGAAAATCCAGAATTCGAAAATTTAGTCTAAATCTTTAAGAATTGAATTTAAACAGAAATAAATGAATGTAAAATTAAATAATTGAATTTAAACAGAAATATTTTAATGTAAAATTAAATAATTGAATTTAAACAGAAATAATTGAATGTAAAATTAAATAATTGAATTTAAAATTATGTATAAATTAATTTTTAAATTCAATTAAATTTATTTTAATTCAATTCTTGAATTTTTTCCTTCTTTGCATACAGATTTCACGAATTTAATTTGGAGAAATTTCAAAGTGGATTGAAACATTTCATTGGACTACATGATTTTGGAACATTTTCGGTTGAAGATAAAGACAATAAACATAAAGTCTATCGACGATTGTTGTATGAAGTGACACTGGAAAAGGCAACTCCTCTATTTCCGTTCGATCCATGCGTGGAAAATTTTGATTACTGGCACATTAAATTTAGAGGAAAATCGTTTGTTCATAATCAGGTAAACAATTATTTCAAATTAATTCGGAACTTATTAAATTTAAGTTGAAATAAATATTATTGAACTTGAAAATTAATTTTAGAAATTTAAATTAAACTTTTTTAAATTGAATCCAAAATTAAACGATTGAATTTAAAATTAAGTAGTTGATTTAAAAATGAAATAATTGAATTTAAAATGAAATACATGAATTTAAAATGAAGTAATTTATTTAAAAATAATATAATTGAATATAAAAAGAAATAGTTAAATTTAGAATTGATTGAATTAAAAAATTCAAAATTAATTTTACAAAATACAAAGTTTTGATATAAATCTGAAAATTTCTAATATAAAAACTACAAATTAAAAAAAAATTCAAAAATGAATTATAGAAATTTTTAAATTCAAAAATTAAATATTTAATCCAAAATTTAAAAAAAAATGAAAATATCGATTTTAAATAATAAAAAGTAATTAAAAATATTAAATATTTATTTTTAAATCAAATTGAATACAATTATTTTCTAAATTTCTAATAAATTCTTTTGAAACAATTCAATTATTTTTTCAAATAGTAAAGTCTTTGCAAACATTCAATTATTTTCAATTATTTAAATTTTTTCCATCTCGTTTTCTTCTGGTTATTTAAAATATTTTTTTGTGAAAAATTTCTAAATTTTTAAAACGTTTAATAAATTTCTTGAAAAAATAATTGAAATATTTTCTTTAAAACTGAAAAAATTTCAATTATAGGTAATTCAAAAATTCAATTATTTCTAAAATCGTCTGTAAAATTTATTTTAAAAATTCAATTATTTTTCAAATTTTTAAGAAATTCCTTGTAAAATATTACATTATTTTCTAAAAGAAAAAATAAGAAAATTATACAATTTGTTAAATAAAAATTTAATTATATGTCAATTTTTTAATAAAATTCTTGAAAAATTAAATTACTTTTTATAGAATTTAAAAACTAATTTTTCAGAATTTTAAATACAATTTCTTCAAAGAATTCAATTCTATATATTCGAAAGTTTTGTTTAAATTCTTCACAAAATTTCAATTATTTTCATAAATAATAAAATTTTTCGCGAAAAATTCAATTATTTTTAAAAATAGTAAAACTTTTTATAGGAATTCAATTATTTTAAAAAATTTCTGTCAAATTCTTCTATAGAATTCAATTATTTTCTAAATTTTTTTTAAATTTTTGGAAAGAATTCAATTATTTTTATAAATTTTTTTTTTTTTTTTTTATTTATATACACAAAGAAATTCTTCAAAAGAATTTAAATATTTACAAAAACTCTAATAAAAAAAAAAAATTTTTTCCAGATTCGACGAATGGTCGGCGCACTTTTTGCCCTCTCCTGTGGACAAATTACGGAAAAAGACATAATAACAATGCTTCAAGTGCCATCGAAGAACAGTTGGTGTCCGCAAGTCTCAACAGCTCCCGGAAATGGACTCTATTTAGCGAATATTGAATACGATCAAAAGGAATTAGAAAAAAATACCATCGTTTACAACGAGAAAGAATTTTTACGACCCGTAAAAAGATTCTCTTAGAAAAAATACAAAAAAAAAATATTTTTCTAAAGAAAAAAAGACGAAAATTAAATTAATTCATTATTAATATTAATTGTCAATATTAACTATTTATTAATTTAAATAATATATTTTAATTAATTATTTACTAATATTAATTATTAATTTGTCAAATTTAAAGTTACTTTTTCAATTCATAATTCAATTGTTTATTTTTAAATTCAATTTTTAAATTTTAAAGTTATTTTTTCAATTTACAATTCAATTAAAAAAAATTTTCAATTCTATTTTTCGAACTAAAAGAAAATAATTTAATTTAAAATTGATTAATTTAAATTTAAAAAATATTTTGCAAAAATTCTTTGAAAGAATTCAATTATTTTTTAAAATAATTGAAAAAAATAATTCAATTTAAAATTGAATAATTGAATTTAATAAAGAAATTTTACGAGGCCTTTAAAATTGCTTCAACATTAATTATTAATATTAATTAATTGTTATTAGTTTAATTATTTACGAATATTAATTATTAATATTAATTACTAATTTAATTAATTAATTAATTAAATTTTTTATAAAAGAAAATCTCCACCAACTTTTCGTTTCCTTTTTCAAAAATGGATCTGGAAAGTTTACTAAACAAAAAACGATCACAATTAAAATCATGTCAAACAATTGTCACCGATACGAGTGGAAGAAAATTCTGCTACGAAAATGGCGAGAAACGTGAATTAGAAAAAGGTCTCTCATTTATTGTTGACACAAAACCAGATTTGGAAATTGTGGAAATAATTTCTGGTCTTTATTTAAGTTCACAGGATCCGGTGATGAGTGAGGAATTATTATTGAAATATTCGATAAAAAATATTCTCAGCATTGGCATTCAAGTGCCAGTGAAATTTAATTCAATTCGTTATTATTTTATTGAAATTCTCGATTTGCCGGAATTTGATATTTTTCAATGTCTAAAGCAGTGTTTGGAAATTATCGATAATTGTTGTTGTCATGGCGATGAAAATATTTTAGTTCATTGTAATGCGGGAATTTCACGTTCACCGACAATTGTCATTGCTTATTTAATGGCGAGAGAAAAATTAACGTTTCACGATGCTTTTCAACGTGTTAAATTGCAACGCGAACGAATTAAACCGAATGAAGGATTTATTAGACAATTGACGATGAATTCTCAGGATATTCAAGGATTTTTTGAATATAATTTTGAATAAATTTGTAACTATTGTGATTTTTTGTTAATTTTTTGTAATTTTTGGTAATTATTTTGGTATTTTTTTTCATTTTTAAACTTTTTTTTAAACTTTTTTTAAAACTTTTTTAAAAATATTTTCTACTAACTTTTTGTATCAATTTGTATTCTTCGATTAGTGTTAATAATTTTATCATAATTATTAATAATTAATAAAGTGTTTTTTTTGTGTAAAAAATTTTCTTTTTAACAATGACGAATTTTTCTAAAAAAAAAAATGAAAATACAAATTTTTTCTTAATTTGTAAAAAAATTTTACAGAAAATAATTGATTTTTTAAAAATATTTTATTAACATTTTTTTAAAAATGAAATTTTAAAAATTTCAATTGCAAATCTTAAAACCAATTGAGTTTATAAAAAAATAATTTTCATAAAGAATTGAATTATTCTTAAGAATTCAATTATTTTCAAAAATTTTTTAATAATTTCCGAAGATTTTAATAAAACCCTTCTGAAGAATTCAATTATTTTTACAATTTTTTACTAAATTTCACGGACTTTTTTTACTTTTTTTACTTTTATTCAATTCTTAAATTTAAAAGTTACTGTTTCAATTGACAATTCAATTCTTTATTTTTAAATTCAATTATTAAATTTTAAAGTTACTTTTTCAATTTACAATTCAATTAAAAAAATTTTCAATTCTATTTTCGAACTGAAATAAAATAATTTAACCCAAAATTGAATAATTTAATTTAATAAATAAATAATTATAATTTAAATTGAATAATTGAAGTTTAAAAATTAATTTTCAAAAATTCTTAGAAAGAATTCAATTATTTTCCAAATTTTTTTTTTTATTAAATTTCAATTGATTGTTGCATTATTTTTCAATCGCATTTAAATCTTCAATTTTAAATTCAATTTTTTGAAATTGAAAAAATAATTGAATTTAAAATTAAATAATCGAATTTTATAAGAAAATAATTGTATTTAAAATTGAATAATTGAAGTTTATAAAGAAATAATTGCATTTAAAATATTAAAATTGAATAATTGAATTTTATAAAGAAATAATCGCATTTAAAATTGAATAATTGAATTTAAAAAAAAAATTGTAATTGAAATTGAATAATTGAAATTAAAATATTAATTTTCAAAAATTCTTTGAAAGAATTCAATTATTTTCAAATTTTTTTCTAACTAAAATTTTAATTAATTGTTAGATATTTTTCAATTACATTCAATTCTTTAATTTTTGATTTAATTAAAAAAATATTCAATTGAATTTTTACGAAATGGCAAAAAATTTAAATTTAAAATTAAATAATTGAATTTTTATAAGGAAATAATTGCAATTAAAATTGAATAATTAAATTTTATAAAGAATTCAATTATTTTCAGAATTTTTAAAAAAATTCCAAGAAAATATTTGACTTTCATTCAATTCTTTAATTTTAAATTCAATTTTTAAATTTCAAGTTACTTTCTCAATTTTTATATTTAATTTAAAAAAAATTATCAATTCTATTTGCGAACTTATTGTGAATTTGTAAAATTAATTTGTAATTGTAATTTTTAAACTTTTTTTTGTTTTAAAATATTTTTAAATTAGTATTCTACTCTTCGTATCTATTTTTATTTTTCAATTAGTGTCAATAATTGTTATAATTGTTAATTGTTAATTATTAATAATTAATAAAGTATTTTTTTTGCCTAGAAAAATTTTCTTTCTGAACAGAGACGAATTTTTACATAAAAGATAAAATTTTTCTATATTTATTTTCTAATTTTCTATATATTTAAGTATATTTCGTATATTTCACCTTTAGTTTAATTTATACTAATTAATTTTTCCATATTATAGATGTAGTCATAAATTATTATTGCTTTTTATTGTCAAAAAACAAATTTTAATTTTAATTAAATCGTAAATTATTTATTACGATTACGTCGATTACGTCAAAACATAACCTCAAAAATCAAGTTTTAAATATTTGTATTTTTCGTCTATTTTTCTTCTGAATTTAAAAAAAAAATTTCATTATAAGAAAAAAAAAATACTTTTTAGGTTAGAAAAATTGTCACATTTGGCAAAAAAATTCAAAAGGATAATATTTCCATGGGAAAGAAAATTAAAAAAGCAAATTATGAGTAAATGTCGTAAATGTATGAAATGTATTTACTCACCGAGGGAAGATTTGTAAATTTCATAATTATAAATGTTATAAATTTACTCACCGAGGGAATATTTGTAAATTTCGTTGATAAATTTACTCAAGGAGGGAATATTTGTAAATTTCATCACCGGGGGAATAAAATTTGCCCATCACTTCCGGTTCCGGCAATACTTCGATATTTCCTTTTCCGATTTGGAGGCTTCTTGAATTATACACCATATTTTATAGACAATAAATTCACACAAAAATAGCTCATTAACGAGCGAAATTCGAAACAAACACTCTAAAAACAATAGTAATTGTAATTACACTGAACATCAAGCACTGCACTTACTGCACTAAACAAAAATTTGCGCGTCAAGAGTGCAATTTCCCACCACTCACTCCTTTCTAATCTCCCGACCAATGGCAGTCGAGTTCCGAAAACCCTGAGCCAATCGCGTCGCGCCTTACATCAACGAACCTCGCACGTTCAAATGGACAAATCGCTGAATCGTATTCACGAAATTCACCAACATTACCCATAACTCTTTGCGCGAAAGGAGGAGTGGGTTTAATCTCCCCTATTTTTTCGCATGTTTTAGCTCGACCGGAGTCGCGAGTCACTGATTCTTTACAGTTTCGCGCAGTTAGTAATTAGTGCATCATCTCGTGAATAAGTCTCCTTCATCCAGCTCTCTTGATCGTTTTTTTACAATTAAAATTGAAAAACGATTAAAAACTTTTGAAGTAAGTGCTAAATAAAATAATAATCCGAAAAGAAAACTAACAATTTTTTAGAGAAAGAATTTATTGAAAAAAAAGAGAAAAAATTCCACACGTGTCAAAAAAAAGCGAAACATCTCCGTTTTTCTTCTATTAATTTCATTAATTTTCAATCATTTTTTTTTTATTTTTTTTTTGCTATCACGGTGAAGTTAAGATGTTCATTTATTTTCCTGTGTTTTTTTCTTTGAAAATATTGAAAAATTGTGAAGTGAATTGAAGTGTATTTTCTTTGTTGCGCGCGGTCCACGTTTTCGGAAATTTTTCCAAGTTTTCCCTCTATTTTTCATTTTAACGGTTTTTTTTTAAATTTTTAATTTATTTATTCAGTGAATATTTTTCCTTTTTCGTATCGTTAATTTTTTTAATTGAGAAAATAGTGGTTTTTAGTTTAATATTCCCTTTATTTCTTTGTTCTTGTCTCGTGGTTCGCGTTTTTTGTGTGAAGTGAAATTTATTTTTTCGCGATGTAAAAAATAATTGGAATTTTTAACATTTTGATTGCAGTAATTGAATTTTATGGTAATTGTTTTAGAATTTTTTTTTCTCCGTTAAACATTTGTGGGATGATTTTTTTCTAAACTTTTTATCTAATTCTCTAATAGTGTGAAATTAATTATGTTTTTTGCAAAGTGTGTGTAATTTGTAAGTTGAAAATTTGTTTTTTAATTTATTAATATTACTTATTGTTTATTTGAATTTTACTGTTTATTTGTCTTTTTGGTATTTATTTCTATTATTTTATTGTTTATTTGTATTTTATTATTTATTTCTGTTATTTTCTTCCTTATTTGTGTTATTTTATTGTTTATTTCTGCTATTTTACTTTATTTACTTGCATTTTTATTATTTATTTACATTTTTATTAATTATTTCTATTATTTTATTGTTTATTTGTATTTTATTATTTATTTACGTTATTTTACTATTTTTTTGCATTTTTAATATTTATTTCTATTATTTTATTGTACATTTATATTTTTTTTATATATTTCTATTGTTTTATTGTTTATTTTCGTTAAATTATTATTTATTTCTATTATTTTACTGTTTATTTGTATTGTTTTGCTATTTATTTGTATTGTATTTATTCATTGTTTCGTGTTATTTATCATAAATAAAAAATAATTTCGTTCGTAGTTATTTATAAGAATTTTTTATTTAAAAAAAATATGTAAATTTTGTCAAAATAAAAATTTATATTTTAGGGACATTTTTTCTTTTTGACATTTTTTTGATTAAAAAAAGAATTTGTTTAAGTGTAATAATTAATTAATTAACAGCTAAACATTTGTTTGATAATAAAATTATTAGAATTATTAAATTAACTTGAAAAAATTATTTAATTAATTAATTAATTATGATATTCTTTATGAAAATAATAAAATTGAATTTTTCAAAAGGATTTTATTAAAATCTTTAGAAATTATTTAAATTTTTAATTGAATTCTTAAAAACAATTCAATTCTTTATAAAAAATAATTGGATTCTTGAGAAGAAAGTTATTATAAACTTTGTGAAAATAATTCAATTTTTTTTAAAAACAATTAAAATCTTTTAAAAAATTTTATCAAATGAAATTCTGCAGAACAATAATTATTGAATTTTTAACGAAAATAATTGAATTTTTTAAAAGAATTTTATCGAAATTTTTGAAAATAATTAAATTCATTTGAAGAATTTGCTTAAATAATTATTAAATTTCTAAAAACAAGTTTTATTAAAATCTTTGAAAATTAATTAAAATTTTTAACGAAAATAATTGAATTTTTGAAAAGAATTTTATCAAAATTTTTGAAAATAATTAAATTCTTTTGAAGAAATTTTTTAAATAATTGAATTTCTAAATACAGTTTTATGAAAGTCTTTGAAAATTAATTAAAATTTTTAATGAAAACGATTGAATTTTTATAATTTTATCTAAATTTTTGAAAATAATTGACTTCTTAAAAAGAGTTTTATTAAAATCTTTGGAAATTAATTAAATTTTTATTGAAATCAATTGAATTCTAATTAAATTATTAAATTGAATTAAGAAATTAAATTTTAATCATTTTTTTATTTAGAAATTTAATTTTGTTCTTAACTTTATTAAATTAATAATTAAAGATCTATTTGGTAATTAAATTATCATAATTATTAGCTAAATTAACTTAAAAAGAAGAATTTAATAATTTTTCTGATGAAAAATTGAGTGTTTTCGTAATTTTCAAAATTAAATTAATATTTAAAAAAGATTTACTAATTAAGGTGTTAATTAAAATCATTAAATTGAATTAAAAAATGAATTTTTAATCATTTTTTGTTAAAAAATTTAAAGTTTTATGCGCCATTTTATTTTTTTAATAAATAATTGACTCTTAAAATATATTTTTTCATTCTTAATTTCTTGTCTTGCATTTTTTTGTTTTTATTATTTTAAATCAGTTCGAATAAATTTTAACTAAAATAAAAAAAAAACGATAAATAATAAATTTAATTAAAATAAAAGAAAGTAATTAAAATAAATAAAATAATTGAAATAAATGAAAAAAAATAAATTTCACAAACTTATAAATACAATGAAATAAATTTGAAATAAGGAAATTTAATAAATTAAATTTTCAAATAAATAGTAAATTTACAATAAAAAGAATTTAAAATAAATCTAATCAAATAAACAAAAAGTAATTTTATATTTAAATAAATTAATAATTTTCAGTCATATTCAACTAAAATGGATTTTTTTTTTCATTGTTACTAATTAGACAGAAAAAAAACAGTTTTTTCAATTAATTTTTTCTTAATTTTATTTAGAATTCTTCGGAATTTTTTTTTCTTAAAAAAATCCATCCAAAGTCTAATATTTAGTAAAAAAAAAAAAAAAAAGATTTAAAATTTAATTGCTTTTAACTTATGAATGTCGAAGAATTTAAATATAAAAATTTCATTAATTTAAATTTTAATGTCTTTTCTTTAATTTTAATTTCTTTTCTTTATTTCGAATTTCTCTTTTTTTTAAATTTCTCCTTTTGTTATTTAAATTTAAATTTAATTTCTTTAAATTCAAGAATTTTGAGAGAATTAAAATTTTTCCTTCTAAAAAAGAAGATAATTTCTCCCACCATTTTTTTGTTCTTTTTTTTCAAGGTCAAAATTTATATTTCGAGAAGAAAATTTTCTATATTGGCAGCACTGTTTACAATTTCCCCTTCTCTTCAGATTTTTTTTTCTCTCTCTCTCACACACACATAACAATCGTCATCGCGTCTCACTCTCATTCCCGAATTAAAAAAGCCAAAGGATAAATTCTTCTTCGGGTTTTCTCGGTTTTCAAGTTCGTGGGTTCGAGAGCTTGTTGATTATTCGTGTGTTAATAGTCCTGTTGTGTCTTGTGTTCGTTCAGTGTCAGTGGCCATTTTGAAATTTTTACCATCGTGGTGAGAGCTTTATATGCGCGCCGCGGAGAGAGAAAAAAAAACCGAGTTTTGTATAGTTTTTGAAAGAAAAATTTAATCTCCTCGGGGAAATTTTTCGTTTAAAAAAATTAGTAATAATAAAATAAAATATGCCAAAGGATCAACATCAAAGGGAACCCTATCGGTGTGTAGAAATTAATTTTTCTTTTATATTTTTAGTTTTGTAAATTATTGAAAAGTAAAAGTCCGCTGTCTGTTTGGAACATAACCTCAAAATATTTGCTTTTTTTGATTCCTTCTCTCTCTTTCTGTATAACTTTCTCTTTTTTAATTTTCTCTTATAATAAAAATTCTTTCCTTTTATTACTTTTTATGATCTTTTTCCTTTTTTTCTATTTTCTACTTTTACTTATTTACAATTTAAAATTTTAAATTTAGAATTTATCTTTTTGCTTCGCGAAAGATATTCACCGGTTAACCAAAAAATATTTGTACTAAATTTACGAATTATTTTTTCCTTTTTGGAATTTTCTTTCGTTTTATCGAACTTTGTGTGTAAAATTTTATTTTCGAAGAATAATTGTCGGTTAAAGAAAAAAAGGCCGGTGGTATTTTTTTTAACAGGTTACTTTATATATTTATTGTCACGTGTAATTTAATTCATGATTAGATTTTTCTCTGGTTTCAATTTCTTGACGGTCAGGGCTTTTTTTCTTACAAAGTGTTTCGTTGCTTGTCTGCATTCATCAGCTTTTCTAAATATTCATCGTTTATTCAAATATTCAACGCTTTAAATATTTTTGTTCCTTTTATTTCTTTTTCTCGGATTTCAAAAAAGAAAATTAATTCTTTTATGAGAATTTTTCACTTTTCTCTTAAATTTAAAGGGAAACCTAAAAATTAGTCTTAATATTAATTCTTATTATTATTTTAATTTATTTTAATTATTTTCTATTTATTATTTTTATTCAATTATTTTTTATGTAAATTCTTCTCAAGAATTCAAGTATTTTCATAATGAATTATTTTTTTAAAATTCAATTATTTTTAAAAAATTTCATTTTTGTTATAAGGAATTGAATTTTTCTCAAGAATTCAATTATTTTCATAAAGAATTGAATTCTTCAAAAGAAGTCAATTATTTTCATAAAGAATTGAATTCTTCAAAACAATTCAATTATTTTCATAAAGAATTGAATTCTTCAAAAGAAGTCAATTATTTTCATAAAGAATTGAATTCTTCAAAAGAAGTCAATTATTTTAATAAAGAATTGAATTCTTCAAAAGAAGTCAATTATTTTGATAAAATTCTTCTCAAGAATTCAATTATTTTCATAGAAAATTGAAATATTCTTAAGAATTCAATTATTTTCAAAAATTTTAATAAAATTCTTCAGAACAATTAAATTATTTTCAATAAAAAAAAATTAAATTAATTTCCTAAGTTTTTAATCAAATTCTTATCAATTCAATTATATAAAAAAAAATTTAATAAAATTTTCCTAAAAACAATTCAATTATTTTCATTAATATTAAAATTCATCAAAGAAATACATTTATTTTTTATAAGAATTTAATTGTCATAAATAATAAAATTTTTCGCAGGATTTCAATTATTTTAAATAAAAATTCAATATTCGAAAAAATTAAATTTTTTAATATAATTTTAAAAAAATTTCTCAAAAAATTCAATTACTTTCAAAAATATTAAAATTCTTCGGCAGATTTCAATTATTTTTAATATTTCACCAAAGAATTCAATTATTAAAAAAAAAAAAAAAATTTAATAAATTTTCCCCAAAAAATTCAATTATTTTGGAAGAATTCAATTATTTTCAAATTTTAAAACAATTTTAATTGAGTTTTTCGATAGAATTTAATTATTTTCTAACATTTTAATGCAATTTTTCCAAAAAATTAAATAATTTTTCCAATTTTTTTGTTTGAAAATGTTGATAAAATTAATTATAAAAATTCAATTATTATAAATACAATTATAATTAAATTTTCTGCTATTGAACAATTGTTCTGAAGGAATTCAATTTTTTTTCATAATAAATTAAATTCCTAAGAATTCAATTATTTTCACAAAAAAATTGAATTGTTCTTATGAATTTAATTTTTTTCAAAAATTTTATTAAAATTCTTTATAAAAATTCTTTTGTGTTTTAAATAAAAAATTTTAATAATTTCTAAGGATTTTAATAAAATCCTTTTGAAGAATTCAATTATTTTCGAAAATTTGGATAAAATTGTTCTGAAGAAATTCAAATTTTTTTTTTCATAAGAAATTAAATTCTTCTTATGAATTCAATTATTTTCACAAAAAAATTGAATTGTTCTTATGAATTTAATTTTTTTTTTCAAAAATTTTATTAAAATTCTTTTGTTTTCAATAAAAAATTTTAATAATTTCTAAAGATTTTAATAAAATCCTTTTGCAGAATTAAACTATTCTCATAAAGAATTGAATTTTTCTTAAAAATTCAATTATTTTCAAAAATTTTAATAAAATCCTCCTGAAGAATTCAATTATTTTCAAAAATTTGGATAAAATTGTTCTGAAGGAATTCAATTTTTTTTCATAAGAAATTAAATTCTTCTTGAGAATTCAATTACTTTCACGAAAAATTGAATTTTTCTTGAGAATTCAATTATTTTAATAAATTTGATTAAATTTGTTTATAAAAATTCTTTTGTGTTTTCAATAAAAATTTGAAGAATTCAATTATTTTCATAAAGAATTGAATTGTTTTTAAAAATTCAATGATGTATTTTCAAAAATTTTAATAAAATCCTCCAGAAGAATTCAATTATTTTCAAACATTTTTTTAAAATTCTGCTAAAGAATTAAAAATTTTTTTCATATGAAATTGAATTGTTCTGAAGAATTCAATTATTTTTTTTATAAATAATTGAATTGTATCCTCAATACAATTTTCATTCAATATTTTGAAAATAATTTAATTATTTACAAATTAAAATTTGTAAATTTCCATTCTTGAATTCTTGCGAACAATAACTAGTAATTTTTCTTTATTTCGTCTTTATTGTTTATATTTTTTTCTTTATTTTATTTTTTACTTTTTATTTCTTCTTTACTGTTTTATTATTTCTTTATTTGTTTTTATTTTTCATTTATTTCTTCTTTATTTTTTGTTTATTTGTTTTTAATTTTCATCTATTTTTTCTTTATTTTTTGTTTATTTAGTTTTATTTTTTATTTATTTATTCATTTTTTCTTTATTTTTTGTTTATTTAGTTTTATTTTTCATTTATTTCTTTATTTGTTTTTATTTTTCATTTATTTTTAATTTTATTGATTATAATTTTTCTTTTATATTGATTATAATTTTTTCTTATATTGATTACAATTTTTGTTTTATTGATTATAATTTTTGATATTATTTTATTAATCGATTTTCCTTTTTTTAACAGGGCGAGAAATCCGTACGATCGTGATTCTCGCGACCCGAGGGAATATTCACGAGACTCGAGGGATTATCCGAGGGAGTCGCGCGACTCGAGAGATTATCATCAGCGAGATCATAGAGGAGGTGGGGGAGGAGGAGGAGGAGACTACTATCAACATCAGAGGGGAGGCGATTATCAGAGAGATCATTATCGTGATTCGCGCGATAATTATCCAAGACATTCGGAATACAGTGGTAGCGGCAGCAGGGATTACTACGACGAGGAGATGTCGGAGCAAGGGAGCAGCGGTGGACGCGCGATGGGAAGGAGTCGAGGTCGAGCCCGGCCTCCACAGCCGGTCGACAGAGAGCAATCCGAGTCGTGGGCCAGGAAACCTGGTCCTGGAGGCGATGCTGGTCCATCTCGACAAGGAACACAGGTTTCTTTCTTCTTCTTCTTTTTTTTTATTCAAAAACAAAAATAAAATTGTTTTATTTTTCTTAAAGAAAACAACAAAAAATTATTTCTATTTTTCTATAATAGAAAATAAAAAATTGTTTCTATTTTTCTCTAAAAGAAAATAAAAGTTTTTTTTCTATTTTTCTAACAGAAAATAACAAAATTTTTTCTATATTTCTCTAAAAGAAAATAAAAGTTTTTTCTATTTTTCTAACGGAAAATAAAAAATTGTTTCTATTTTTCTCTAAAAGAAAATAAAAGTTTTTTCTATTTTTCTAACGGAAAATAAAAAATTGTTTCTATTTTTCTCTAAAAGAAAATAAAAGTTTTTTTCTATTTTTCTAACAGAAAATAACAAAATTTTTTCTATTTTTCTAAAACAGGGTTGCCACAAGTCAGGGAAAAGTCAGGGATTTTTATTAAAAGTACTGGAAAAAATTTAAGTTTTAGAATTTATAAGAAAATTCTAAATTTTTGTGTCTTTTTTGTTTGCCTCACAAACTATGAAATTGACAAGAATTTTAATACAAAACTTTCAATTTTTTCTGTTTCTCACAATAATTTCTTTTTAAATAACTTCATTCTTCAACAACTATCATCAAATTATTGCTCAAAAATTATTTAATGAATAATTTTACTTCAAAATTTTCAAAATTAATTAGATTTCAAAAGAGTTGCGTTTAAAATCTGCATAAATCGATGAACTTCAAAGGCTTCAATATGAAATTTTTTAAAATTTCAATTTTTAATGAATTTAAATAGAATTTTTAAGAACAACTGATTACAGAAATTCAATTATTTTCAAAAATTTATAAACATTCTCGTTGAAATTTCAATTATTTTTGTAAATAATACAATTCTTCTCCGAAATTCAATTATTTTCAAAAAATTTAATAAAATTCTTGTCAAGATTTCAATTATTTCTAAAAAAATTTCCTCATTTCAATTATTTTTAATATCTACTATTTTAATACAATTTTTCAAAAGAATTCAATTATTTAAACGAAATTTTAATAAAAATTTCACAGGAATTCAATTATTTTCCAATTTTTTTATAAATTTCTTCGCACCAATTCAATTATTTTTAATTTTTAATAATGAAGTTTATCGAAAGAATTCAAATATATTCAAAGAATTGAAAAAAAATAGTTCTGAGAAATTTAATTATTTCGCAAAATTTAAATAAAATTCTTTTAAAAATTCTATTATTTGAAAAAATTTTGACAAAATTCTTTACAAGATTTAGTTAATAAAATTGAAATTTTAATAAAATTTTCCTATTCAATTCAATTATTTTCAATACAATTCTTCTTAAGAATTCAATTATTATTCCCTAAAAGATTTCAATTCATTTTAATAAATATTCAATTATTTTCCAAAAAAATTTTAATAAATTTCTTCTGAAGAATTCAATTATTTTCATAAAGAATTGAATATTCTTCTTAAGAATTTAATTATTTTCAACAATTTTGATAAAATTTTTCTAAAGAATTCAATTTTTTTTCATAAGAAATTGAATTGTTCTTCTCAAAAATTCAATTATTTTCATAAAAAATTGAATTGTTCTTCTCAAAAATTCAATTATTTTCATAAAAAATTGAATTGTTCTTAAGAATTAATTTATTTTCATAAAGAATTAAATTGTTCTTAAGAATTCAATATTTTTCAAAAATTTTATTAAAACTCTTTTGTTTTTTCAAAAAAATTTTTAATAATTTTAAAGATTTTAATAAAATTCGTCTGAAGAATTCAATTATTTAAAATAATTTTGATAAAATTCTTCTAAAGAATTCAATTATTTTAAAAATTTTGATAAAACTCTTCTAATGAATTTCAATTTTTTATAAGAAATTGAATTTTTCTTAAGAATTGAATTATTTTCATAAATTTGATTAAATTTAATTACTTTCCAATTTTTTTTATATAAATTTCTTCGCAACAATTCAATTATTTTTAATTTTTAATAATGAAGTTTATCGAAAGAATTTAAATATATTCAAAGAATAGAAAAAAATAGTTCTGAGAAATTTAATTATTTCGCAAAATTTAAATAAAATTCTTTTAAAAATTCTATTATTTGAAAAAATTTTGACAAAATTCTTTACAAGATTTAGTTAATAAAATTGCAATTTTAATAAAATTTTCCTATTCAATTCAATTATTTTCAATACAATTCTTCTTTAGAATTCAATTATTTTCACAAATAATACATTTTTTTTATGGGAATTCAATTATTTGAAGAAAATTTGAATAAAATTCTTCGTAAGAAATCAATTATTTTCATAAATAATAAAATTTTTCTCGAGAATTCAATTATTTCAAAAATTTTGATAAAATGCTTTATAAATTTGAAAAATTATAATAAAATTGACTATAGAATACAATTATTTTCGTAAAATATAACATTCCTCATAGGAATTACAATTTTACTGTCAAAAATGTTTGTAAAAATCTTCGAAACAATTCAATTATTTTCTTAAAAAATAAAATTCTTCGAAGCAATTTCAATTATTTAAGAAATTTTAATTAAATTCCTTTCAAGAAATCAATTTTTCTCAAAAATAAAACTTTTCACAAGAATTCAATTATTTAAAAAAAAATTTAATAAAATTCTTCGTCAGATTTCAATTATTTTCAATTTTTTTAATGAAATTTTGTCGATGGAATTTAATTATTTTCAAAATATTATAAAAAATTCTGAGAAATTCAATTATTTAAAAAATTTGAATAAAATTCTTCACAAGAAATCAATTATTTTCAGAAATAATAAATTTAAAAAAAAAATTTTGAATAAAATTCTTTAGAAGAAATTAATTATTTTCATGAATAATATTATTTTTCTCTGAAATTCAATTATTTTCACAAATAAAATTCTTCACAGGAATTCAATTCTTCAAAAAAATTTTTATTAAAATTCGTTGCAAGTATTTAATTATTTTCATAAATAACAAAACTTTATCGCAGAATTTCAATTATTTTTTGGACAATTTTAAATAAAATGATAGAAAACTGCATTTATTCTTAAAATTTGTTGATAAAATTCTTCATAAAGAATTCAATTTTAAGAAATATTCAATTATTTATTTTTGTATTTAAATAATTGAATTCTCGAATAATTTACTAATGAAAATTTATTGAAAAATGAATATCACTTAGAATTTTAAATTATAATTAATAAATTATAAATTTTTGCATGTTATTTGAAAATCTTAATTTTCAAATTATGATTAAATATTTATTTAAAAAAGAAGTTATTGATGTCTTTGAATAATTTTACAATTAAAGAAATTCGTAAATGTAATACAACATTTTTTTGAAAATCTAATAATTTTTGGAGTGAATCAGAATATTTCTTTTGAAAAAAGTCAAAATTTTGTCTGGAAATCAGAGAAAAGTCGGGGGAAAAATCAAAATAAAATTTTTGTGGCAACCCTGTTTTATTTTTTTGAAACAAAATAAAAGTTGTTTCTATTTTTCTAGCAGAAAATAAAAAATTGTTTCAATTTTTTCTAAAAGAAACTAAATATTGTTTTTACATTTCTAAAAGGAAACAACAACAAATTATTGCTATTTTTCTAACAGAAAGTAAAAGAATGGTTTCTATGTTTCTAAAAAATTAACAAAAATTGTTTCTATTTTTCTAAAAAAAAAAAAAAGAAAATAACAAAAATTGTTTCTATTTTTCCTAGGATTTATATTCTTCCATAAAAAAAATTGTTTTTCGAGTTTATTTTCTGTATTTTTAAACTTTTCGTTTTTTTTCTAATTTTTTTTTAAAATTAATAATTGAGGTTTCGTCGAATTTTTTAAAAGAATAAATTATATTCTTATTGTAATTTTTCGCTTTAATTATTATTTGTGATTTTTTATAGGGTGGCAGGGCCACTGAAAGAGTTTCGAAACCCCGTGATGAGAGTGGCGGACGTGCTTCAGGTGGTTCCACTCCCCCTGGAACTACCACTCCACCTGGTGGTAATTAACTTTCATAATTATTGAAAAAAAAGAAGAATATCGATATTTTTTTTTTACTTCTATTTATAAATTTGACGCTCTTTCGAGTTTTTTTTCAAAGAATTTAATTATTTAGAAAAACTCTTATAAAATTGTTTAAAAGAGTTGAATTTTCCATCAATATATTTAATAAAGTTTTAATAGTAAAATTATTAATAAGAATTATTAACAAAATCGAGTATACTCAGTAAATTAAAGAAATTTTTTGAAAGAATTCAATTATTGTCAAAACCTTTAGTAAAGTCGAAAGAATTTAATTATTTTCTACATTTTAATAAAATTTATTGAATGAATTAGATTATTTTAGAAAATTGTAATAAAAATTCTGAGAAGAATTTAATTATTTTACAAAGGTACTTTTATTAATTCTTATCTTTTTGCAGGAGGCACAGGAGATACGGTTGCCGTTGGCAGAGGCGGAATGAGAGGACGCAGACGCGTCAACGAAGCGGAATGTTTACACACAAAACCCCCGGGATGTACAACGAAACAAGGTACAGTTCAATAATATAATAATTATTTTAAATTATATCTAATATTGAAATTATTTAATTTTATCTATTTAATTTTATTATCTTATATTAAAAAATGATTTTCGTTTTTTCAGGAACTTATGGGCAGAAAATTGATTTGCAAGCAAATTACTTCCAACTGATGACAAAGAGCAATAAACATTGGGGTCTATATCAGTATCGAATTGATTTCTCTCCCGAGGAAGATCGTACGATTGTACGAAAGGGTCTTTTACGATTGCATCGAGCGACACTCGGCGCATATATTTTCGATGGAACAGTCATGTACACAAGTACAAAACTTCCGGAGGTAATTTCATTTATTTTTTGCCCTTTTTTCCCTTTTCTTTTTCCTCTTCTTTTTTTTTTCTTTTTTCCTCCTTCTATTTTTTTGTTTCTTTCCCTTTTTTTAAACCCTTTTACGCATTTTTCCTTTTATCTATCTTTCAAGCTTCGCACTCATTTAATAAATAAAAACATTTTTCATGGAAATTCAATTTTTTAAAAAAATGTTTCATAAAATTCTCAGCAAGAATTGAATTATTTTCATAAATAATAAAACTAATCGAAGAATTTCAATTATTTTTAATACTATTCTCAATTAATTAATCGAAAAATTCGATTATTTTCACAAAAAAAAAGTTTTCCACAAGAATTCAATTATTTAAAATAAAATTTTCATAATATTTATTATATTTCGAAAAAATTAATTATTTAAAAAAATGTTTATAAAATTCTTATGAAGAATTCAATTATTTTCAAAAATAACAAAATTTTGCACAAAAATTCAATTCTTTTCAAACATTTTAATAAAATTTTTCGCAATAATTCAATTATTTTCCTAAATAATAAAATTCTTCTCAGAAATTCAATTATTTTTAATACAATTTCACAGGAATTGCTCGAAAAATATAATTATTCTTAAAAACTTAATTTTTATTCCTCGCAAAAATCAATTATTTTAAAAATATTTTTTTAAATTCTTTGAAAGAATTTAATTATTTACAATTGTTAATAAACACGATTGTTTTAAAAACTTAAAAGAAATTCTTCATAAAATTCAATTATTTTCAAAATTTTCAGTAAAAATTAAAGAAAAAAACTTCATTATTTTCAAGAATATTGAAATAAATTCTTTAAAACAATTCAATTATTTTACAAAATTTTAATAAAAATCTTTCTACGTATTCAATTATTTTCAATACAATTTTAATAAAATTTCTCGAAAGAATAGAATTATTTTTAAAAATATTAATTAATTTCGATTATTTTCAAGAATTTTGATATAAATTCAATTAATTTTAACAATTTTGATGAAATTCTTTTGAAAAAATCATTTAAAAAAAAAAAATTCAATTCTGAGAAATTCAATTACTTTCAATACAATTTAAATTAAATTTCTTCTGGAAAAAAATTCAATTAAATTCAAGATAATTTTAATAAAATTTTTCAAACGAGTTTAATTATTTTTAAAAAAAAATTGTAATAAAATTTTTCTAAACATTTCAATTGTTCTCAAAAGTTTTTAATAAAATTTTTTGTAAATTTGAATTATTTTCAAAATTTTCAATTAAAATTACTTTAAAAAATTACATTATTTCTACGAAATTTAATAAAAATTCTTCTTTAATTATTTTTTTAAATACAAAAACAGGAATTGATCGAAAAATGTAATTATTCTGAAAAATTTAATTTTAATTCCTCAAAAAAAATCAATTATTTAAAAAAAAAATGTTTATTTAAAATTCTTTGGTAAGAATTCTATTATTTATAAAAATATTAGAATTTTTCACAGGAATTCAATTATTTTCAAATATTTTAATAAAATTGTTCGAAAGAAATGAATTATTTTAAATATACAATTTTAATTAAATTTTTTTTTTTTTTTTTTTGAAATAATTCAATTATTCTTTTAGATTTTTAATAAAATTCTTCCCGAAAATTTCAATTATTTACGTATAAATAATTCTTCTCGGGAATTCAATTATTTTTAAAAGTAATAAATTTTTTTCTAGTGGAAATTCAATTATTTAAAAAAAAATTCTAATAAAATGGTTCGCAAGAATTCAATTATTTTCATCATAAATAATAAAATGCTTTTTAGGAATTGAATTATTTTCAAAAGAAATTTATTAAAATGCCACACAGACATTCAATTATTGTCAACCATTTTTAATAGAATTCTTTGTAAAATTGAATTATTTTTAAAAACTTTTCGCAATTCAATGATTTTAAATATCTGCTATTTTCATCAAAATTTCCAAACAGAATTCAATTTAAAAAATGTTTGTAAAAATCTTCTTAAGAATTTAATTCTTTTCATGAATAATAAAAAATTTCTCAGGAATTGAATTATTTAAACTCTCCTTTTCCTTTAATATTTTATTTAGTCGATAGAAATATACTTCCTATGTGAAATTTTCCTTTCATATTTTATTTAGTCGAAAGGAATATGAATCTATGTAAAATTGTTTTCTTTTTTGAATTATTATTATTAACTTTCATTATTGTTACACAGGAGGGCCTTGAACTATTCTCCACAAGACAATCGGACGAGGTTCAGATAAAAATCAATGTTAAATTCACAACTGAACTTGCAAAAGGCGATCACCATTACATTCAATTTTTCAATATCATCATGAGAAAATGTTTGGATTACTTGAAACTGCAACTCGTTGGAAGAAACTTCTTCGACGCACAAAACAAGGTATGTAATTTATTTCTTTTCTGTTTTTATTTAATTTATTTCTTTTTCCAAAACAAAAATATAGCACCTAATTTGTGTATTTAAAAATTTTAATTATTTTACTTCTATTTATTATTATTATTATTATTATTATTATTATTGTTATTATTTTTATTCTATTTGTTTGTATTGTATTTAGATTAAATATTTTTTTCTGTATTAGAAAAATAAATACAAAATTAATAAAAAAAATCTGTTTTTTAGGTTTCAATTAGAGAGCATCGCTTAGAACTGTGGCCGGGATATTTGACGTCGATCAGACAATGCGAGTACAATATTCTTATGTGCGCCGAAATAACGCACAAAGTCATGCGAGAGGAAACAGTTCTCGACATGCTGGGACAATTCTATTCCTTGCACAAACAAGAATACAAGGTAATTTTTCTTCTAATACAATTTTTATCTTATTTTTCTTCTATTTCTATTTATTTACATTTTATTTTTTTTTGTTTCATTTCTTTATTCTTTATTATTTCGATGGTTTTTCTTCTATTGCTTTGTTTCTTTTATTCTTTTGGAATTTATTTATTTTTATTTTATTGTAATAAATATAAGACACAAGACGAATTACTTTCTCTTTTTATTTATTATATTTTTACTTTTTTGCCATAAAGAAAAAGACTTACTTTTTCTTATTTTTTTTTCAATTACCTACTTCTGCTTTTTTATATTTTGAAAAAAAAACTAAATTTTCTCGAGTAAATAAATAAATAAAAATTGATACATGATGATAAAAATTGATTAAAATTTGTTTTCTTTCCTTTTCAGACGCATTTTGCTAAGGAAATTATGGGCCAAATTGTATTGACCGCATACAATAACAACACCTATCGCATTGATGACGTCGACTACTCAGTGAAGCCAAAATCCACATTCAAATTGAGAAATGGCGAAGACATTACTTACCATGACTACTACAATCAAAAATACGGAATTCGAATTAGAAACGACTCGCAACCAATGTTAGTGTCACGTGCCAAACCAAAGGAGCGTCGCGCTGGACAAGCTGAATTAATCTACCTGGTTCCCGAGCTGTGCCGAACAACTGGTAATTTTATGCACTTTGAAATTTAAACTTAACGACGAACATTTTTTTTTTAAACCAAACGACGAACTAAAATTTGTAGTCATTAAAATAATTAACGAAAGAAAAAAAGGAAAACTAAAGTTAAATTTGAAAACTAGAAGGGGAAAATTTAGTAGAAGTACTTCTACTAAGAAGAAAAGAAACCTTTATTGTTGTAGCAAGAAAAAATGTTAATTTTCTCGACCAGTGTTGTTGTTAAATATTAACCATAAAGAAAGTTAAAATTAAATTAAAAAACTAGAAACGAAAATAAAAGGTCAAATTGTTAAATAATTTTTATTGATGAAAATTAAAGAATTGAAAATACAAATAATTAAAGAAGCAAATGATTTCTTTCAGGAATCACGGACGAAATGAGATCGTCCTATCAGACAATGAATGCACTCGCAACTCATACAAAATTGGAACCGAGAGCAAGAATTGAACGTCTCATGTCGTTCAACAGACGTCTACTTAGCGAGCAGAAAATCGCCGATGAATTGAATGACTGGGGTTTGAAATTGGACAACAAGCTCGTTCAACTACCCGGCCATGTTATTCCCAAGGAGAAAATCATAATGGCCAATGGAATTACATTGACGCCAAGGGGCAACAATTGGGACGGGGAAGTTCGATCAAACGAAATGCTGGTCACGTGCCACCTTAAAGACTGGATAATTATCAGTACATCGCGAATGAAGCGCGACACGCAGGTACTTTTTTTTATTATTCTTCTTTTTCTTTTCTTATTATTCGTTTTTTCTTTTTTTTACTATTCTTTTTTCTTTTCTTATTATTCTTTTTTTTTATTAATCAATAATTGATTAATAAAAAAAAGAATAATAAGAAAAGTTAGTCTACTAACCGGGAAATAGCCGGGAATTTAATTCGACCAGAAAAAAAACGGGAAATAAGCCAGGAATTTTATGCCAAACCGGAAATTTTTTCACCAAATTAAAAAAAAACTTTTATTTCAATTAAAATTTGTTAAAGAATTTCATTAAAAAATTTATTAACAAATCGAATTTTCAAAGTATTTTATTTTAATTTAATAATTTGATAAATAATTGAATTTTAGCAAGAGTCTCATTCTAGTATTCATGTCTCTTTGTGCGAAGATTAATAATTCAAATTTTTATTAGTTAATTTAAAAAAAAGATACTGACAATACATAATAATTTTTTAATAAAATTGAATTTTCGCAAAGTTTTTTTTTGAAAATTCTGATAAAGAAGATTTTTGAAATTTTTCTATTCTTTTGTTTCAAGATAATTGAATTTTTATGGACAAATAATTGAAAATTTTTGAAATAATTCAAATTTCTTTACATTTTATTAAAAATAATTAAATTCTCTTAGAGAATTTTATTTAAATTTTTCGAAAATAATAAGTTAGTCAGTAATTATAATTTTATTTTTAGAAAATCTATTTCTTCGCAATAATTATTTTCATAAATAGTAAAACTCATTGTGGAATTTCAATTATTCTTAATACAATTTTAATCGAATTCCTCGAAAAAAGGAATTATTCTTCAAAATTTTATTGAAATTCGTCGAAAGAATGGAATTATTTCTAGAAATTGTAAAAAAAAATTCTTCTCAAGAATTCAATTATTTCGATAAATAGAGCAAAATTCTTCAGATTTACTAAATTCTGTTGAATATTATTTTTAAAAAAAATTCTTTATAAGAATTCAATTATTTTTATAAATTTCCATAAAATTCTAAAAAAAAACAATTCAATTATTTTTGAAAGTAATAAAATTCTTTGCAGAAATTGAAATTAAAAATTTTTTTAAATACTTCTCAGAATTTGAATTATCTTTATAAATAATTAAATTGTTCTCCATAATTCAGTTATTTTCAAAAATGGTAATAAAATTCTAGGCAAACATTTAATTATTTTCATAAATAATAAAATTTTTCACTAAAATTCATTTATTTAAAAAATTTCAATAAAATTCTTCTCAAGAATTCAATTATTGTCAGGAATTTTTAATAAAATTCTTTACAAAATTCAATTATTTTCATAAATAACAATTCTCAACATAAAAATTCAATTGTTTTCGAAAAATTTTAATAAAATTCTTGACACGAATTCAATTATTTTCACAAATAATAAAATTTTTCACTGGAATTCAATTATTTAAAAAATTTCAATAAAACTCTTCTCAAGAATTCAATTATTTAAAAGTTTGTTGAAAAAAAAATCTTTATGAGAATTCAATTTTAAAAAATATTCATTTATTCAACAAATTATTTATTTTTGCACTTAAATAATTTGAATTTTCGAAGAATTTTGCAATAAAAATAATTTAAAAATTAATTTCTGCGTTACAATTTTTGATAAGATTTTGAATATATGAAAAGCATTGTTGCGTGAATTTTTTTTATAAATAATTGAAATTTGAGAAGGTTTCAAATTAAAATCAGTAAAAAACTGAATTTTTTATAATTTTTAATTAACAAATCTGTAAAAATAATTTTTTTTTTTAATTTAAATTTCTATTCTCTTGAAATTAGTTGAATTTTTTTGAATTTTATTTCATTATTTCAAAAGTTTTAACTAATAACGAAATTCTTCACGGAAATTCAATTATTTTTCGGAATTTTAATATAATTTGTTGGAACATGCATTTTTTTTTATAAACAACAATATTTACGATAAGAATTCAATTATTTGGAAAAATTTTAATAAAATTCTTGACACGAATTCAATTATTTTCACAAATAATAAAACTGTTTTTAGGAATTTAATTATTTTCGTAAATAATAAAACTCATCGCAGGATTTCTTCGCAATATATTTAATTATTTCCATAAATAGTAAAATTCATTGCAGAATTTCAATTATTTTTAATACAATTTTAATCGAATTCCTCGAAAAATGTAATTATTCTTAAAAATTTAATTAAAATTCGTCGAAAGAATTCAATTATTTCTAGAAATTGTAAAAAAAAATTCTTCACTAGAATTCAGTTATTTTCATAAATTTCCATAAAATTCTAAACAAACAATTCAATTATTTTCAAAAATAATAAAATTAATTGCAGGATTTCAATTATTATTAATACAATTTTACAGGAATTGCTCGAGAAATGTAATATTATTCTTGAAAATTTAATTTCAATTCCTCAAAAAAATGAATTATTCAAAAAAATGATTTATTAAAATTCTTTGCAAGAATTCAATTATTAATAACAAAAAAACAATTAAAAAAAAATACTCGAAAATGACAAATAAATTTTTTACAAGTAGAAAAATAATTATAAAAAGATTGAAAACAACAAGAAATTCCTTAAAATTGAGAAAATAATAAAAAATACTTGAAAATAACAAAAAAAATCTTAGAATTGAAAAAAAACAATTTAAAATACTTGAAAATGACAAAAAAATCGAAAAATTCAATTATTTTCACAAATAAAGATTTCCACAAGAATTCAATTATTTAAAATAAAATTTTCATATAATATTTATTTTATTTCGATAAAATTAATTATTTAAAACAATGTTTATAAAATTCTAATGAAGAATTCAATTATTTTCAAAAAATAACAAAATTTTTCACTGAAATTCAATTCTTTTTAAACATTTTAATACAATTTTTCGCAATAATTCAATTATTAAATATAAATAACAAAATTATTCCCGAAAATTTAATTATTTTGATGCATTTTTATAAAATTCTTTACAAAATTTTCATAAAGAATAAAATTCTTTGAAAGGATTCAATTACTTTTATAAATAGTCAAATTCTTTGCAGAAATTCAATTAGTATCAATAAATTTTAATAAAATTGAATTAATCAAATTTTCAACTATAATTATGAATAGACAATTTTAAAAAATTGAAAAAATTCTTTGTTTATAATTCAATTATTTTCTAAATTTTCTGTTAAAAGTAAAAAAAAAAAACATTTGCAAAAAATTTAAAGTATCTCGTCAAAAGAATTTATTTATTCATCAAAACTCTAATAAAAAATTTTTGAAGCCATTTGTAGATTTATTTCTGTTCGAAATCAAATAAATTTAAATTTGATGAGAAAAAAAATTGGGAAAAATTAGGACAAAGTCGAGAAAAAACCGGGAATTTTGTTGAACAAAAAAAAAGTAGATTAAATCTTTTTTTTTCTTTTTTTTTACTTGAAAATAGAAATTTACGATTCTTTGAATTTAAAATTATTTAAAAATTGAAATTGATATTGATATTAAAAAGTTAAAAAAATGGTATAATTGTTATAATTTCAAACTGAACACTTGATTTTGATGAGTAGTTGATGAATATTAATTGAATTGCAGGAATTGGTGAATTGTATAATGCGCGCATCTCAAGGAATGAGATTCCGCGTTGAACAGCCGAGAGTAATGGAAATTCAACAAGATCGTACGAATTTCTACACGGACAAATTGGAAGAGGTCATGTCCCGTTCCAATCCACAATTAATGATGTTCATTGTTCCGAACAACAATTTGGATCGTTATTCAGCGATTAAGAAAAAATGCTGCGTCGATCGCCCGTGTTTGAGTCAAGTTGTACTCACGAAGACAATTTTCTCCAAGGGACGGCCAAATTTAACCGCCGCTACTAAAATCGCAATTCAAATGAATTGTAAACTCGGTGGCGCCGGTTGGACCGTGGAAATTCCGGGCGGTAACATTATGGTCGCTGGCTTTGATGTCTGTCACGACAAAACAACTCGTGGTCGTGATTTTGGTGAGTCTTTTATATTTTAGATTCAAAAAAAAATTATTTCTTTGTTTCTTATTACTTCCTCATAGAGGAAGTATTTATTTACTATCTTTATTTGTTAATTTTTGTTATTCACGGTCTTTTTTCTTTTTCCAGGCGCATTAGTGGCGTCGTTGGACAACAATTTCAGTCGGTACTTTAGCGCAGTGAGTGCGCACACATCCGGAGAGGAATTGTCAAACGATTTAGGTGTGAATATGTGCAAAGCTGTGAGAAAATATCAAGAGGTGAATAACAGATTACCCTCGACAATTATTTTCTACCGCGATGGTGTGGGCGAGGGACAAATTCCATTTGTCCACGAAATCGAAGTCGAAGAGTTGAAAATCAAATTGGCTGGCGTCTATGGCGGTGAAATTAGTAACGTTCGATTGGCATTCATCATTGTCACGAAGAAAATCAACACGCGCTTCTTCCATCAAAATAACAATGCACCGGCGGGAACCGTCGTCGACGACGTTGTCACGAACCCGGCACGGTAAGTTTCTTATTTATCGTTAAAAAAAAATAATAAGAAAAAAGTTTCTTTGGAAAAATTTAATTATAACTTAAATAATAAAATTCTTCGAAGAAATTCAATTATTTTTAAAAATATATGAAAAAAAATTCTTCTCCGAAATTCAATTATTTTCAAAAATTTTAATAAAATACTTTGTAAAATTTCAATTATTTTCAAAAATTAATATAATTCTTCGCAGAAATTTAATTGTGTTAAATAATAATTCACAAAAATTCTCGTTAAATTTCAATAATCTTTATAAATTTTTCTCCGGAATTCAATTATTTTTAAAAACTTTAACAAAATTCTTGACAAAATTTTAATTATTTTCAAAAACTCTTACAAAATTTTTTAGAGAAATTAAATTATTTTTAATTAAAATTTTAATTAAATTTCCGAAAAATGAACTTATTTTTAAAATTTTTATTAAAATTTGTCAAGAGAATTCAATTATTTAAAAATTTGTTTATAAAATTCTTTATGAAAATTCAATTTCAAGAAACATTCAATTATTTAATAAAATATTTATTTGCATTTTTACATTTAAATTTGTATTTAAATAATTGAATTCTCGTGGATTTTTCTAGTAAATATTGATTTTCATTTCATAAAAATGAATTTCAGTTAAAATTTTAGATTATTATTGAATATTGAAAGCAATATAGCGTAAATTTTTAGAAATAATTGAATTTTGAAAAGGTTTTAAATTAAAATCTTGAAAAATTTGAACTTTTTTCATACAAACTAACAATTCTGCAGAATTAATTTTTCTTAAAAAAGTTTAATTAAATTTTTCTTTAATTCTTCAAATTTTTATTTTCTAATATATATTTAATTGAACAATGTCAGAATAATTGAAATAACGTAAAAATTAATATTGAAAATAATTTAATATTTACGAAGAATTTTATCATTTTTTTGAAAATAATTGAATTCTTGCTGACATTTTTATCAATTTTGAAAATAATTGGATTCTTGCGACAAGAATTTTGTCAATTTTAAAAATAATTGAATTATTTCGAAGAAATGTTGAAAATAATTGAATTTTTATTAAAACTCTTGAAAATAATTGAATTTAAATAATATTTAAAAAAATAATTGTATTATTTCGAGAAACTTTATTAAAGTTGTTTTGAAAATAATTGAATTCTTCCGAAACATTTTATTATTTATGAAAACAATTGAATTTCTTTCTAGAATTTTATTATTTATGAAAATATTTTAATTCTTGTGAAGAATTTTCTTAAATTTATGAAAATAATGGAATAATTGCGGAGGATTTTACAAATTCATAAAAATAATTAAATTGTTTCTTGAATTCTTCAAAAAAAAAATTAAATTATTTTTTATAAATAATAAAATCTTTCGCTAGAAGTCAATTCTTTTTTTAAATACAATTTTATCAAAATTTAAAAAAAATTCAATTATTTTAAAAAATTTTCATAAAATTCTTAAAAAAAATTAATTTATTTTTCAAAATTTCGAAAAAAATTTGTTGAAACAATTCAATTATTTTTCAAAAACTTTAAAAATAAAATTCTTCAATTACAAAAGAAAATTTTAGAATAAATTATTTTTGAATTATTTAATTTATAAAAAATAAAATTCTTCGCTTGAATCCAATTATTTTTAAATCTCTTATTAAAATTCGTCGAAATAATTCAATTATTACTTTTCAAAAATTCTAATAAAATTCTTTAGAAAAATTCAAATATTTTCGAAAATAATAAAATTCTTCGAATCAATTCAATGACTGTCAATTAAAAATTTAATCAAATTCATCAAAAACAATTCAATTATTTTTTAATTTTTATAAATTTTAATAAAATGTTTCAATTACAAAAAAAAAAAATTCCAAAAAAAAATTCAATTAAACATTAAAAATTGTTCAAAAAACTTTTTTTTCAATTATTTTAATAAAAAATAAAAGTCTTCGCTTCAATTCAATTTTTTTTTTAAACTTTTACAAAAATTTGTTAAAACAATTTAATTATTTTTCAAAAACTTTAATAAAATTTTTCAATTACAAAAAAAAGTCCAGAAAAAATTCCATTATATTAAAAATTGTTCAAAAAACTATTTTTTTTAATTATTTTTATAAAAAAAATAAAATTCTTCGCTTGAATTCAATTATTTTAATTATCGTTTTCATTAAATTCATAAAATAATAAAATTATTTTTCCAAATATTTTAATAAAATTCTTCTCAGAAATTCAGTTATTTACGAAAAATTTTATAAATTTCTTTATAATAATTTTCATTACAAAAATAATATTCTTCGCAAAAATTCAATTATTTTCAAAAAATTGTATAAAATTTTTTAAAATAATTTCAATTATAAATTAAATAAAAATTTCTATAAAAAATTCAATTACTTTTATTCGAAGAATTTTATTCAAATTTTTTGAGAATAATTGAATTCCTGCGAATATAATTTCATTATCTATAAAAATAATTAAATTCTTGATAAGATTTTTAAGGAAAATTTATAGAATTAATTTTTTTCAAAAAGTTTAATGAAATTTTGTTTTTAATTATTTGAAGTTTTTAATTTCAAATTTTTTTCATTGAAGAATTTAGGAATAATGAAAATTTTTGGTGAAATTGAATTGTAAACAAATGAATATAAAAAATTTCCAAAAGAAGAACTTTTTCAAAAGTTATTAAAAATAATTGATTTAAAGAAGAATTTTAGTTAAAAATTCTAGAAATGAATAATTGAATTGAAATGAAGACTTGGAGTAATCGATATATTCTTGTTTTATAATAAATGAGTACGAAGCTCGCAATTGTCTTTTTTTTCTCCAGAGAAGTAAATTTTGAATTTTAATCCTCACGATTTTTTCTCCTTTTCTTTCCCCTTTTAGCTACGACTTCTTCCTGGTGTCACAAGGCGGAGGCAAGGGAACAATTGCACCATCGGCGTACAGTATTATTTCCGATACATCCGAATGGGGTCCCGATAAAATACAAAGAATGACCTACAAATTAACACAAATGTATTACAATTTCGCCGGTGCCGTGAAAGTGCCAGCTCCCTGTCAATACGCACACAAATTGGCCGCACTCGTCGCCCAAGCAATTCAACGACCACCCAGCGGACAACTCGAGACGCTTCTTTATTATTTATAAAAAAAGGAGAACGTGAGCGAGAAAAAAAAACGATTTTCCAATTTTTTTTCTTCTCCAATTTCTGTTTGTTTTTTTCTCTCTTGAAAACACAAAGTATATTTTTTTCTTTTCGTTCAAAAATTCGAAATTTCTTCGATTATGTTTTACATATATATATACATATTATATATTTTTTTTACCTTACGGCAAAAAGAAATTTTTCATTTAATTTCTATTTTGTTTGAAAATTGTATTTTTAAAGAAAAATTCTTCTCGAGTTTTAGAAAGAAAAAACCAAAGTTTGGTTCAATTAGTTTTTTTTTTGCTTTTTTTTTGTAAAGAACTTGGAGAGAATTTTCCATTAGATTTAAGTGAATGGTGATGAGAAAAAGAAGAGTGTGAATGGGTGGGGAGAAAAAGAGTTTTTAAAGTACAAAATAATTTTTCTAAATGACAAAAATGAATTAATGTGTTTTTTTCAAAAATTTAAAAAACGAAAGATAAACGAAAAAAATTATTTTTTCTTTCTTTTTAAAAATTTGATTTAAGTTTCTTCTTCTTTTTTTAATTATTACGTTTTTTCATTATAGTTTTCATTTTTTTTACTATGAGATGAACAAACAAAAAAAAAAAAACAAGAATTTAGTATAAAATAGAAAAAAAAAATTACAAAAAAATGAATAAAAAATGTTGCGATATACTTTTTTATAGGGTTAAATAAATAACGAGTGAATGTTATTTAAAATGTAAAATAAAGGAAAATTTATGAAAATAAATTTATTTTACGCAAAATTTGTTCTTTTTTTTGTCGAAAAAATATAAATATGGAAATTATTTTCAATTAAATTTTTATTAAAATTTCACCAAAGAAAATTCAATTATTTTCAAAAATTGTTTCAAAACAATTTAAATATTTTTATAAACAGTAAAATTCAATTATTTTTTATATTTTTTCGAAAGAATTCAATTATTCTAAATATTTTTAATAAAAATCTTAAAAGAATTCAATTATTTTCAAAAATTCAGATAAACTTCTTCGAAACAAAAATTCAATTATTTTTTAAAAATTGTAAAATTCTTCTCAGGGATTGAATTATTTTTATTAATTGTGTAATAAAAATTTTTCTAAACTGAATTATTTTCCTAAGTTTTTGGTAAATTTTTGTATTACTTTCAAATTTTTCAAGTATAAAAATATTAATTTTTAAAAATTTTGGTAAACAATTCAATTATTTTTGTAAATAATAAAACTCTTCGTAAGAATTCAATTATTTTTATAGATAATAAAAATTCTTCAATAAAATTTAATTATTTTCATAAATAATAAAATTTTTTGCAAGAATTCTATTATTTTCGTTACAATTGCAATTAAATTTTTACAAAAGAAATTCATTATAAAAATTCAATTTTTCAAATAAAATTTTAATAAATTGTCTCGAAATAATTTTAATTACTTTAGTGTAATTTTAACAAAATTTTTTTCAGACTTCAATTATTTTTATTAAATTATAATAAAAATTATTTTTAGTAGAATTTGATTATTTTTGCAAAATTTTAATAAAATTATTAGAATAGAATTTAATTGATTTAAAAAATTTTGGTAAAATTATAAAAATTCAATTATTTTTAATGTAATTTCAAAGTAATTCAATTATTTTCGAGAATAATAAACTTTTTTGTAGAATATAAATAATTTTTAATTGAATTTTAAAAGAATTTCCTCAAGAATTTCAATTATTTTCAAAAATAATGAAATTCTTCGAAGAATTTCAATTATTTAATGAAAAATTTTAATATTTCTTAAAAAAATTCAATTATTTTTAATTGAATTTAAAATAATTTCGCTTAAAAAATTCAACTATTTTCAAGAATAATAATCTTTTTCTTAGGACTTTAATTATTTTTAATTGAATTTTAAAAAACTGTCCTTAAAAAAATTCAATTATTTTTAAAGATAATAAAATTCTTCGTAGAAATTCAATTATTTTTAATTCAATTTTTAAAAAAATTTACCCCAAAAAATTCAATTATTTTCCAGAAGAATAAATTTATTCGTAGGATTTTAATTATTTTTAATACAATTTTAATGTTTCAATAAGGAATTCAATTATTTAAAAAATATATTTAAATAAAATTCTTCGTATGATTTCAATTATTTTTATTACAATTTAAATAATATTTTTAGAAAGAAATTAATTATTTTTAATTTAATTTTTAAAAAAATTTCAATTAAAAATTCTTCGTAGAATTTAAATTATTTTAATTAAAATTTTAATTAATATTTCTAGAAGGAGTTCAATTATTTTTAATACAATTTTAATATTTTTTCAAAGAATTAAATTATTTTTAATTCAATTCCTCTGAAGAATTTTGAATATTTTTAAAAAACAAATTTTAATGAAATTCCTCGTAATAAATAAAAATAAAAATAAATTCAAATTTATAAATTTAATAATTATTATAGAAAATATAATAGTAATATTGTAATTAATTATTATTAAATTCAAAAAAATAATAAATAGAAAATAACTGTAGAACAATAATAAAAAAAATAAACTTACTATTTTTGAATTTCCCGCCAAATTCCCGACTTCAAGATTCAAATTAACGTCTATATTTTGAATGCGGCGGTAGCAATTTCCGGTTTCGGGCCAATGTTGTAACTTCCGTAGTTTTGTAGCACGTAGCTGACGTAGCTCGTACAGCCGGTGTTAAATAACAAAAATGGATCCATTTTTTCTTTTTATTTGTTGAAAATTGTCAACGAAAAAGAGAAAAATCGAAACTTATGGAAAAAATACAACTGTAGTTATATTTTTTTTCGTTCTAAATTACACACACATGTGTATAATAATAGAAGAATTTGTCACATTTAAGTAAATTTCGTCATTTTAAGTTTTTAAAATTAAAGAAGAAGAAGAGAAGGAAGAAAACTTTTCCCCAGAGAGAAATTTTGGTGAGTAAAAATAACGCTTTTCTTAGTTTTTCTTTCTGTCATTTTTTTGTCGATTTTTTATATTTTACTTTGCATTTTTCGATTTATAAAATATTTATCATTTCAAATTCTCTATACAGTATTTTTGAGCATTCATGTGCTTCTTGTTCTTTGTTTATCATATTCGAGACACGAGACTCGTAAAATGCTGGTTCAGTAGATTTTTATTACTTTTCTCGGAATAAATAACGAAAGTGCGATATAGTTTCGTTTATTTCATTTATTTCTATATTTAGACGAGGGACAAATAAAAAAAGGGTAACAGTGTAAAATTAAATATAGTAATTGCGAGTGAAATAGAATATTGTTTTCTAACTTTTTTAAAATATGGAAAATGCGACCGCGAGACAAATTGACAAAAAGACAAAAATGTTGTAACATAACCTAAAAATTCACAGAAGTGGAAAATAGTCAATTTTCCACCGTTTTTCCGGGGTTTTTTTTTAATTGTTACGATTGTTATCAAAATACAAAGGAATTTTTGTTTATTTAAATTTAATATTAATTTTTACTATATTTATACTTTAAAAATAATAAAAAAAAAAAAAAATGCCGAGAAAATAGTCGATTGGAAAATCCACGCGGGTTTTTTCGTGTCAAAGTAATTATTTTTACTATACACTTTTAAATAATAAAAAAATGCCGAAAATACAATAAACAGTCGAATGTTTTTTTTTCGTTTTTTCTATTATTATCTGAAGCAAAGGAAGTTTTTTTCATTTATTAAAATAATTTTATAGAAAATGTCAAAAATACGATAACATAACCTAAAAAAATATGGAAACGAAATTTTCCCCAAAAAGTACACTGTAAAAAAAAATTTCTGTAGATTTACAGTTTTGTTTAGAATTTTATAAAAACTTGTAAAATAACTTCTTTAAAAGTAGTGAATTTAAAATCCCTTCTGTAAAATTAATACTTTTAATGGGTCAATTTTACAATTTTCTGTAAATTTACTACTCTGAATGTAGGTAATATTTTTGTCTTTTTATTACCTACATTCAGAGTAGTAAATTTACAGAAAATTGTAAAATTGACACATTAAAAGTATTAATTTTACAGAAGGGATTTTAAATTCACTACTTTTAAAGAAGTTATTTTACAAGTTTTTATAAAATTCTAAACAAAACTGTAAATCTACAGAAAATTTTTTTTACAGTGTATAGAAAAGCTAGAAAAATTATATAGAAATACAAAAATATAATTATACAAAATGTATAAATAGGGAAAATAATAAATTTTACGATTTATATTCGTTTTAGTAAATTTTCCACTAATTTAAATACAAAAATATTTTTAAAGAATGCGCGCGGGGAAAAACAAACTTTAATGGTGTTAATTATGTTAAAGGAAAATATAGTGTTTGGTATTGTTGACAATAATGCAATTAAAGTGGAATATATTTTCGTCTTTACAAAAGGGACTTGCCACTAATATGCTTCTTAGAGTGTCTAGACTAATTAGTCCCTTTAATTAACGAAGGTGTCAATGAATACATTAATTTTACGGGTTTACAGTTCCTTAATTACTTTTAAATAGATTCTTAATGGCATTTCTCTACAATAAAAACCGGTGACAAAATTTTTATTTTATATAAGAGAACGAAATGAATATATTTGATATTTAATTTCAAATCTCTTTTTCTAAAACTGTGACATAATAATAATAATAATATTTAGAATTTTTTTGAATTAAATAATTATTTGTTTTTAATATATGATAATTAATTTTTTTATTTACAACTAATTTTAAAAAATGACAAACAAATTATTTATATGTCAATATTAATTTCTATTTAAATTAATTTTAAACATTTTATACATAAATTATTTGGAAAAAATTAATTCAGTTTATTAAAAAAAAAAAAATTGTATAAAAATTATTTTCAAGAATTTCAATTATTTTCGATGTAATTATAATAAAATTTCCCAAAAAAAAATTCAATTATTTTCGAAAATTGTTCCTAAAAACAATTTAATTTTATTTTCATATAGATAATAAAATTCTTCGTAGGATTTCAATTATTTTTATAGTAAAATTTTAATGTTTATAAAAGGAATTCAATTATTTTTAATTGAATTTTAACCAAATTTCTCTTCAAAAAAAAAATTCAATTATTTTCAAGAATAATAAACTTCTTAAATTTTCAATTATTTTTAATTGAATTTTAAATGAAGTTCCCCAAAAAAATTTAATTATTTTCGAGAACAATAAACTTCTTTGTAGGATTTCAATTATTTTTAATTAAATTTTAAATGAATTTCCCCCAAAAAATTCAATTATTTTCGAGAACAATAAACTTCTTCTTAGGATTTCAATTATTTTTAATTGAATTTTAAGAAAGTTTTCCTTAAAATTTCAATTACTTTTAAAAATAGTAAAATCCTTCGTAGAATTTTCAATTATTTTTAATAAAATTTTAATGTTTCTGAAAACATTTATTTTTAATTGAATTTTTAAAAACATTTCTTCAAAAAATTCAATTATTTTTAAAAATAATGTAATTTTTCGTAGGATTTCAATTAATTTTAATACAATTTTAATGTTTCAAGAAGAAATACAATTATTTAAAAAAAATATATAAATAAAATTCTTTTTATTATTTTCATTATTTTTAATTGAATTTTTAAAAAAATTTCCCCGAAAAAATTCAATTATTTTTGAGAATAATAAATTTCTTTGTAGGATTTCAAATTATTTAAAAGAAATATAAATGAAATTCTTCTTAGGATTTCCATTATTTTTAATTGAATTTTTAAAAAATTTCCTTAATAAAATTCAATTATTTTTAAAAGTAATAAAATTCGTCGTATAATTTAAATTATTTTTAATACAATATTAATAATATTTCTTGAAAGAAATAAATTTTTTTTAATTGAATTTAAAAAAAAAAATTTCTCCAAAAAGTGCATTGTTTTCAAAAAATAAGAAAATTCTTCGTATAATTTCAATTACATATTTTTAATACAATTTTAATATTTCTTCAAAGAATTTTTTTTTTTTTAAATAAATTTTTAGTATTATTTTTTAAGAAAGAATTAAATTATTTTCAAAAATTTGTTCCAAAAAAATTCGATAATTATGTTATTTTTAATTCAATTTTATACCTAAGATTTTTATACAAAAAATTCAATTTTTATTATTTTAATAAATAAGAGATATATAGGAATATTTTTCTGAATTTTTATTTTAAGAAATAAAAGAATTTTCCAGAATTTTATTTTAATATGTAAATTAATTTTCCTGAATTTTTAATTTTAAAAAGTAAATTAATTTTCTTGAATTTTATTTTAGAAAAATAAAAGAAATTTCCTGAAATTTACTTTAAATTAGTAAATTAATTAATTCATTTTCCTGATTTTCATTTTCAAAAAAGTAAAAATAATTAATTAAAATAATTTTCCTGAATTTTAATTTTAAAGGTTTAATAATTTACGTAAATTTTATTTTGGGGTGTAAAAAATTTTTCTAAATTTCATTTTATAATGAATTTTCAGCTGAATTTTACTTGAAGTGTAAAATAATTTCTCTGAATTTTTATTTTAAGAAGTAAAAGAATTTTTTATTTATTTATTTTTTTTTTATTTTAAAATAGTAAGTATGTAAATTAATTTTCTTCTATTTTATTTAAAAGGTAAAATAATTTCTTAATCTTCTTATTAAGGTTTTTTCCCCTAAAATCCCAGGTAAATAGTGTAATTACTGTTTTACCCTCTCTCCACTTTTATAATTACTCCCACTCTTTTCTCGATTTTTTTTTCAAGTGGGGGGAAAGGGCCTTAACCACCACGAGTGCCACGAGATATCCAAGTGTTTAGTTTCAATTTTGGAGCCGAACTCTAAAAACGTGGTATTCGTTAAGAGAATTTTATTTTTCTACATAAAAAAAATCGAAAAAAAAATTTAGAAAATATTTCTGTGTTATTTCGACTTCTGTATAAATTTAGTGTTTATATTATTTGTATTTTTATTCTTACAGTGAATATTTGAAGAGAGTTTTGAATTTTTTTTGTGAGTGGAAAATAAAGGAATTTAATTAATTTTCTTGTAGTGAATATTTGAAAGAGAGTTTTGAATTTTTTTCTGAGTGAAAAATAAAGGAATTTAAATAATTTTCTTGTAGTGAATATTTTGAAGATAGTTTTGAATTTTCTTTGTAGAAAATAAAGAAATAGAGAAGAGGGAAAAAAAATGTCTAATCCGTGGGCACAAGGACATCCAATGGGACGAGGACGTGGTCGAGGACGAGCGAATAATCCTCAGCAGCAACAGGGACGAGGAAATGCTCCACCTGGAGGTAGAGGACAACAAAATCCTCCCCCTGGTCGGGGAAATTTTCCTCCGGTTGGACAGCAACAGCAGCAACAACAGCAACAAGGACGAGGAAATGCTCCACCTGCAGGTAGAGGACAGCAAAATCCTCCCCCTGGTCGGGGAAATTTTCCTCCGGTTGGACAGCAACAGCAGCAACAACAGCAACAAGTACGAGGAAATGCTCCACCTGCAGGTAGAGGACAGCAGAATCCTCCTCGTGGTTGGGGAAATATTCCTCCGGTTGGACAGCAACAGCAGCAACAACAACAACAACCCTCTCAGCCTCAGGTAAAAGAGACAAATTTTTTTTTCTCCGCATTTTTCTTTTCTTTCACTCCGCCTTTTTTTCTATTGTTATATTATGATAATTTTACGAGTTTATTTTTATACTCTTTTAGGCTCTTTTGGACTTTTGAGAAAATATATTTGAAACGTTTTGAAAGTATAGGGAAAAAATTATTTTCCTGGAATTTTTATTTCTGTGGCTGGGAAATATTTTTTTTTTACCATTTTTTACTCTTATTTTTGTTTGTATTTATTTTCTTATTATTTTTTGTCCGATTTATATTCAATTATTTGAACACGAATTTAATGGAAATTTTCGAAAGAATTCAATTCTTTTTTTTTTTAATTTTAATGAAAATCTGCGTAGGAATTCAATTATTTTTTAAAACAATGTTTATAAAATTCTTATGAAGAATTCAATTATTTTCAAAAATAACCAAATTTTTCACTGAAATTCAATTCTTTTTAAAATATTTTAATAAAATTTTTCGCAATAATTCAATTATTTTCATAAATAATAAAATTCATCCCAGGAATTCAATTATTATTCAAAGGTTTAATAAAATTTCTCCAAAAATTCAATTACTTTCAAGAAATATTAAAATTTTTCGTAGAATTTCAATTATTTTTAATATTTCACCAAAGAATTCAATTATTTTCAAAAGTATAATAAAATTTTTCACTGAAATTCAATTATTTTGAAAAATTTTAATAAAATTCTTGGCAAAATTTCAATTATTTTTACAAAAATTTTCCTCAATTCAATGTTTTTTTAAAAAAAATTTATAATATTATAATTAATTATTTATAATATTTCACCAAAGAATTCAATTTCTTTCAATTCAATTTTAATAAAATTTCCCCCAAAAAATCAATTATTTTCAAAAATTGTTTCGTAACAATTTAAATATTTTCACAAACAATAAAACTCTTTGGAAAAATTTGATTATTTTCAAAAATTTTAATAGAATTCTTCTTCAGAATACAATTGTTTTCTTTAAGAATTTATTTTCTTGAAAATTTTATTTCTGTGGCTGGGAAATATTTTTTTTTCCATTTTTACTCTTATTTTTGTTTGTATTTATTTTTTCATTATATTTTGTTTAATTTCTATTCAATTATTTGAATGCGAATTTAATGGAATTGTTCGAAAGAATTCAATTCTTTTTTTTTAATTTTAATGAAAATCTTAATTTAATGAAATTAAATTTTTTAATGAAAATTTTATTGAAAATCTGCGTAAGAATTTAATTATTTTCATAAATAATAACATTCTTCTGAAGAATTCAATTATTTTTTAAAAACTTTATTAAAATTCTTCGTTAAAATTTAATTATTTAAAAAAAAATTCATAAAATTCTTCGACAGAATTCAAATTTAAAAAAAAAGGTTCGCAAGAATTTAATTATTTTTAATACAATTTTAATGTTTCTAGAAAAAATTTGATTATTTTCAAAAATTTTAATAGAATTCTTCTTCAGAATTCAATTATTTTCATAAAGAATTGAATTATTTTTTTAAGAAATTGAATTATTTTTTAAAAAAAATTATTTTTACATTCTTTAAAAGAATTTAGTTATTTTTTTTTAAAGTCGATAACATTTATTTAAAAAATTCACTTATTTTAATAAAGAATTGCATTGTTTTAAGAAATTAAATTATTAAAAAAAAATTTAATAAATTTTTTCGAAAGATTTCAATTATTTTCAAAAAAATTAAAAAAAATTCAATTATTTTCATCATTGAAATTCTTCGACAGAATTCAAATATTTCTTTTTTTTTAAATTGAAAAAGTCTTTTTGCAAGAATTCAATTGTTTAAGAAAATAATACATTTTTTACGCAGGAATTCAATTATTTTTTTTAAACTTTATTAAAATTCTTCGAGAAAATTCAATTATTTAAAAAAAAAAAATTCATAAAATTCTTCGACAGAATTTAAAAATTAAAATTGTTTTTAATGTAAAAAAAAAATCTTTGTAAGAATTAAATTATATTTTCAAAAAATAATGTAATTTTTTGGAGGAATTGAATTATTCTAAAATTTTAATAGAATTATTCTAAAAAATTCAATTTTTTTTTTAATAAATAAAATATTAGAATAAAATTTTTTAATACAATTTTAATGTTTCTCGAAAGAATTCAATTATTTTTAATACCATTTTAATGTTTTTTTTAGAAAGAATTCAATTATTTTCATAAATAAAATTCTTTGAGGGAAATCAATTCTTTTTAATACAATTTCGCAAAGAATTTAATTATTCGTAAAATTAATTAAATTCTTCGGTGGAATTCAATTATTTTCAATTCAATTTGAATAAAATTTCTCGATATAATTGAGTTACTTCTAACAAATTTTTAATAAAATTCCTTGAAAGAATTGAATTATTTTGAAAATTTTTGATAAAACTCTTTAGAATTCAATTATTTTCAGAATAATTTTAATTAAGTGCGTTTAAAAAATTTAATTATTTGCAAAAGTTTTTAATAAAATGCAGTTAATATTTGAATTATTTTTGCAAATATTAAAATTCGCCGTAAGAATTCAATATTAGTTTTTTAAACTTTTTTTTTTTTTTAAGAAAATTCGTCACGAGAATTGAATTTGTTTCATAAGTTAGAAAATTAGGGGACAAAATAACAGCAAACAGTGAATAAAATTTGTTGGAAGGAAATAATATTTTCGTTTTTAATTTCAGAGAAGACCTGCCGAGCAACCAGCATCTGAGATTAATGTTTCATCGCTTGCAGTCGCCTTGCCTTCCGGTAAGAAAAATTAAAATGCGAATTTCTTATCTCGAATAATAATAAACGATAAGAATTTTAATAACGTTGATCGTATTATTACACTCTATAAACTTCAGTTCTTTTCATTTTGTTTCATCTTTTCTTTTCTCTCAACTAATCTTCTTGCTCTCAAGGCACATGAAAATCGAAATTAATTTATTATTTTTAAAAATCTTATAAATTTTATATTAAAAATAAATTATGTCAATAAATAGTAAATTTTTTCCAGGAATACAATTATTTTAAATTCAATTTTAATTGAATTACAGGGAAAATTAAATTATTCTTTTATAAAATTTTTTTTAAATTCTTCCAAAAAAAAATTTAATAATATCAAAGTTTCTCTCTGCTATCAATAAATAATCAATTTTTTCGCAGGCATTCAATTATTTCAGGAAATCAATTAGTAAAATAAAACTTTTGAAAATAATTGAATTGTTTAGCAAAAATTTTATTACAATTTTTAAAAATAATTGAATCTGTTAATATTATTAAAATTATCTTGAATATAATTGAATTTTTTTCAAGAAATTTAATTAAAATTGTATTGAAGATAATTGAATTTCTCGAAAGAATTTTGATTATTTACAAAAAATAATTGAATTCTTGCCAAGAATTTGACAATTTATAAAAAATCATTGAAATGTGTCGAAGAATTTTTTTTATCAGAATTGTTGATAATAATTGAATTTTTATTAAAACTCTTGAAAATAATTGAATTTCAATAATATTTTTAAAAATAATTGTATTCTTTCGAGAAATTTTACTAAAATTGTATTGAAAATAATTGAATTCCTTTGTAGAATTTTATTATTTATGAAAAGAATTATTTTCAATTATTTTCAGGAATTTGAATAAAATTCTTTGCAAAATTCAATTTTTTTCATAAATAACAATAAATATCTTAAGAAATCAATTATTTTCAAAATTCATATCATGATTTCAATAATTATTATTATAAATAGTATTATAAATAGTCAGGGCTCGGATTGTGCGACTTTTTCGACTTTTTTGACTTTTTTCGACTTTTCTAAGGAAATGCGACTTTTTTTCGACTTTTTTTGTGAAAAAATGCGACTAATTGACTTTTTTTTATTTTTTTTAGTAAAATGCGAATGAAGTGAAATTTTTTTTTTAAATTTAAAGGAAAAAGTTTGAGTCAAAAAAAAAATTTTTAATTACTTTTTATGCAAATAATTGAATTATTGGGAAGAAATTTATAAAACATTAGTAAGTAATTGGATTTTGCAGAAGAATGTTGATATTTACAAAGATAATTGAAATTTTGAAGAGAATTTAAAAAAAAATTTTTTGAAAATAATTGAATTTCTGTGAAGAATTTTTTTACTTTTGAAGATAATTGAATTTTGCCAAAAATTTTATTAGAACTTTTGAAAATAATTAAATTTCCAGGATGAATTTTATTATTTATGAAGATAATAAACATTTTAACGAGAAATTAAAAAAAAAAAATTTTTTGAAAATAATTTAATTTCTGCGAAGAATTTTATTACTTTTGAAAATAATTCAATTTCTGGGATAAATTTTGTTATTTTAAAAGATAATTGAAAATTTGACAAGAATTTTATTAAAATTCTTTGCAAATAATTGAATTTCAGAGAAGAATTGTATTACTTTGGAAAATAATTGAATTCATGTGAACAATTTTATTAATTTTGTCAAATAATTAAATTTCTGTGGAGAATTTTATTAAAATTTATGAAAATAATTCAATTCTTGCAAAGATTTTTATTAATATTTGAAAAAAAAAATATTATTTCCCGTAAAAAATTCAATTAAATTTTGAAAATAATTGAATTTTTGTGAAAAATTTTATTAAAATTCCTTAAAATAATTTAACTTTGGCGAAGAAAATTTTCTATTGAAAACAATTCAATTCTTATTATTAGTTTAATCAAAATTTTTCCAAATAATTGAATTTCTTGAGAAAAATTTTAGTAATAATTGAAAATAATTGAATTCTTACGATAAATTTGATGAAGTTTCGAAAATAATTGATGTCATGCGAAGAGTTCAATTATTTTTTGAAAATAATTCAATTCCTGTGAAGAATTTTATTAATTTATAAAAAAAAAATTTCTGTCAAGAATTTTCAAATTTTTTTAAAAATAATTAAATTCTTGTAAAGAATTTTATGAATTTTAAAAAATAATTGAATTCCTGTGAATAATTTTATTAATTTTGGCAGATAATTGAATTTTTGCGTAAAAATTTTTTTAAACGCTTTGAAAATAATTGAATTATTACAAATATTTTTATTAATTTTTGCAAATAATTGAATTCATATGAAGAATTTTATTTCAAATTTGTGAAAATAATTGAATTTTTGCGAAGAATTTTCTTACTTTTAAAGATAATTGAATATCTGCGAAGAATTTTCATTACTTTTGAAAATAATTGAATTTCAGAGAAAAATTTTATTATTTATAACGATAATTGAAACTTTGACAAGAATTTTATTAAAAATTTTGTTAAATAATTGAATTTCGGAGAAGAATTTTATTATTTATAATAATAATTGACATTTTAAAGAGAATTTTTAAAAAAAAATGTTAAAAATACCTCATTAAAATTTTGCTATAAATTTTATTCAATTTTTAAAAATTTTATTCCGGATTGTTTGATATTAATGTATCTGTTGTCGAGAAATGTGATTTTTTTTTTACAATTTTGACAATTTCGTGTTTCCTTTTTGTCGTTTTTTCTAAAATTTCATGCGACTTTTTTTCCGAACTTTTTGGAAATTTTATGCGACTTTTCGTGACTTTTGTTGTAAATTTATGCGACTAAAGCGACTTTTTTTTGAGTCTTAAAGACGATCCGAGCCCTGAATAGTGAAATTCTTCGCCGAAATTCAATTATTTTCAAAATACAATTTTAATAAAATTTCACGAATCGATTTAGTTACTTTTTTCTATTTGTTAACAAAATTTGTCTAATTAAATTATTTTCCAAGATTACAATTAATTCTTTGAAATAATTGAATTTTTTTCATAAATAGTAAAATTCTTTGCAGGAATTCAATATTATTTTCAATAAAAATTGATTTAAAAATGAATTTTTCTTAAGATTTTAGATAAATATTGAATTTTTTTAGGAATATAGCGTGAATTTTTAGAAATAATTGACTTTTGAAAAGGTTTCGATTTAAAATCTTTGAAAATTGAAATTTTTATTATTTTTAAATAACAATTCTGCAGAATTAATTTTTTTTTTTTTTGATAAAGTTTAATTGAATTTTTTTTTGAAATTATTTGAAGTTTAGATTTCCAAATATTTTTTTAATTGAAAAATTTCTGAATAATCGAAATTTCATGTAAAATTGAATTGTAACAAATGGATTTGAAAATTCTCAAAGAACTTTCTAAAAATAGTATTATAGAAAATAATCGTTTTTCTTTCTTTATTTTCATCTTTTATAAATTATCCTTTGAAAGCGGACAAAAAATAAAAATTATATATAAATTTGTTTTCATTTTGAGATTCTAATTTTTAATTTTTAATTTTCCTTTCCTTTTTTTTTAATTTTAGGAGATAGTGCAGCTGCTGCTGCAGTTGGTAGAGGCGCAATGCGTGGACGAAGACGTATCAATGAATCAGAATGTTTGGTCACTAAACCTTCAGCGTGCGGTACTAAAATAGGTAATTTAATTCAATTTAATTTAATCTTTCAATTTTTTTGTTTTTATATCAATTTTACCATTTTTTTTTTTTTATTTGAAATTCATTCTTAAATTTTTATAGTCCAAATAAAGATTTTTATATTTTTTTACTAGAAATTCATTATTAAATTTTTAAAATCCAAACAAAAGATTTTTATATTTTTTCACTAGAAATTCATTATTAAATTTTTATACTCCAAAAAAAAGATTGTTTTATTTTTTTTACTTGAAATTCATTATTAAATTTTTAAAATCAAAACAAAAGATTTTCATTATTTTACTAGAAAACATTTAAAAATTTTTATAATCAAAAAAGAAAGATTTGTATTTTTTTTACTAGAAATTCATTATCAAATTTTTATAATTCAAAGAAAAGAATTTTTGCTCCTTTTCTCTTTTTTTTCAATTAAACAAAAGAATTTTCTTGAAGAAAATGTTCAACTTTTGAAAATAATTGGGGGAGTGTGTTAATAATTATAAAATTGAAAATTGAACTTTAATAATAACGGCAATATTGTATCCCGCAGGTACTTTTGGCACCAAAATAGAATTGCAGTCAAACTATTTTCAATTGATGACGAACAGTCAAAATTGGAATCTCTATGAATATAGAGTCGACTTTGCTCCTCAGGAAGACAGAACCGGCGTTCGTAAGGGTCTTCTTCGACTACATCGGGAACAACTTGGAGCTTATATTTTCGATGGCACTGTCATGTACACGAGCTCGAAATTAGTTCAGGTATTTTTTGACAAATTAATAATTATTCTTTTTAATTTCTTTTCTCTATTTTTTCACGAAATTAAAAAATTCTATTATTTTCATTTGTTTTTAAAAAATCGCTTTTTATTTCAATTTTCATAGATATTTGTACTCTTCTCTAAATTTCAATTAGTTAAAAATAATTAAGTTGATAGTCAAAAATCGGTCACTGATTCAAATATAGTAAATAAATTTTTAAAAATTATCGAATTAATAGAAATTGGAAATTCAAGTGAAAATAATTCAATTTGTTAAAGAATTTCATTAAAATGTTTTTAACAAATCGAATTTTCAAAGTATTTTATTTTAATAATTTGATAAATAATTGAATTTTATAAAAAGTCAGATTCTAGATTCATGTTTCTTTGTGCAAAGATTAATAATTCAAATTTTTATTAGTTAATTTAAAAAAAGATACTGACAATACATAATTTTTTAATAAAATTGAATTTTCGCAAAGTTTTTTTGAAAATTCTGAAAAAGAAGATTTTTGAATTTTTCTATTCTTTTGTTTCAAGATAATTGAATTTTTATGGACAAATAATTGAAAATTTTTGAAGTTTCTTTACATTCTATATTAAAAATAATTAAATTCTTTTAAAGAATTTTATTTAAATTTTTCGAAAATAATAAGTTAGTCACCGTAATTATAATTTTATTTTTAAAAATCTATTTCTTCGCAATATCAATTATTTTCATAAATAGTAAAACTCATTGCGGAATTACAATTATTTTTAATACAATTTTAATCGAATTCCTCGAAAAATGTAATTATTCTTAAAAATTTTATTGAAATTCGTCGAAAGAATTCAATTATTTCTGGAAACTGTAAAAAAAATTCTTCTCGAGAATTCAATTATTTCGATAAATAGCAAAATTCTTCAGATTTACTAAATTCTTTTGAATATTAATTTTAAAAAATATTCTTCACAAGAATTCAATTATTTTCATTATTTTCCATAAAATTCTAAAAAAACAATTCAATTATTTTCGAAAGTAATAAAATTCTTCGCAAAAATTCAATTATTTAAAAAAAAACCTAAAAAAAACTCAATATTTTAATTATCTTTATAAATAATTAAATTGTTCTCCATAATTCAATTATTTTCCAAAAATGTTAATAAAATTCTACGCAAACATTTAATTATTTTCATAAATAATAAAATTTTTCACTGGAATTCATTAAAAAATAAAATAAAAAAAACAATTTTATTAAAACAATTTCAATAAAATTATTCTCAAGAATTCAATTATTTTCAGGAATTTTTAATAAAATTCTTTACAAAATTCAATTATTTTCATAAATAACAATATTCACCATAAGAATTGAATTATTTTCAAAAATTTTATTAATATTCTTGACACGAATTCAATTATTTTCACAAATAATAAAATTTTTCACTGGAATTCAATTATTTAAAAAATTTCAATAAAATTCTTCTCAAGAATTCAATTATTTAAAAGTTTGTTGAAAAAAAAAATCTTTATGAGAATTCAATTTTAAAAAATATTCATTTATTCAACAAATTATTTATTTTTGCACTTAAATAATTTGAATTTTCGAAGAATTTTGCAATAAAAATAATTTAAAAATTAATTTCTGTTACAATTTTTGATAAGAATTAAATATATTAAAAGCATTGTTAGGTGAATTTTTTTTTATGAATAATTGAAATTTGAAAAGGTTTCAAATTAAAATCTTTAAAAATCTGAATTTTTCGTAATTTTTAATTAACAAATCTGTAAAACTAATTTTTTTTGAAAAATTTGAATTTCTATTCTCTTGAAATTAGTTGAATTTTATTGAATTATATTTCATTATTTTAAAAGTTTTAACTAATAACAAAATTCTTCACAGAAATTCAATTATTTTTCGGAATTTTAATATAATTTGTTGGAAAATTCAATTTTTTTGATAAACAACAATATTTAGCATAAGAATTCAATTATTTGAAAAAATTTTAATAAAATTCTTGACACGAATTCAATAATTTTAACAAATAATAAGACTGTTCTCAGGAATGTAATTATTTTCGTAAATAATAAAACTCATCGCAGGATTTCTTCGCAATATATTCAATTATTTTCATAAATAGTAAAACTCATTGCAGAATTTCAATTTTAATCGAAATCCTCGGAAAATGTAATTATTCTTAAAAATTTAATTAAAATTCGTCGAAAGAATTCAATTATTTCTAAAATTTGTAAAAAAAAAAATTCTTCACTAGAATTCAATTATTTTCATAAATTTCCATAAAATTCTAAACAAACAATTCCATTATTTTCAAAAATAATAAAATTAATTGCAGGATTTCAATTATTATTAATACAATTTTACAGGAATTGCTCGAGAAATGTAATATTATTCTTGAAAATTTAATTTCAATTCCTCAAAAAAAATGAATTATTTAAAAAAATGATTTATTAAGATACTTTGCAAGAATTCAATTATTAACAACAAAAAACAATAAAAAAAAAAATACTCGAAAATTACAAATAAATTTTTATTTTACAAGTAGAAAAACAATTATAAAAAGATTGAAAACAACAAAAAATTCCTTAAAATTGAGAAAATAATTAAAAAGTTCTTGAAAATAACAAAAAAAAAATCTTAGAATTAAAAAAAAACAATTGAGCTCCCGCGGGCAATAACTCGATCTGCGCTCGGACGCACTCTCTAATACCAGTCGGGTGGCAGTGAGTGGCGCAGAGGCGCTCACTGCTCCCCGACTGGTACTAGCGCTTGCGTCCGAGCGCAGATCGAGTTATTGCCCGCGGGAGCTCAATTTAAAATACTTGAAAATGACAAAAAAATCGAAAAATTTAATTATTTTCACAAATAAAGATTTCCACAAAAATTCAATTATTTAAAATAAAATTTTAATATAATATTTATTATATTTCGATAAAATTAATTATTTAAAACAATGTTTATAAAATTCTAATGAAGAATTTAGTTATTTTCAAAAAATAACCAAATTTTTCACTGAAATTCAATTATTTTTAAACATTTTAATAAAATTTTTCGCAATAATTCAATTATTTTTATAAATTAAAAAATTCTTCTCAGGAATTCAATTATTTTCAAATATTTAAATTTTTTTTCGAAAGAATTCAATTATTTTAAATATTCAATTTTAATTAAATTTTTTTGAAATAATTCAATTATTCTTTTAGATTTTAATAAAATTCTTCTGAGTAATTCAATTATTTACGTATAAATAACTCTTCGAAAGAATTCAATTATTAAGTATAAATAACAAAATTATTCCCGAAAATTTAATTATTTTGAGGCATTTTTATAAAATTCTTTACAAAAGTTTCATGAAGAATAAAATTTTTTTGGAAGTATTCAATTATTTTTATGAATAGTAAAATTCTTTGCAGAAATTCAATTAGTATCAATAAATTTTAATAAAATTGAATTAATCAAATTTTCAATCATAATTATAAATAGACAAAATTATTTTAAAAAATTTAAAAAATTCTTTGTTTATAATTCAATTATTTTCCGAATTTTCAATTAATAGTATTAAAAATAACATTTGCAAAAAAAAAAAGAATTTAATTATTCATCAAAACTCTAATACAAAATTTGGAAGCCATTTGTTGATTTATTTTTGTTCGAAATCATATAATTTCAAAGATGAGAAAAGAAAATTGGGAAAAATTAGGACAAAGTCGGGAAAAAACCGGGAATTGAACGAAAATAGTTAAAATAGTTAGAAAATAGTTAGAAAATAGTTAGAAAATAGTTAAATAAATAAATAATAAGAATAAATAATTATAGAAAAATTATTATTTTCCTTCAGCCGCCACAGGAATTGGAATTATTCTCAATGAGACAATCAGACGAGGCGAAAATCAAGATTAATATTCGAATGGTGGGCGAGCTGAAGAAAGGCGATTATCATTATATTTCGTTTTTCAACATTGTCATGAGAAAGTGCTTGGACTATTTGGAGTTGAAATTGGTTGGACGTAATTTCTTCGATCCCAGAAATAAAGTAAGTGTTTTGCTATAATAGTAGAATTATAATTTAATTTTTCTTTTTCTATTTGCTTAGTTAACAACGAAAGCAAATTTTTTTTTTTTAAAAATTGATTAACTATTTTTTTTGGGGGGGTTTTTTTTTAGATTGAAGTAAGAACTGAGAAGATAATTCTCGATTTATGGCCCGGTTATTTGACATCAATTCGACAATGTGAATATAACATTCTCATGTGTTCGGAAATCACACACAAATTGATGTTGCAAAAAACGGTTCTCAACGTCCTCGAGGAAGCATTCCAGATGCATCGCGATAATTACGAGGTAAGTTTTTTTTACATATTTTGGAAATTTATTATCTATTTCTCAACTTATGAGAAATTAGGAGAAAAAAAAGAAACGTATTGCAAATTAATAACTGTTTTTTTTTATACTGTTGGGCAAATAAATAAATAAAACTAAAATAAAAATAAGTAGATAAAAAAATTTGCAAAGAAAGTTAAATCGAAAGATTGGGAAAAAAGTGTTAAAAATAAAATTGTTCTCTTCTTTCTAAAGGCACACTTTTCGCAACAAATATTGGGACAAGTTGTTCTCACTGATTACAATAACAATCATTATCGTATCGACGATATTGACTTTACGACGAGGCCATCGTCAACCTTCAAACTCAAGAGTGGCGAATCAGTTTCATACCAAGATTATTATGCGAAAAAGTACGGAATCAGAATAAAAAATCAGTCGCAACCAATGTTGGTTTCACGATCGAAACCAAAGGATCGTCGAGCTGGTCAAGCGGAATTGATTTATCTCGTTCCTGAACTCTGTCGTCTAACAGGTAATTTTTTTTTTATTTTTAATAATATATAAATATTATTTTAACGAAATTTGACAATTTCCAATTATTTTTGGTTCTTTTTTAAAATTATTTTCCGCAATTCAAATCAAAATAGGTATTTTAATTACATTTTTTCGAAATTTTTCAAGAATTTCTACAGTAAATTTTTAATTTTATTTAAAAATAATTTTTTGTTAAACAAATATCACAGGCTTTGCACTCATCTATTAAAACCTACTTTTTACTACTTTTTTACGTTATGCTATTATTTGGTTAACTTTTTTTAGATTTCAACCACTAAAAGCTACTGTTTCTAGTTTTTTTTTAGAATTTACTTTAAATTCGCTATAAGACTAGAAATCAAAAAACAATAATTCAATTACTTTCACTAATAATAACATTTCTCATATGAAAATTCAATTATTTAAAAAAAAAATTAAAATTCTAAGGAATAATTCAATTATTTTCATAAATAATAAAATTCATCGAAGAATTTCCAAATTTTCCACTAAAATTCAATTCTTTTTAAAATATTTTAATGAAGTTTTTCGCAATAATTGAATTATTTTCATAAATAATAAAATTTTTCTCAGGAATTTAATTATTTTTGAAAATTTTAATAAAATTTCTCCAAAAATTCAATTACTTTAAAAAAATATTAAAATTCTTTGTAGAATTTCAATTATTTTTAATATTTCACCAAAGAATTCAATTATTTTCGAAAGTAATAAAATTCTTCTCAAAAATTCAATTATTTTTGAAAAATTTTAATAAAATTCTTGGCAAAATTTCAATTATTTTACAAAAATTTTCCTCAATTTAATGATTTTCAATATCTAGTGTATTAATAAAATTTTCTAAAAGAATTCAATTATTTACAAATTTATTATAAATTATTTTTATTTCAATTATTTTTAATACATTTTTAATATTTCTCGAGAAAATTTTATAATATTATTTCTAATATTATAATTAATTATTTATAATATTTCACCAAAGAATTCAATTTTTTTCAATTCAAATTTAATAAAATTTCCCCCAAGAAATCAATTATTTTCAAAAATTGTTTCGTAACAATTTAAATATTTTCATAAACAATAAAACTCTTTGGAAGAATTCAATTATTTTCAAAAATTTCTATAAAATTCTTCTTAAGGATTCAATTATTTTCAAAAATTAAAAATTTTTTTGATGTATTTCAATTATTTAAAAAAAATTTGTATGAAATTCTTCTCAAGAATTTAATTATTTTCTAAAGTTTATAAAAATTCTTGGCAAAAATTCAATTATTTTTATAAATAATAAAATTCTGCCCAAGAATTCGATTTTACATTGAATTTCTCGAGAAATTTAATTATTCTTAAAAATTTAATTTCAATTTCTCGAAAAAACAATTATTTATAAAAAAATATTAGAATTTTTCACAAGAATTCAATTATTTTCAAATATCTTAATAAAATTTGAAAGAAAGCAATTATCGTTTTATATTTTAATAAAATTCTTCGAAAGAATTCAATTATTAAAGATAAATAATAAAATTATTCCCGAAAATTCAATTATTGTGAGGAATTTTTATAAAATTCTTTAAAAAATTCAATTATTTTCAATAAAAATAAACAATATTTATCAATTATTTTTCAAAGTAATAAAATTCTTCTCCAAAATTCAATTTTTCATTATTTTTCAAAAAAAAAAAAATTTAATTTCCTAAAAAAATTGTATTAAAATTATCTTGAATATAATTGAATTTCTCAGAAGAATTTTCTTATTTACAAAAATAATTGAATTCTTGCCAAAAATTTTACAATTTAACAAAAATAATTGAATTTTTTTGTCAGAATTGTTGAAAAGTAATTGAATTTTTATTAAAACTCTTGACAATAATTGAATTTAAATAATATTTTTGAAAATAATTGTATTCTTTTGTGAAATTTTATTAAAATTGTATTGAAAACAATTGAATTCCTCTGATACATTTTCTTATTTATGAAAATATTTTCATTCTTGCGCAAAGAATTTTCTTATTTACGAAAATAATTAAATTCTTGCAGAAATTAATAAAATGTCACACATACATTTAATTATTCTAAAAAAATTTTAATAGATCTCTTTGTAAAATTGAATTATTTTTAAAAACTTTTCGCAATTCAATGATTTTTAATGTCTACTATTTTCATAAAGGATTTCAAACAGAATTTAATTATTTAAACATTTTTTTGTAAAAATCTTCATAAGAATTCAATTCTTTTCGCATGAATAATAAAAATCTCTCAGGAATTCAATTATTTAAATTAGAATTTGCATAAAATTAGTCGAAAGAAAAGAATTATTTAAAAATTTGAATTAAAAAATTCTTCGCAGCATTGAAATTATTTTTCTAAATATTGAAATTCTTTGATGAATTATAAAATTAGTTGCGCGGGAATTCAATTTAAAGCAGTAGGATAAGAGCGAAGTAAATATTTTTTGATGAAAATTAGGAAAAAGTCGGGAAAATAAAAAAAAGAATGTAATTTTTGTCAGTTTCGTAAAGTGTCTAAAACTTGTTTTTTTGGTCGTTGAGGAAATTCAATTATTTTAAAAAATTCTAATAAAATCATTCGCAAGAATTCAATTGTTTTCATAAATAATAAAATGTTTTTTAGGAATTCAATTTTTTTTTTTAAATAAATTTAATAAAATGCCACACAGACATTCGATTATTGGCAAAAAATTTTAATAGAATTCTTTTTACTTTTTTTCTTTTTTTTCGTCAAGTTTAATTCTTCGATAGTCACTTTTTTACTCCTTTTTTTTAGTTTGAAAGCTACTTTTTGCAACTTTTTGAAAAATTAATTAAATTTAGTAGAAAAATATTGAAAATATATTCAAACTAAATTTTATTTAGTTTGAAAGCTATTTTTTGCTACTTTTTGAAAATTAATTAAATTTGTAGTAGAAAAATATTGAAAAATTGTAAAAAATAGTGAAAGTTCTCTTGAAATATGAAATAAATGATAATTTCAGGATTAACGGACGATATGAGATCCGATTTTCGAACGATGAACGCCCTCGCAACATACACGAAATTAGATCCGCGCACGAGAATCGAACGTCTCAAATCATTCAACGCTCGATTACTGAGAGAACCAAAAGTCGTCAAGGAACTATCGGAATGGGGCTTGAAATTAGATAATAATCTAACCAATGTGAAAGGTCGTGTCATTCCAAAGGAGCCGATATATATGGCAGACGGGAAAGTCTTTAACGTTCAAGGCGGCAGTTGGGACAATGAAATTCGTGCCAATAAAATGTTGGTGACGGCAAATCTCAAAGATTGGGTCGTCATTGTTCCCCAAAGAATGATGCAGGAGTGCAAGGTATGAAAACAATTCGTTTTCTTTTTTTACTCCTTTTTATATTATTCCCATAAATTATTATTTATTTTTTACAATTTAAACATTTTAATTGTTTGAAAGTAGTTTCAAGAAAAAAGAGAGAAAGAAGATTTGTATTTTTTAATTGTCTAAAAGTAGTTTTAGTTTTTATTGTTTAAAATTTTTAATTGTTTGAAAATAGTTTCAGTTTTTATTGTTTAAAATTTTTAATTCTTTGAAAATAGTTTCAGTTTTTATTGTTTAAAATTTTTAATTGTTTGAAAATAATTTCAAGAAAAAAGAGAGAGAGTCAAAAATACAAAAAAAAAAAAACAATTGAATTTTAAAGCAATTTTATAGAAATGATTACAGAAATTCAATTATTTTCAAAAGTAGTAAAATTCTTCTCAGAAATTCAATTATTTTCAAAACTTTTAATAAAATTCTCGGCAGAATTTCAATTATTTTTAATAAAAATTTCATCAAATTTCTCGAAAAATGCAATTTTCTTAGAAATTTTATTTAAATTTTGTCAAGAGAATTCAATTGTTTAAAAATTTGTTGATAAAATTCTTTATGAAAATTCAATTTTAAGAAACATTCAATTGTTCAATAAAATATTTATTTTTATAGTTAAATAATTGAACTCTCGTAGAAAATTTTCTAATAAATATTTATTAAAAAATGAATTTCAAATTAAATTTTTTGAAAATTTGAACTTTTCATACTTTTAATTAAGAATTATTCTTGAAAATTCAATTTAAATTCGTCAAAAAAATTCAAATATTTAAAAACTCGTTGATAAAATTCTTGATGAGAATTCAATTTTTAAAAAACATTCAATTATTCAATAAATTATTTATTTTTCTACGCTGTTTAAATAATTCAATTCTCGTTGAATTTTCTAATAAAAATTTATTTAAAAATAAATTTCAGTTAAAATTTTAGATAATAATAATTGAATTTTAAAAAAGTTTAATTGAATTTTTTTTTTAAATTATTTTAATTTTTTATGTTCTAAATATTATATTTAAAACAAAATTAAATTTCTATAATGAATTTCATTAAAATTTTTAAAAATAAAATTGAAAATAATTGAATTCTTTGGTGAAATATCAAAAATAATTGAAATCCTACGAATAATTTTAATATTTTTGAAAGTAATTGAATTCTTCTTAAGAAGTTAATTAAAATTAAAGAAAATAATTAAAATTTAATTCAAATATTGAAATTTTATTAAAAAATAATTGAAATTCTGCGAAAAATTTTATTAAGATTTTAGGAAATAATTAATTTTTTTTTGTAAAATTTTAATTATAATTGTATTGAAATAATTGAATTTTTATAATGATTTTTATCAATATTTTTAGACAAAAAGCGAAAAATAATTGAATTGTTTCCAAGAATTTTTAAAAACTTTAGAAAATAATTGAATTCTTGAGAAGAATTTTATAGAAATTTTTGAAAATAATTGAATATCTTCGAAGATTTTTATTATTTTTGAAAATAATTGAATTCTTGGGCAGAATTTTATTATTTATAAAAATAATTGAATTTTTGCCAAGAATTTTTGTAAACTTTAGAAAATAATTGAATTCTTGAGAAGAGTTTTATAGAAATTTTTGAATATAATTGAATTTCTTTGAAGAATTTTATTATTTATGAAAATAGTTGAATTGTTGGGAAGAATTTTTTTAATTTTTGAAAATAATTTAATTTTTGCCAGGAATTATTAAAAAATTTAGAAAGTAATTAAATTCTTGAGAGGAACTTTATAGAAATTATTAAAAATAATTGAATTCTTATTAATAATTTTATAGAAATTTTTGAAAATAATTGAATTCCTTCGAAGAATTTTACTATTTATAAAAATAATTGCATTGTTCACACGAATTTAAAAATCATCAATATTTTTAAACGAAAAATATTTTAAATCGAAAAATAATTGAATTTTTGGGAAAAAATTTATTATTTATGAAAATAATTGAATTATTTCCAAGAATTTTTAAAAACTCTAGAAAATACCTAATTGAATTCTTGAGAAGAATTTTATAGAAATTTTTCAAAATATGTAATTGAATTTCTTCCAAGAATTTTATTATTTATGAAAATAATTGAATTCTAGGGAAGATTTTTTTTTTTATTTATAAAAATAATTGAATCTTTGCCAAGAATTTGTAAAAAAATTTAGAAAATAATTAAATTCTTGAGAAGAATTTTATAATTAAATTTTTTAAAATAATTGAAATACTTTAAAAAAATTTTTAATTTTTAAAAATACTTAAATTCTTAGGAAGGATTTTATAGGAAATTTTTGAAAATAATTGAATTCCTTCGAAGAATTTTACTATTTATAAAAATAATTTTATTATTTATGAAAATTGATTGAATTCTTACAACGAATTTTATTATATACTAGCCAAACTATCCGCGCGCAAGCGCGCGGGAATGTTGTATGGAGCTGCTTATTTTAAACAATTTAAAAAATTTTAAAGAAATAATTATTATAACCTAACAAAGAGATTTAACTAACTAAAATTCAAATAATTTCACTCAATAGTCTCAATTTAAATAGAATTTACATTACTAGACTTAAACTATGGCTAGAACAATTACAATTAGTATCTGGGTCATCTTTTGCATTGCTTATTTTATAAAGCCATTTTAAATTAAATACTTTTTAAAGAAATAATAATTATTACACACTGAAAAAAGTTTTACTTGAAATAGCGATAAGTTTCTCTAGAATAACGAAAGTATTAATTGAAGCACTAAATAATTTCGCTACTAAAGTGAAATCTGTAGTTCATCCAGCTAAATATTTTTTGCCGTGCATAGCGAAAAAAGAATTAAATTAACATCAGATTTTCTACATTCAAAAAAAACGAATTCAAATAGAAATTAATCATTTTACAACTTAACCAAATTCACCCCAGAAATCACTGAATTCGATAATTTAAAAGAAAGTCAGACAAAAGCAGGGTTCCTACAGAATCTGGAAATCATGGAAATCATGGAAATGGTATGAAATTTTTAAAAGGCTTCTGGAAATCAGGGAAATCATGGAAAAGGCCTGTAATTTTTAAAAAATTCTAAATTTTTTCAGTTTTCCATTTTTTCTCTTGAATAAAAATTCAAATAATAATAAAGCTAAATGGTATAAAAGAGAAAAAAAATGTTGAATTTTAAGAAATTCAATTTTTCGGATTTTTGATAATTTTTAATAATTTTTTATTTTTTTCCAAAGAGTCGAGACAATTTAATAAGTAAAGTATTTTCCAAAAGCACAAAAATAATGAAGCTAAATCCCATAAAAGAGAGGAAAAAATGTTGAATTTTAAGAAATTCGGATTTTTGAATTTTTTCGAATTTTTGATAATTTTAGATTTTTTACCAAAGAGTCGAGACAATTTAATAAGTAAAGTATTTTCCAAAAGCACAAAAATAATGAAGCTAAATTCTATAAAAGAGAGGAAAAAATGTTGAATTTTAAGAAATTCGGATTTTTGAATTTTTGATAATTTTCGATAATTTCACATTTTTTACCAAAGAGTCGAGACAATTTAATAAGTAAAGTATTTTCCAAAAGCACAAAAATAATGAAGCTAAATCCCATAAACGAGAAGAAAAAATGTTGAATTTTAAGAAAATCGGATTTTTGAATTTTTTCGAATTTTTGATAATTTTAGATTTTTTACTAAAGAGTCGAGACAATTTAATAAGTAAAGTATTTTCCAAAAGCACGAAAATAATGAAGCTAAATCCCATAAAAGAGAGGAAAAAATGTTGAATTTTAAGAAAATCGGATTTTTGAATTTTTTCGAATTTTTGATAATTTTAGATTTTTTACTAAAGAGTCGAGACTATTAAATAAGTAAAGTATTTTCCAAAAGCACAAAAATAATGAAGCTAAATCCCATAAAAGAGAAGAAAAAATGTTGAATTTTAAGAAAATCGGATTTTTGAATTTTTTCGAATTTTTGATAATTTTAGATTTTTTACCAAAGAGTCGAGACAATTTAATAAGTAAAGTATTTTCCAAAAGCACAAAAATAATGAAGCTAAATCCCGTAAAAGAGAAGAAAAAATGTTGAATTTTAAGAAAATCGGATTTTTGAATTTTTTCGAATTTTTGATTTTTTACCAAAGAGTCGAGACTATTAAATAAGTAAAGTATTTTCCAAAAGCACAAAAATAACGAAGGTAAATTCTATAAAAGAGAGGAAAAAATGTTGAATTTTAAGAAATTCGGATTTTTGAATTTTTGATAATTTTCGATAATTTTAGATTTTTTACCAAAGAGTCGAGACAATTTAATAAGTAAAGTATTTTCCACATTAAAAAGTTTGACATTAAAAAATATATAAAAAATGCCAATACTTAACCCACAAAATTAAATTTTCAAAATAAACAAATGAATGCAGATAATTTGCTAACGCAAAGGAAACTTACGATTATTATAATGTATGTTTATGTATATGTATATTTCTATTTTCTATCAAAACGTATAAAAAACAAAAGAATAACTATAACTAACTTCAAGTGTGGACAGAGATCCGGAAATCTGGAATCACGACGATTATTATATATAATAATAATTTTATTTTTTAAATAATTGAATTGGTGTGAAAAATTGTATTACTTGTAAAAATAATTGAATTCTTGCGAAGGATTTTTTTTTTGTAAAATTTTGTAAACAATTTAATTTCTTTTTCTAAATTTTCTGAAAATTTAAATTACTATAAATTATGAAGAAAGGGATCAGTCCGAGTGATCTTAATTTCTATAAAAAAAATTATTATTTTTGTTTATTTAAAAAATGAAGTTATTGTTGTTTTCGAATAATTTTCGTTTTAAAAACCTGGAAAAATTCCGTTTTTTTAATTTTGGAAAATCTGCGAAAAGTCAGGGAATTTTTAAATAAGCAAAAGCGTGGCAACCCTGAATTATTATTTCTTAATTGTTTGAAAATAGTTTCAGTTTTTATTATTTAAAATTTTTAATTGTTTGAAAATAGTTTCAGTTTTTATTATTAAAAATTTTCAATTATTTGAAAATTAGTTTCAAGGGGAAGGAGAGAAAAAAGGATTTTTAATTCTTTGAAAGTTGTTTTTAAGGGAAAAGAGAGAAAAAAATATATTTGATTTTCTAATTATTATTTTCATAATTGTTTTGAAGATGGTTAATTATTTTTTTTCCCCCACAGGATTTGGTGAGTGGAATTATAAAGGCGGCGAGGGGAATGTACTTCCCAATGACGGAGCCAAGAATCAATGAGATTCGCAACGACAGTGTGGTGAGTTACATGCAAGCTTTGGAGCACGTAATGAGCCGGGCGAATCCTCAGATGATTTTGTTTATTGTTCCGAATAATAACGTTGATCGTTATGCGGCAATAAAGTCCAAGTGTTGCGTCGATCGTCCAGTGTTGTCGCAAGTTGTGATGAAGAGAACAGTTTACGCGAAGGGTAAACCAAATTTTACAGCCGCGACGAAAATTGCAATTCAGATTAATTGCAAACTCGGCGGTGCACCCTGGACGGTTAATCTTCCCGAGGGGAATATTATGGTCGCTGGTTTCGACGTTTGTCACGATAAATCGGCGCGAGGACGTGACTATGGTAAATTTTTTTCTATTTTAAAAAATTTTTTTAAAAAATTATTTTTTTGTTTTGTTAATATTTTGGTTTTTTTTCAATTTTATCTTGAATTTAGTTTTAATTTATTAATTTTATACGGAAATAAAATTAACAGGCAATTAAAATTTACAAACAAAATTTAATGAACAAATAACTAAATAATACAAGAATGAAAATTGTTATTTGATAATTTCAAAATTATTAAAATAGGAAAAAATAAAATTGAAATTTTTGTCTTGATATTTAATAATAATATTTGAATAACAGGAGCTCTCGTCGCCTCGCTGAACAAGAATTTCGGCCGCTACTTCAGTTCGGTGAATGCGCACAATAATGGCGAAGAATTGTCGAATAGTTTGTCGGTGGATATGGTGAAGGCTTGCCACAAATATAAATCCGTGAACGGAGTATTGCCATCGACGATAATATTTTATCGCGACGGCGTTGGCGAGGGACAGATTCCATTCGTCATGGATATTGAAGTTGAGCAGATTAAAGACAAATTGAATGCCCTCTATGGCGATAGCAATGCCTATAAATTCGCATTCATCATCGTCACGAAGAGAATTAATTCGAGATTCTTCTATCAGGGACAGAATGCACCACCAGGAACTGTTGTCGATGATGTCGTTACAAATCCGGCAAGGTGAGATTATTTCCCTTCTTTTTTTTCCCTCTTTTTTAAACTTTTTATTTTTTATAAATTTATTTTTTATTTTTTATAAATTATCAATTATCTTTTAAAATAATAAAATTCTTGGCAAAATTTCAAATATTTTTAAAAATTTTCATTATTTCAATTATTTTTAATATCTACTATTTTAATAAAATTTTCCAAAAGAATTCATTTATTTAAACGGAATTTTAATAAAAATTTCACAGGAATTAAATTACTTTCCAATTTTTTATAAATTTCTTCGCACCAATTCAATTATTTTTAATTTTTAACAATGAAGTTTATCGAAAGAATTCAAATATATTCAAAGAATAGAAAAAAATAGTTCTGAGAAATTAAATTATTTTGAAAAATTTAAATAAAATTCTTTTAAAAATTCTATTATTTAAACAAATTTTGACAAAATTCTTTACAAGATTTAGTTAATAAAATTGCAATTTTAATAAAATTTTCCTATTCAATTCAATTATTTTCAATACAATATTCTTCTTAAGAATTCAATTATTTTCACAAATAATAAAAATCTTCGAAGAAATTCAATTATTTTCAAAAATTTCTATAAAATTCTTCTCAAGAATTCAATTATTTTCTAAAGTTTTTAAAAATTCTTGGAAACAATTCAATTATTTTTCGATTTTTGTCTAAAAATATTGATAAAAATCATTATAAAAATTCAATTATTTCAATACAATTATAATTAAAATTTTACAAAAAAAAATTAATTATTTCTTAAAATCTAAATAAAATTTTTCGCAGAATTTCAATTATTTTTTAATAAAATTTCAATATTTGAATCAAATTTTAATTATTTTCTTTAATTTTAATTAACTTCTTAACAAGAATTCAATTACTTTCAAAAATATTAAAATTATTCGTAGGATTTCAATTATTTTTGATATTTCACCAAAGAATTCAATTATTTTCAATTTCATTTTTAAAAATTTTGATGAAATTCATTATAGAAATTCAATTTTTTTTTAAATATAATATTTAGAACATAAAAAATTAAAATAATTTAGAAAAAAAATTCAATTAAACTTTTTTAAAATTCAATTATTATTATCTAAAATTTTAACTGAAATTTATTTTTAATTAAATTTTTGTTAGAAAATTCTACGAGAATTGAATTATTTAAACAGGTAGAAAAATAAATTATTTATTGAATAATTGAATGTTTTTATAAAAATTGAATTCTCATGAAGAATTTTATCAACGAGTTTTTAAATATTTGAATTTTTTTGATGAATTTTAATTGAATTTTCAAGAATAATTCTTAATTAAAAGTATGAAAAGTACAAATTTTCAAAGATTTTTTTTTATTTTTAATCAATATTTATTAGAAAATTTTCTACGAGAATTCAATTATTTAACTATAAAAATAAATATTTTATTGAACAATTGAATGTTTCTTAAAATTGAATTTTCATAAAGAATTTTATCAACAAATTTTTAGATAATTGAAAATCTCTTGACAAAATTTTAATAAAATTTCTAAGAATAATTGCATTTTTCCAGAAATTTGTATTAAAAATTATTGAAATTCTGCCAAGTTTTATTAAAAGTTTTTGAAAATAATTGAATTTTCGAGAAAAATTTTATTATTCATAAAGATAATTGAAATTTTGACGAGAATTTTTGTTAATTTTTAAACATAATTGGATTTCTGTGAAGAATTTTATTAAAATTATTTTGAAAAAAATTGAATTGTTACGCAAAGAAAATGATTGAATTGAGAAAAGTTTTTGAAAGTAATTAAAATTTTGCCAAGAATTTTATTAAAATTTTTGAAAATAATTGAATTTCTGATAAGAATTTTCAACAATTTTAATATAAATTCCATTATTTTCAACAATTTTAATATAAATTAAATTATTTTCAACAATTTTCATGAAATTCTTTTAAAAAAATCATTATTTTCAACAATTCTGATAAAAAATTCTTCGAAACAATTCAATTGTTCTCAAAAGTTTTTAATAAAATTCTTTGTAAATTTCAATTGTTTGCAAAATTTTCAATTAAAATTATTTTTGAAAAATGTAATTATTTTTACAAAATTTAATTAAATTCTTCAAAAAAAAAAAAAAAAAAAAAAATGTAATTATTTACAAAAATTCTAATAAAATTGTTCAAAAGAATTTAATTTTCTATGAATAATTTTAATATAATTTAATAAGAAAATCGTTATTTACAATTAATAATAATAAACACGATTATCTTAAAAACTTAAAAGAAATTCTTCTTAAAATTCAATTACATACTTTAAAAATTTTCAGTAAACATTATTAAAGAAAACTTTATTATTATTCAAGAATATTGAATAATAAATTCTTTAAAACAATTCAATTATTTTAAAGAATTTTAATAAAAATCCTACCAAGAATTAAATTATTTTCAATACAATTTTAATTACATTTTCTCGAAAGAATTTAATTATTGAAAAAAATGTTGATAAAATTCTCGAAACGAATTCAATTATTTTGAAAACTTTTTTATAAATAAATATATAGATTTTTCTTTATTTTATTCTTTCTTTTTGTTTTTGTTATTATAATTTTTTTTCTTACTTTTTCATGCTTTTTTCCATAATATTTTCGCAAGATAAATTTCATAAATTTAGAGTTAAGTTTTTCTTTGTTTTTTTTTTTTTTTATTTTCTGTAATATAATCGAAAAATATTTTCAATTTCAGATTCGATTTCTTTCTGATTTCGCAAAGCGGTGGACGCGGAACGGTGACGCCGTCCTCGTACAATGTCGTTCACGACACGACAAATTGGGGCCCCGACAGAATTCAAAGAATGACTTACAAATTAACGCAAATGTACTACAATTTTTGCGGTCCGGTAAAAGTACCGGCGCCGTGTCAGTACGCCCACAAATTGGCCGCTCTTATCGGCCAGGCGATACAAAAGGAGCCGAGCACACAATTGGAGACTCTTCTCTATTATTTATAAGTATTTTATTTTTTTTTCAATTTTTTTCCATTTTTTCTTTTTTTTCAATTTCTTCTATTTTTTTCAATTTTTTTCAATTTTTTTTCTATTTTTTCTTCCGTTTTATGTTTTTTTTTTTTTTTTTTTAAAGAAATTTTACTGCCTTACGATCTCCAAAGAAATTTTTTGTCTCGTGACAGAAAAAATATTTCTTGTATTTCTTTTTCTTTTTGTTTGAATATTTTTTTTTTCTCTAATTTTTTGTTTTCTTCGATCTCCAAAGAAATTTCTGTCTCGTGACAGAAGAACAATTAATTTTTAAAAAATTTTTGCGATATAATTCGCAAATTACCGAATTATTATTTCCATTTGTTTTTTTAATGGAATTCATTTATTATTCTGTGTAAAGAATTGCATGAGTTTTTTTTCTAATCAATTTTTCTATTACAATTATTTTATTGTAAGTTTATTTTCTTTAGACAATTTTTTTTATTGTACCGAAGAGAGTAAATAAAAATGAAATCAATTTTTTTTTTTTAATTATGTTTTTAGTTTATTTTTTTTATGTATTTTTTTGTGTAATGTTTCGTCTGTTTTCGTAAAAAAAAAAATTTCTGAATCATTTATTACGCGAAATTTTTAGTCTATTTTTTAAATTTTTTCATTATCTTTTTTTATAATAATAATAAATTTTGAACAATTTTTAGTTTTTCTATTTTTAAAAAAATATTTATACTAAATCCTTTTAAATATTTTTTTATTCTTTTTTCGAACAAATTTCGATTTTTTTTATTACTTTTTTTCGAACAGATTTTGAATTTTTTTAATTTTTGTTTTCGAACAAATTTTTAATCTTTTTATTATTTTTTCGAATTTATTTTGATTTTATTTTTTTTAAATCCATTTTTAATCTTTTTTTAAAATTAATTTTTATTGTTTTTTTATTATATGTTTTTAACCAATGGATTTAATTTGTCTATTTTTTAAAAATATATTTTTACCTTTTTCTTTTTATTATAGATTTTTCTTTAGAAGTGATTATTTTTTTTTAATTTTGAAAAAAGACTTAAACAATTTCGATGGACAAATTGTTTTGTTTATTATTTATAGACAAACAACAATTGACTGTTTTGATAATTTTATATTCGAATAAATTTTTTTTTTCTTTTTTCAATTAGATTTAAGTTTAATTTAAGTTCGCGAACAATATTTTGTTAAATTGTAAGTTTTATTACGATAGAATGTTATTATTGATAATAATTATAATAATAATATTTATAATTATAATAATAATTATTTATAATAATTAAAATAATAAAATTTATAATTATTATTATAATTAATTTATATATCAATATTATAATTATTTATTATACTCATAAATATAATAATTACATCTACAAATATAATAATTGTATTTTTAAAGCCAATGATTATAATTATAAATACAATTTGTATTTATAATTATAATTATTTTCGAATATTGTGTATATAAAATATAATTATACAAATATATAATTATATAAAGTGAAAATTTATATATATTATATACAAAAAAAAAGACACAGAATTCTCAGGTGTTAATCATAAGTTTTGTAAATAAGAGTTTTTTGAAATTATTAAAATATTTACATCTTTATTTTTGTAAAAATAAAGGTATAATAAATTTTTTTTACATATATATATAAAAATCGTCGTCTTCTATCATTTCTATTACATTATTTTTATAAGAAAAATAACGAAAAGAATTTTTATTTATAAGGAAAATAAAAATTTTCAACTTAAGTCAATTCAATTAAAAAAATTACAATTCGGAAAAAAAATTTTTTTTGTAAGAAAATTTTCTTACAAAAAAGAAATTACGTAGGTATTTATAAAAAAAATTGATTTTACAAATTATGTATATAATTCTAAGTAAAATTAGAATCACATTATTTTTTTGCGAAATTGTCTTCGCCGCAGGGGTAACATTATTTATATTTTTTTATTTTATATTGTATAAAAAAAAAATACATATATAAAATGGTCAAAAGTATTTTTTCGTTTGTAAAAAACTTATATAATTAGAGACAAAGAGAGAAGTAAAAAAAAAATAGTGGAAATATTGTCGAGAAATAAGGAAGTTACTTCTTTGTTCTTAAGGATTTTCCACATCGTCAGCGGCTGTGTTGACGATTTGTTCCTCGTCCGGTGATTGCGATCGTGTTCTTAATAAACGCGATAGACAACAGAGACATTTTCTCGTCAATTGCGGTATAATTACGTCATTATAGAGACACATTCCAATGATTAAAAATGCAAAACCAAAGAGCTGAAAAATAATTCAATTATTTTTTTTTTCTTAAAATAGTAAAAAGACTTTGTAAAAATTCAATTAATTTAATTCGATTTTAATAAAATTTCATAAAAGAAAATTTAGAATTCAATTTTTTTTTTTTAATTTTGAATAATATTTTTCGAAAAAATTCAATTATTTTCTAAAATTTTCATAAATTCTTCGAGACAATATTCAATTTTGTTAAAATTTGTTTGAAAGAATTCAATTATTTTCTAAAATTTTAATAAATTCTTCGTAACAATATTCAATTATTTTTATAAATAATAAAATTCTTTGAAGGAATTAAATTATTTCTAATAAAATTTCACGAAAAAATTCAATTATTTTTCTTAATTCGTTATAAAAATTTTCAAAAGAATTCAATTATTTAATTATTATTTAATTAAGTTAAGAAATAAAGAAAGAAAATTACCTGTAAATAGTGGAAAATTTGCCAGCCCAAAATAAGGGAAATTGCCCAAATCACGAGAGTTCGAACACTGTCCAAAATCATTCTTGTCGTTGCACTTAATTCCTTAGTGACGCTAATTCCAGCGAAATTGAAAAATGCGATGCTGAACATAATTCCTGAAAGTTTGTAATTTAAAATTTTAGATCGTCAATTTTAACATTTTCTTTTTTCCTTTTTCTTTGTCGAATGTTGAATTTTCTTTTTTTATCGAATATTGAATAGAAAGAATTTGAAAATGCAAAGATTCAATAATAATTTTTTGCTCCATGTGATAAAAGAAAGAAAGAAAGAAAGAAAGAAAGAAAGAAAGAAAATTACCAATTATTGCCATAAAGAGTCGGCCGTTATTGCTTATTTGAATCAAAGCATCGATAGAGTCTTCTAGTGTTCCTTGCGAATTGTCCGTAAAAGGCGGCGGTGCGTGAATATAATTAAGTGGAATCAGTGCCAGACAGATGCCGATGAATCCGAAAATTCCTAAAACAAAAGAAGAAAAAATTATTAATTATAGTAATTTTAGAAAAAAAAATTTCAGAAAAGAAAATTAAATAAAAAAGACTTGAAAAAAGAAAGAAAGAAAGTTAATAATAAACGAAAGGGAAAAAAATACCTTCCCAACCAACAGCTTGAAGGGCAGGAATATCTTTGCCAGCCACGTATTTCTCCTCGATTACCATTTGTGTCGCTGTTATTACCTAGAAGGAAATTCCCTCATTCAAAAATTAACTAATTATTCATTATTTTCAAAAAAATTTAAATTCCTTGCAAAGTTTCAATTTTCCGAAATAATAAAATTCCTCGGGAGAAATTCAATTATTTTCCGAAATAATAAAATTCCTCGGAAGAAATTCAATTATTTTCCGAAATAGTAAAATTCCTCGGAAAAAATTCAATTATTTTTCGAAAAAATAAAAATCTTCGGCAGAAATTAAATTATTTTTCGAAATAATAAAAATCTTCGGAAGAAATTCAATTATTTTTCGAAATAATAAAATTCCTCGCAGAAATTTCAATTACTTTACGAAATAATAAAATTCAATTCTTTTCCGAAATAATAAAATTTCTCGCAGAAGTTCAATTATTTTCCGAAATGATAAAATTCAATTATTTCCCGAAACAATAAAAATCTTTGGAAGAAATTCAATTATTGTTCGAAATAATAAAATTCAATTATTTTCTTAAATAATAAAATCCCTCAAAAGAAATTCAATTATTTTCCGAAATAATAAAATTCTAGGAAAGAAATTCAATAACTTTCCGAAATAATAAAATTTCTCGCAGAAAATTCAATTACTTTCCGAAATAATAAAATTCCTTGCAGAAAATTCATTTAATTTCCGAAATAATAAAATTCTTCGAAAGAGATTCAATTACTTTCCGAAATAATAAAATTCTTCGGAAGAGATTCAATTATTTCCCGAAACAATAAAAACCTTCGGAACAAATTCAATTATTGTCCGAAATAATAAAATTCAATTATTTTCTTAAATAATAAAATTTACCGCAGAAATTCAATTATTTTCCGAAACAATAAAAATCCTCGCAGAAAATTCAATTGTTTTACGAAATAATAAAATTCTTTTCCGAAATAATAAAATTTAATTATTTTCCGAAATAATAAAATTTCTCGCAGAAAATTCAATTACTTTCCGAAATAATAAAATTCATGGAAAGAAATTCAATTATTGTCTGAAATCATAAAATTCAATTATTTTCTTAAATAATAAAATTTTCCGCAGAAATTCAATTATTTTTCGAAACAATACAATTCTTGGAAAGAAATTCCATTTTTTTCGAAATAATAAAATCCCTTAAAAGAAATGCAATTATTTTCCGAAATAATAGTTCCTGGAAAGAAATTCAATTATTTTCCGAAATAATAAAAATTCTTGGAAATAAATTCAATTATTTCCCGAAACAATAAAAATCTTCGGAAGAAATTCAATTATTTTCCGAAATAATAAAATTCTTGGAAAGAAATTAAATTATTTTTCGAAATAATAAAATTTCTCGCAGAAAATTCAATTACTGTCCGAAATAATAAAATTCCTTGCAGAAAATTCATTTAATTTCCGAAATAATAAAATTCTTGGAAAGAAATTCAATTATTTTCCGAAATAATAAAATTCTTCGGAAGAGATTTAATTACTTTCCGAAATAATAAAATTCTTCGAAAGAGATTCAATTATTTCCCGAAACAATAAAAATCTTCGGAAGAAATTCAATTATTTTCCGAAATAATAAAATTCCTCGCAGAAAATTCAATTACTTTCCGAAATAATAAAATTCTTTCAAAGAAATTAAATTATTTTCCGATAATAATAAAATTCTTTGAAAGAAATGCAATTATTTTCTGAAAGAATAAAATTCCTCACAGAAATCAAATATTTTCTTTTTCTTTTTGGCGGTGAAATTAATTAGGAAAAAGAAAAGAAAAAAATACCTGAGCGCAAATAATAAGTAAATCGCCAGTAACAACAGAATTTGTTCCCTTCTGTTCACTCTTCATTGTGAGAAAATCAGTGAAACCAACGATAATTAAACCTAAAAGCACTAAAATTATTCCCGTCCATTTTTGTGTTCCCAATTTACGTTCAAGGAATGCAACGGACAGAATTCCAGTGAATATAATAACTGAGCCTCGGAGCATTTGAAAACTGCTTGCGTAGGTCATTGTCAATCCCACGTACATTATTGAAGTTCCAATTGTATCACAAAGTGCAGGGATTGCAAGAATCTTTGGATTAAAATCACGTGAGCCTTTTGTTAACGCATTCGTTTCAACAGAGCCATTCTGTAAATAGAGAGAGAGAGAAAAAATGAAAACAAATATTTATAAAATTAAAATTTTAATTTAATTTCATAGAATTTCAATTATTGTAATTTAAAGTTAATTAAATAGAATTTCAATTTAATTTAATAGACATTCAATTATTATAATTTAAATATATAAAACAAATAAATTGAGGGAAAAAATTCATTTAATTTCAAAAAGAATTCAATCATTTTCGTAATTAATAACATTCTTCGGAAGAATTCAATTATTTTTGTAAATAGTAAAAATCTAATTGTTTTCAATACAATTTTAAAAAAAAATTCACGATAAGATTCAATTATTTTCTAAAATAATTGAATTGAATAATTTTTCAATAAATTCTTGGAAACAATTTAATTATTTTTAAATAAATTGTAAAATTCTTGTCACGAATTCAATTATTTTTAAAAATTTCGATAAAACTCTTCTCAAAAAATCCAATTATTTTAAAAAAATTCGATAAAATTTTTCTAAAAACTTCAATTATTTTCATAAACAATAAAATTCTTTGAAAGGAATTCAATTATTTAAAAAATTTAAATAAAATTCTTTATAAAAATAAAATTTCCGTCAAAAATTAAATCATTTTTATAAATAAAAAATTCTTCTTAAGGGCATTTGAACCTTGATGACGTTACACGTTGTGCAAAGCATGGGTGACGTCATCAAGGTTCAAATGCCCTTAAAAATTAAATTATTCTCAAAATAATTACAATTAAATTTTAAGTAGAAAATTGAATTATTTTCAACAATTTTGACCAAATTCTTCGAAACAATTCAATTTTTTTTCAATTTCAATTATTTATATAAATAATAAAATTCTTTGCAAGAAATTCAATTATTTTTATATATAATAAAATTATTTGAAGGAATTCAATTATTTTCAACTCAATTTTAATAAAATTTCTGGAAAGAATTCAATTATTTTCATAAACTTAATGAAAATTCGTCACAAGAATTGAATTATTTTCACGAGATATAAAATTCTTCGAAAGAATTCAATTATTTTCAAAAATTTTGATACAATTTTACAAAAAAATTCCAATATTTTTATAAAGATTTTTAATTATTCAGGAAAATAATTGAATTTTGTTTCAAAACATAATTTTTTTGAAAAATTTTTTTCAAGAATTTAATTGTTTTAAATAAAAATTTTATCAATTTTTAAAAATTTTATCAATTTTTAAAGATTTTAATAGAATTCTTTGCAAGAATTTTGATAAAATTCTTCTAAAAAATTCAATTATTTACAAAAATAAATAATTAAATTTTTCAAAAAATTCAATTGTTTTCACTAAAAATTTAATTGAATTCCAAAGATTTTAATAAAATTCCTTAAAAAAATTCAATTATTTTCATAAATTATAAAATTCTTCGGAGAAATTCAATTATTTTTTAAATTTTTTATAAAATTTGTTGAAATAATTCAATTTTTTTAAAAGAATTCGATTATTTTGTTTAAGAATTAAATTGTTTCTAAAAATTAAATGATTTAAAAAACTATTATTAATAAAATTCTTTAAAAGAATTCAATTATTTAAAAAAATTTTCGACAAAATTCTTTCAAATAAATTCAATTATTTTCATAAATAATAAATTTTTTTTTAGTAATTGAATTATTAAAAAAATAATTTTATAACATTTTTTGTCACAATTAAAATTATTTTCATAAATTATAAAATTCTTCGTGAGGAATTCAATTATTTTATAAAATTTATTAAAATAATTCAATTATTTTCAAAATTTTTTATAAAATTCTTTAAAAGAATTCAATTATTTTCAAAAATTTTCTACAAAATTCTTCCAAAAAAAAATTTGAATTATTTTCATAAATAACTAAAATTGTTTTTAAAAATTGAATTATTTAAAAAAATTATTATAAAAAATTTGTCTCAAGAATTCAATTATTATTCGTAAATAATAAAATTCTTCTAATGAATTCGAATTATTCAATTATTTTCGATAGAATTTTAATAAAATTTATTAAAAGAATTCAATATTAGTTTTTAAAATTTTAATAAAATGCTTTGCAGAAATTCAATTATTTACTGAAAAATTCAATAAAATTCGTCGAAAAAATGTAATTTAAAAAAAATTTTTTTTTTGATAATTTCTTTATAAAAATTTAATTAATTTCAATTTTATTTCTTGAAATATTTTAATTATATTCGTAAATAATAATATTCTTTGCTAGAATGCAAGTCAACAAAATAGTTTTTTATTTTCAACATTCGAAATATTAAATTAGAATTTCTTTTTGTTAATATTATTTTTTGATTCTTAATTGTTAATTGTTAACGAATTTTTTTTTAATCTTCGAAATATTAAATTAAGAATTTTGTTGAAGTTTAAAATTCAAAATAAGTGCGAAAAGAAAAATTTAAGAAAAAAATGAGGATTCTGGCTATTTATTAAAAATATTACAAAAAAGAAAAATTTCCCTGTATTGGGAAAAATATTCTTACCGCCTGTCGATTATAGTAACAAAATGCGAGTTTAAATACTAATAAACACATCATTTCGCCGACAAACATAAAAGCCGACTGCATAAATGGATGTGTAAAGTGTCTGAGTTCTCCATCTTTTCCCTTCGACGTTAATTTATCTGCATATCTAATTGCAAAGAGAAAAACAAATTCAATTCAGTTCAACAATAATAATAATAATAATAAAGGAGGGACAGAGAGACAAAGATTTCCAATAATCTGTAAATTCTCGAACGATGACGAACGCTTTCAAATAAAAACAAAAAAAAAAGCAAAACATTATTTTTAAATGATAAAAACAACCAATAAATTAAAAAAAAGAAAAATAAGTAGAGTAAATATAAATTAATAGAAAATATTAAAAGAAAAAGAAGAAATAAAAAAAGTAAATTTTAACCATCATTTTTTTATGCCTTTTGTTTTGTAAATATATAAAATGATAATCAAATATATAAAACGTATAAAATAAAACTGTCTTTGTTTATTATTGGAAAAATGCCCGCACTTTTATTTTTAGATATAGAAAAATCTGCTATTAATTAAGAAATAATTTTATAAATTGAAACTAGAATTACTTTAAATTATTTTACTTATTTTTTTAAATATTAAAAAAAATTCTGTTCTATAATAAAAATAATAAGAAACTATTACTTACTTTACTGAGAGAGTATTGAAAGATCCTGTAATTACCATCAAAAGAGCGAGGACCTTTTGATAATGTGTCCAGGCCATTTTTTAAAATAAAAATAATATTTCAAGGAAAATCTATATCTACTAGAAAAGGAAAATTAATATAGAAAACGAGAAATAAAAACTCAGAACATTGGAATTTTGTTTTTTTTTTTTTGCACTACAGTAATGTGTGTTTTTCGTTTTTTGACAGATAGACACCACGAACAAATGTCATTTTTTTTACACACTCACAAGTCACTGACACAGGCTGGCAGCGAAAAATTCCTTTGTGTGTTGGTGAAAGTGGGTTAAGTTCCGTTCATACGCTTCGATAAAGGTGCATTCATTTATTTTCTGAATGACGAAATTCGGAATCGACGATTGTGAACGTGGCTTTAGTGAAGAATACGAAAACGAACTACAAACCCAACCCTGCCGTGACTCGAGCGACCCATCCTTACTTGGGAATTTTTTTTACTTTTTATTATTTATTACTATTTTATTATTCGTTTATTATAAGTAAAATAAAAGAGAAAAGTAATGAAATTAAAATCCTTAAAATATTCAGAGGGAAAACTAGAAGTAACTAAAAGTAAGATAAAAAAATATTAAAAGGTCCGGGGAAAAAATTGCAATAGGTTGGTGACAATGAACGTACTGCACAGTTGGTCACATTGTTCCTTCTTTCTGTTCCGTTCGCGTTCGTTCCTAAAATCGGAGATTTCCTGCTGTAAAAAACCAGTAAAAACATTTCAATCATTTCAATCAAGTGAAATTTTCAGTCTTTTTTCCATAATTATTTAGTTCGTTTCTATAAAATATAAAAATAAAGTGTTTCCTTTTTAGTCCGAAATTGTTGTTTTCTTAGCAAACAAAAATAATCGCGATGAGAGTTAAAGTACAAAAAAGTTCGATAAAAAAAGAGTCGTATATAGTTTTTGACAGTTTCTGCTACAAAGTTCTCGAGGATAAGAAGAAAATTTGTTTGATTAAAGAAAAATTGCCATAGGAGGGAAATGAAAGAAGGAAAAATCGACGATGGTAAAATGGCGGACGAACAAAAGGATTAACAAGTAGGTAATAATGTAATTCTCAATTTTTATTTTTTTTTTCGTTGTACAAGATAAAAACTTTTCGTTTTTCATGTCTCAACAATGTTTTATCGGTGAGTATACCTACAAATACGAAAATTGATTTTAATCGAAAATTGCTATTTATTATTTAATAATTGCAAATCTATTTATAGATAATTTTTCAAATAATTATATTATTAATTTTGATTATTTTTTTTTTATTGAAATATAAAATAGAAATAAATTTAATAATTCTGGCGCAAAAAAATATCAAAATTCTGCCTTCTCCCCCCTTTCCCCCCTTAAGAAGAAAATCATAAAATGCAGGGAGTTTAGAATTTTTCTAACCTAAAAAAAATGGCGAATCTAATTTTGTCATCGCGCATTTACCGAAAGAAAAAAAGTTTTTTTTCAGTTTAGTCAAAATTTTGATTCTTAAAATCAAAATTTAATTTAAAAATTGAACTCTACCGATATTTATACACGTTTTCTACTAAAATAAGGTTTGTGAATTTAAATCTGACACGAGGAAGAGAGAAAAATAATAATAAAAAATAGAAATTAAAATATTCTGGCGCAAATGGAACCAAATTCTGCCTCTTTTCCCCCTCCCCTCAAGGGAATTATTTTAACCTAAAAAAAGACAAAATAAAAAATTTCATTTCCGTTTTTTTTGCTATTTAACTATTTTGACACTCAAATTCAAACTTTTTTTATTTTTTCATCAAAAAAAAAAAAAAAAAAAAAAAAAAAATAAGTAAATATACTCAAAAGAAATTATTGTTATATCTACAAAACCGTAAATCAAAATTTTTATTCTTAAATTGAAAATTTTGATTTAAAAAAGTTAATTATTAAGTCAATCAAGATTATACTTCTTTTCTACTAAAATGAGGTTTGGGATTTCATATCTAGCATCAAAAAGAGTTAAAATTGATAAATTTATTTATATTAATAAAAAGTTAATTAATTAAATTCGGCAGAAATAAAGAGAACTATATTTTTTTGGACCTTTCTTGTATTTTAAAACAATTAAATGTTTCATGGTCTTTAAAGCCAATTCAAGACCTTTAAAATCCAAAAATCAAAATTTTGATTTTTTCAAAAAAAAAAATTTAATGAATAAACTTTATCGACATTGTACTTGTTTTATACTGAAATTAGGTCTACGATTTCAAATCTAACACAAGAAAGGGAGAAAAATAATAATTAAATTATTTAATTAATGAAATTCAGTAAAAATGAAGAAAACTAAATTTTTCTGACCTTTCTGGTATTTTAAAACAATTAAATATTTCATGCTCTTCAAAGTCAATTCAAGACCCTTAAAATCCAAAAATCAAAATTTTGATTTTTTCAAAAAAAAAAAATTATTGAATAAAACTTTATCGACATTATACTTGTTTTCTACTAAAATTAGGTCTACGATTTCAAATCTAACACAAGAAAGGGAGAAAAATAATAATTTTAATGAAATATTAACTTACTAAATGTAGTAAACATGAAATAAGCGAGTTTTTTTTACATTAAATCGAGTAAAATAAATTTTTTGGTACCTTAAATTTCCAAAACTCAAAAGTTTGTCTCTAAAATAGAAAAATTTTAACTTCTTTTTTTTAAAATAAAATTTTATCGACATTATACTCTTTTTCTACCAGAATTATCTCGGTGATTTCAAATTTTACGTCTAAAAGAACAAAAAAATGGAAATATTTTCAATCGCGCTCTATTTTTACGGTTTTTTTCACTTTTACTTTATGTTTACTTTCCAGGGACGTAAAAAAAATTAACGTTCCTGAAAAATTATTTTTTCTTCTTCGAAAAAACCCGCTGTATTTGCAATAAAAACTACCAGTTGTTTTAATTTTCAAATTGTATCTTTCTGAAATAGATTACTTGGATCTCTGGCGGTTTTGAACCCACCTGCGCCAGGTGATGACTGTTTGAAAAATTCTATTTTAAATATTAAATAAATATAGTCTATCTCAAAAGTATTAACAAAGTTAAAGTCGACAACGTTTATCAACGGAAAAAATTTAATGCATTCAAGTATTATTTTTAATATAATATTTAATATTGTAAAATAATTATTATCAAAATATAAACATCAATCTCTTTTTTCTAAATATTTTTTGTTGTCAATATTGGTGTCCTTTGAAGGACATTTTATAAAGTATCGGAGTTAATTAATTCAATTAGTATAATTAGTAAAAGAAACAAGCTCACTAGTGTCAATAAATTAATACTGTTGTGCATCGTTCCCAAAGTAAAAGAAACTTATAACAACATGAAATTGTTATTTGATTTGACGAATATCAACAACATTTCCTTCAAATCTAATGCACATTATAAACTTCATTCATTTTTGTCAAACTTTTTTTTAGTTCAGGCACTGTGTGCAAACTCAAATTGTAGTTTTCAAAATATCTTCAGTAAAAAAAGAAATTCTCAAAAATACATTTCAAGGTTATGAATCTAGTTTTTGTATGGTCGCCAATAACGAATCCAATGTCAGTTTTTAAAAATTCAAAATGGCGGATCTAATATGGCGGACGGGAAAATAAAAAATTATCGTATTGTCTTATAACTTGTTACCTGAAGGTTTTTAGGTTCTTTGTTTGCGAATCTAAAGTCAATTTTTAAGAATTGAAAACAGACGAACTCTTTCATTATTTTATTTTATACAATAGAATGTAAAAAACATTATATTTATTTTAAAATTAAATGCAAATTTAAGTCACTATTTTTTCCTAAATATTAATGATTATAAAGTATATTAAAATTATTTATTACTGATATTATTATTATTATAATCATCAATTTTTAAAATAAATGAAGAAAATTCAAAATTACGACAGTGTAAATTTGCCGATAATCTTGTTTTATATAATTGAAATTTGTTTTATACTGTTCTTTAATTTGGTCTAATATAGGTCCATGAAGTTTTAAACGTTTAAAAAACGAAAAATTTTAATTCTACCAGACCAATTTTTTTTTCACCCAGACTTAAAGGAAATGTATCAGGGAAGTCAGATGTATCATTGTTAACGTGTTTCGACTTCCGGAAGTCAGCCATCTTGGATTTATTACATTCCGTATATATCTCTTACATAGAGGTATACTAAATTATCGTTTAAACACCCGCCACCAATTTTTTTTTCCGCGAAATTTTTAAAGAATGTTTAGAAACACTCACTGAACAATTTCGAACAAATTTCAACTTCCGCAAGTCCGCCATCTTGGAAATAATAACCTCAAAAAATACTAAATCTGCGTTTATACACCCGCCACCAATTTTTTTTCAGCGAAACTTTGAGGGATTGTTAAGAATGGTTCACTGAACAATTTCCAACAAATTTCGACTTCCGGAAGTCCGCCATCTTGGAATTAATAACCTCAAAAAATACTAAACCTTCGTTTAAACACCCGCCACCAATTTTTTTTTCAGCGAAATTTTCAGAGAATGTTTAGAAACACTCACTGAACAATAACGAACAAATTTCGACTTCCGCAAGTCCGCCATTTTGGAAATAATAACCTCAAAAAATACTAAATCTTCGTTTAAACACCCGCCACCAATTTTTTTTTCAGCGAAATTTTCAGAGAATGTTTAGAAACACTCACTGAACAATTTCGAACAAATTTCGACTTCCGCAAGTCCGCCATCTTGGAATTAATAACCTCAAAAAATACTAAATCTTCGATTAAACACCCGCCACCAATTTTTTTTTTCCGCGAAATTTTTAAAAAATGTTTAGAAACACTTACTGAACAATTTCGAATAAATTTCGACTTCCGCAAGTCCGCCATCTTGGAATTAATAACCTCAAAAAATACTAAATCGGCGTTTATACACCCGCCACCAATTTTTTTCCGCGAAATTTTTAAAGAATGTTTAGAAATACTCACTGAAGAATTACGAAGAAATTTCGACTTCCGCAAGTCCGCCATCTTGGAATTAATAACCTCAAAAAATACTAAATCCTCGTTTAAACACCCGCCACCAATTTTTTTCCGCGAAATTTTTAAAGAATGTTTAGAAATACTCACTGAAGAATTACGAAGAAATTTCGACTTCCGCAAGTCCGCCATCTTGGAATTAGTAACCTCAAAAATACTAAATCCTCGTTTAAACACCCGCCACCAACTTTTTTTTCGGCGAAATTTTTATAGAATGTTTAGGTCAGATCCCCAAAC